CAAGCACCACCACCACCAGCACCAGCACCACCACAACCACCAACACCATCATCACCACCACCACCTGTATAGAATCTTCCGTAGGGCAATTCTGTCCCTGGCGAAAGAGAATCTGTTTTGGTATCAACGCAAGCATTGCCATTTTCCGGCGATCTCTTAAACGTCGACTGTTATCGTATATATATATAGCTTTGTTCGTGAAAGAAGAATACCGCCAATCTTTAATTGTTAATTGATTTTATGCCAGTCTTTCACTGGGCTGCAAATGCGAAGGGCGCTGGTTAGGGTTGCTTTTTCTAGCGATGGCATCGCACTTTATCACCCAATTTTTTTCTATTGGTGAAAATCGGAAATTTCTAATATACAACAAAGTAAAGATTTTCAGTGAAAATAATTAAATCACTTTTTTGACGAACAAGGCTAGTGCATATCGGTTATTTCCTCATATTATTCATAAGCCTTTTACAGTATTGTATGTACGTATATAACTCTTATTATTCTCATAATTATTATTATTATTATTTCTATTATATATCGTACTGTTATTATTTTATAAGCATGGATAATTTTAGCTTGACCGAACGGTCGCCGTAGCAAAAATAGAACTGGCACTGAGTTTTTGGAGCCCTTTTACCGCAACATATTTTCTTTTATGGTTTACTTTTTCATTTTCTTTTTGTTTTTTCAACTTTATCGTCACGTTATCATAATCTGTTATTTTGAGCAGACACGCGGGTCACGCGTCGGAAGCGTACCCTACGTCTTAGCTATTGAGTCGTCCCAACTCTAACTCCTATATTATCTATATTACCACCGCCAGTGTCATCATGTTGTTACTCGATTCAACACATTTACGTACAGTGCGTCGAGCACGGCATCCGGAGCGTCCTTCTGCTCCGTGTTTGTGCGGCGGAGTCCCTCTAACAGCCATACGTCGCGGGCTTCTTCATAACATGAGAACTGTGTGTGTGTGTGTGTATATCTCTCTGTGTTTATCCGACCCTGTCGACTCATCCAAAGGAGCAATCAAGAAGGGACGGTACAATATCAAGACTAATCCGGTTCCGCACTCACACAACAGCGTTACATAGTATTAGATTAATCAGTGAGTTTGCTGTGTAGCAAGATGGCGTCCACTATGACATGGATATGCATGCTACACTTACATCCCTTCCCCCCAACCCTGAAAACGTCGTCCATAGCAGCAGCAGCAGCAGCACAATGGTGCTGATCGTGGCGCCTCTTATTGTAAAAGAAGATTTGGCTGCTCATGCTAGCAGCAATTCTGCACCTTAGAGATATATATATATATATTATAAATAACCAATATAATATCCATTATTATTCCTCCCAGTAACATTTATTATCCATCCGTCTAAGCTCTCGTAAATTACTCTCGCGCAAATCATCACGGTCTGTTTATCTCATCCTTATTCATCTCATCATTTCGTCTTCATTATCTTCATCAAAATTTTCAACAATCGATAATTGTTTTCATCAAACAGGGCAGTCTGGCAATCGACTGGCAGTGGTACAAATATATATATATATATATATATATATATATATAGATGTGTGTTCGTATTCGTTTATTCCGTGTTTTCATCGCACTGATCTATTGACTTTCCTTGGTTCTTTCTTTCTGCGCATCATCGGCGTCACGCCTTTTTCCTTAGAAATAACCAGGATGCTCAATGACGCCGTAATATCGGCCGTTATAAACAACTCCTACTTCGCTGAGCACGTGACCACCTCGTAGCGTCGCTTTGATCGTCCAATTGTGGATGTCTTTGGTCTCTTTTTCTCGTTCGAGTCGTTCGACGTCGACTATCTTCGAGCTAAGGCGTTCGAGGATGACTCCAATGTCCTTGATGGTTAGGTGCTTGTCCTGATCGACCGCTAGCTGGTCGACCAACAGCAGATAACGGTCCGCCAGCTCCTCATCGTCTTCTTGCTGACTCTCGCTCTCGGTGTCGTTGTTGGCAGGAGCTGCAGTGGCCACAGTTGACTCTGGTCGCGTGCCGGCAGCCACAGCGGGCGTGTCAATGGCAATGACGACGCCGCCACCGCCGCCTCCATCATCTCCACCACCACCAGCGCCGCTCCCGGTGGCGACAGAAGATGCGGCGGCAGCCGCAGCCTCGAAATGGACGCTTTTCGACTGCGGTAGCGGCATCCCGCCTCCACCGTGCCCGAACACCCCTGGCGGGCCAAATGCCATCTCAGGAAAGTCGACGATGGGCGAAGTGGCGGCAGCCTTATGCTGCTGCTGGTGTAACGACGAGCAATGGAAGTCACACTCAGCATGAGTATGTTTGTCGCCATGCTTCTCGCCGTGCTTGCTTTTCTTGTCCCGTCGATCGCCCCCCCGGTCGTGTCGTGTAGTTGCGTCACTGGAAGTTGCCGCCGCGGCCGCCGCTGTCCCTGCGGACGGACCTGGGCCAGGCAACGTCGCTAGTGCGGTATCCCGATCGGTCTCCCGGCCTGCACCCGTGATCCCGGACAAACCTAAAACTGGCTGTAAGCACTGCAAACCGGGTGGTTGGGGAGACTTGTTCCGACCGCTGCTGGCCGTGCTGGGTCGACTGCCACTCTGGCCCGACGCAAGCCCGCGCCCTGGTAGCACTATGCTATCGGGAAGAACTTCGATTTTGACTTCGGGCGTTCGACTGCGACGGTCCTGCGGCTCCCAGGTTAGCACGACCGTCACCTTGCCTCGGTGTTCCATGATTTTCCACGAAGGAGCTATATCGACGATATCGAGCGACCGCATGGTCTCGCATACGATTTGCGGAATAGCATTTATGGCTGTTTGTTTAGTTTTGATTTTTCAAAATAAATGTTCGTAGTACAATGGGTGAATAATTACAGGCCCAACATGGAGCGAACCACCAATAGTCCGTTACGTCCAAAATGCAGCATGCGAGATTAACAGTAAAATTGGTTAAAGATTAGCGCCGGCCGGCCATCTAAACAGCCTATGCTATAGTACGATATAGATCTAGCTTCACTTGCATTTTATAGACGTACCTAAGTAATGTATTTACAGCAAATCAATACAAAGCGTCGCTATGCATTGTTTAGCTACTGAGAAATTATTTGCTAGCATGCATGCGTGATGATAATTCAATCAGCTAATGAATAATTATCTATTCTTACCGCAGCAGCTTGCTATTACATAAGGATTTTCAAACGACACCTTCGTTTGAAGGAGTTCATTTAGAACACTGTGACCATTTGTACAGCCATTATTGTGTAAATTCAGTGTCATTCAATATCACAAGTTGAAACAAATATGAATCGACTTGCTTGTATATCTATCTAACGTACTCGGCCGCCGCTCAGGGTAGCTGACCCATTGACTAACCAGTTTTGATAGCTTCGACGGAAGGAGGCAGCCATGCCTGGCCTGGCAGCATTAATAAAAGCACCGTATCCCGAAGCAGAGATCCGAAGGTTTGTTCGTCTTCCACGTGTGTTCCGTCCGCTTCCAGAACCACTCGAACGTCCGACCTGTGAACCTAATAACGAGTATATGAGCAGGTTACAAGACGATACCGCCGTTAAGACAAACTGGACTTTAACACCTTAATGACCAGAGAGTGAGCATAGCAATTGGCCATTCGAGGTTCATACTAGCACTATCATAGACCTAGGCGGGAATAGACTTCAACCTTATAAGATAGATATTGCAGAGCCAATTCATATTCAGTATATATATATATATATACTCTCCAAAATGAGAAAAGTGAGACTTGAAGTCGAAATCGGTAAAGAGTCGTGAGTTTTTGAAGTTCGTACACTCAAACCCTCCGTATATCTAAAAAAATTACTTTTGACGCCGTATGTTAGCAATTTGTAAGTAGCTTTTCAACAAACTAATTTACCCTTCGAACGGTAAGGGTAGTTTTTAGGCTGCATCTGATTAAACAAAAATGGATACGTTTGCAAACACCAACTTTACAAACTTACATTCGATTCGAAATCTCTTAAATAATAGCAGTTATTCAGAAAAAAAAGGTGACAAGACAAGACAAAACAAGAAAACGAAATACGCAATGGCTTAGTGTTCATACAGTGGAACTGAGAAAATTATTTTGGCAGATTCACTTCTGACGTTGTCGAGGCATATCATTTTAAAAAAAAACGTATTCAAATCAAAGTACGCTACGTAATTCTCCTGTTTCCTCAATAAATATTTACCGACGATACTATCCATATGAGTCGTACCGCTGCTTAACGCCATACTTTCAAAAACCTTCAAGGTCATGGCGCGTCACAACAACAAGGCTTGTGATGACCATCCAAAGGCAACCTTCCATACTACGTTGTATGTGAAGATATTTTTTCAAAAATCGATGGCATTTTGTACTGTTAGTTCACGCTGTGGTCTGCCCTCCAGAATGATAACGATCATTTGATAAATTGCGCTCATAATTTATATTGATTGTCAATTTTCTAGTTGATTTTTCCTCTAGCTAATTTGGAAAAAAGGTCTCTTTTAAGCCCAGCGAATTTGTAATTTTCTTCCCATATAAGATTTAGTTCAGACAAAATGCTAACAAGTCATATATTATTCTACCCATGTTTTTGCAAGAGTCTTATCGGACTTTTATCTCCTTCAAAAGTAAATTTTTAATTTTTATTTTTTACAATTCGTTCGCGAACATGCAATCTCATAACATCTTTCTTCTACTTTGCCTGATGTCTGTGGTGCTTTCTAGAGTTCACGCATTATTTTTAAAAGCTGATTATTAATCCCATGATTTCTATTGTCGCTACTTTCTGTTCCACTTTTTATAAGTTTTACCTATATATTGATATGTTTTCCAAACGTTAGCATTTTTTACGAGACTCAGCGTCCGTTATGTAGGTAAGCTTTTCCTTTTCAGTGATATTTTCAGCTAGATCTACTGAGAACCCTTATTCGCCCCATCATGCGCGTACCTAAAGCGTTTCAGCCATTTTCGTCTCACTTTTGTCGTCATAGCTTGCTTACGTACCCTAGACATTAAGTACCTGCGTTTTTCATCTGGGTTGTTATCCTGTTGTGTGTTTGGTATTGCCCCGTGTGGTACGAGTACATAGAGTTACGTTATTCTTTAATGACCCGAATTGTTCGAATTCGCTGTTACTCTATTAGGCCAAGCTGAGAATTCTCTCACAAGTGCTTTGCCCATTTCCTTCTTTCTAGAGTAAACATAACTCTGTCGATGATTTTCACCGAGTCTGAGTAAATCGTCTGCTCATAACACTATCCTGTTATGGTCACCTCTGGCTGCTAAAAGTTTGCGTTGCCCACCTTCTAGCTGGTTTTTACAACCTAATATATGATAACTTGATAGTTTAGACTGGTGCACAATATATTTAGCTCGATTTTTTTCTGACAGTTTGATTCTTTTCCCTGATGTTTATACAGTCAACGTTTAAATGAGGTTGTGTTCTTTAGCTCCTTTCCTCTCAGACGTTCGCGGTACTTTGCTCGTCTGCCCGCACATCGACGTTCATCCATCGTCGATAACCAAACGTATCCTAGATCGCTCTCTTGCTTCCTCTGAGATCTCCATTGTTCCCTATGGATTGAGCCAAATAGTTCGTCGATTGTGGCGTCTCCAAACTACCTTTTCAATTTTTCATTGACGGTTCCAATAACGAAAACTGCTTACTCGGTGAGGTTATTGAATACATTTTTTAACCTTCCAATCCGTTTGGCATCCTTAACAATATTAGTTTGGATCACACTGATGGACCTTGATTATCCCTTGTTTTAGGGTGTCATTAATAATTCTAATTTCTACCTACTAAATAGATGATTAAATAATACTGGAAGACCAACTAGAGATATGAGCCATGCCTCGTTCTGCATCAACCGAAATTTTTCGAAGTTATGCAATCAATAGTGTCTTCAGTACCTTGCGGTAGGAGATAACAGAGAATGTAGCTCTTTTTCTACGTAAAGGTGAGATTATATAATCTTATTTGCTGTTGTTCCAGTAACATCGAAGGCGTTTATTCCATGGTCGCAGGCAAAATAATACCGTTCCGTGTCAATTTAAAGTCATACTCGCAACGCATCGTTCATTAAATGGCATTCCTATTTCCAAGATGCTGGCGAGCACCGTCAGTTAGAAAAAACACACGAACTGAGTTTTTAAAGAAAGCGGAACTGTATTTTAACGATTTGATATATGTACCAATAGCGGAACTTATATTTATTGTCTTATTGCCGGAATTCACACAGAATAGTTTGTTCTGCTTAAGTGCGTTGGAGAAAAAATGCGTCATAGCGCTAAATATTAAGGCCAAATTCAAGAGTATCGTTTTAAATTTCGAAATTCACGTGCAGAAATGCTGATCATCCTGCGAACGTTTCCTAGGCATGTATAAGGTCGTGCCTTATTGACCCCTGCCATAACTAAACAACTGTTTCGTCAGAGTTGCTAATATCTTTGTTCAATACCTGACTCGACGTTTTTGGAGAGGTAAACAGGATTTGATTATTGTTTATACATGACTGTTGTTCTGCCAAGCGATCCTAAGTGTCTTGTTACTACAATCCCTACGTACCCTGAACGCATACTTCTTTATATTTGAGCAACCTAGATTTTAATTCCCGATCAGACAACAGTGTTACCATTGGGTAAATGTTTTTCTCTGTTCTACAGAGATTAAAAACATATGCGACTCGATTAGGTGCCATATATGAAGGCTTAGCCCAGTAAGGATTGTTCTCCTATATAGATCTTAAGATGCTGTTCTTTAAATTTCCTATAAGCGTCAGTAATAGTGTACGGCAAAACGTGCCCTATATGTTTATACTTAATAGCCAGAACAATAGTGCTTTTAGTTGATCTATTAGAAGTATTGCTCTAAAGACCTATCCGGTTTTTGTGAGACGGGTCTGAAATTTTCTTACTCGAATCTAAACTGCTCTTCTTTTTTTCAAGTAAACTTTTAGGTACATTTAAAAACAGCACTCGACCTGCTGTTCATTCACCCATAGATAGTAATACCGGCTTTAGCCTTGCAGGCTGTACAACCACTTCATAAAGAAAAGCCGTTGTTCGAAACACGGCCTGGTTTTCTTCTGTAGATTGTGTACAATGTTCTCTCCTCATCATTTTATTTTGACGCTAGGGAATGACAGGGATATGTAGATAGATACTCACACAGATATCGCTTAGCAGCTTCGGCCGCTTATCTCTGCACTCCGTATTTTTCTGAGGACATGTTTGTGATAAATCGCTTTTCCCGCTGTTTCGCGATTGTTTTTTGCGGTGAGTGACATTATCTCCTGCTGACAAAATCTTTCAGTATCCCGTTAAGTTTCGGTGATGTAAATTTTGTATGAAAATGTGCGAAATGCGGATCTGTTATATTTACTGTCTGATATTACTCCCACACAAGTCGTCGTTTGGTAGAAGAGGAACGGCTGGCCAAAATGCAGGGATGCTATAGATAAGATGTTCGAACTTTTAACCCTATTTCTAGGCTTTTCCGGTCGAGTTGTACAGTCTTTGATCATTCTGAACTTTCTATCAAAGTACGGTTCACTCGTACTTTCCAACATCGACAACAATAGACGAGATTTACTCGACAATGATATTTACGCGCGTCATTTGTTAGAGCTGTCTTCTGAGTCGTTGCCACAACTCCGTGCTATGTTCTTTGTAGTTAAAACATTTAGTTGTTTGAATATAACGATTATCAGAGCAATTTAATTTTTGAAGTTAACATGTTACAGCACATTTAACCGTAGGTACGTATCTTGCAGATACGCAGTTTACTCCCAGTCCGAGCGCTCAAATTAAAACTATATGGACTGTTAACCTTACGCTTCTAACTTTTCCTTAAACTTTCTCTGAGTACAATTTCCTATCTGTTTGATATATTAAAAACAAGTTTTATTTATTTACGTATGAGGCCGTGGTGGTAGACAACAGCAGGGTTTCGCGTAACACTGGCTGGTATGGTCGAAAAGTGCTTTTGTAGTATTTGCAGCACGCTGCAAATATGCGGTAAGCTTCTCTTTAGATACGGGTGTTATATCGTATTTTTTTTTAAATCATAATTTGCGATCATCATGAACGTTTTGGACACGCGTTAAAAAAATAGATTCACGTGTTTAAGCTTTTTGCTTCTATTTGTCGTCGCTAACACTTCGCAACATTTATTAGCTTGTAGTGTGCTTGGCTTTTTGGATATTTCAGGTTAAAGTTCGGGTTCTGAAGTTAGTCTACAAGATCTACAAGTATATTTATTTATACAAGCTCAAAGTTATGGGTCCAGTCTAGTTTACTAAAATTGTCTGTATTTTTTTTGTCTGTCAAATTTTCAAAAGAGACTTCTAGATATCCATGGTTAGGGCCTGTGAATTTTAAAGATACTTTCCGATCAATTTTTTGGCCATAAATAAGCGAGGGTCTCCCGTGCGGCATGTCATATATATATATATATATATATATATATATATATATATATATATATATATATATATATAGTTAAGTGTATCGACCATGACCCAAATGTAAAAAACGGTAAATCCTCTACCTAGGTGAAGCTTTTACATTTCAGGAACAATGGTTTCTCATTCCTGGTCAAATGTTCATTAGCACTGAAGATGCAAAATCGATTAAACAGAACCGCTACGGCGAATGAAAAGATGACTAGTCTGTTGCAGCTTAGCATCAGCATCGAAGTCCCTTCACCCGGCAAAATATAGTGACGAAATGGCGAGAACAATATCCCTTTTCAATCAGAACGTGGAGCTTGAACAGTTTTGTTTGTAAATTTCGGGTGCTGTGGATTTTGAGTACGGTTCATTATCTTCTAGAAATACAAATCGCATGATATTTCAATAAAGCAGTTGCACAACATTGTTCAAGTAACGACTCCTAAAAATAAACATTTTTTCAGTAAATTAATAAATCAACATCCATGTATTGTATTCAGCATGATTAGGTCGCCAACACTGTCTTTACTATTGGCGGGCTACGATTGGGTTATTCGTGTTGGGAAAACGATCCAATAACGCAGCGTTTTTATGCTGTTTAGCGCTAAACTTACCGACACCTGTAGTCCCATTTCTACGATCCGTGCTCAAAATGACCGATTCTTGAAAACAGCTACTATCTTTATAGTTAGTAGATTTCGGCGGCAAAGTTCAGACTCGAATGTTTCAATCTTTGTGTTAATGAAAAAATTCTGCAAACTGACAATTGATAAGTAGTGGTGGATTTTGCGCTAATGAAGTATCAATTAAATCAATAGTCTCAGAGATTACCATAGTATTTTCAACTAAACAATACTCATTTACCATGGTAATGTCGTTTTGTACTGGATGGAGTTTTACCCTTTTTTCAGGTTCGAAAAGTGGATGTTTTTGGCGAAAAAAGTGCATTTTCGATACCTACTTAATTTGACCTTTTGCAGAAATCAAGGAGTTTTGCAAGCAAATGGTTACGATGCAAACCTTTAGGGGAGGATTATGCAAAGATACAACTCGTTCCGATAGGCCACCGAGGTCAATGAAAACTTCCCAAAAACACTTTTGAAATAAGACGGTTGGCAAAATACTCGAAGGAGCAACAAGAGAAACTGCTGGTAGAAATTGGTAGATATCTTGTTTTTATGGGATTTGTTAGGAGATTAGGAGCCTGGGCAGCCTATAAACCGAATCAAAAGCATGTGGAAACCTGATTTCTCATGTGTAACAACGCACAGCCTTAATGACAGGTTTCTAGACATCTTTGTTATGGATGTCGAAAAGCGGCGGACACGCGTCGATATGGAGCAAGAAAGAGATACGTAGTTCCAGGGCATATGCCTATGCCTAGAGTTAACCCACAATTCCATCCTAAAACAACCATGATTTACGTTTAGTATGACTAGAAGGGTCCCGCACACTGCAAAACGCTTGAGCAAAACCAGTTGGTTAACCAAAATTTGTACACAGCCCAGTTGCATCGAGTGAACTAGGCTATCTAGCAAAAAAAAACTCGAGGAACAAGGCAAACTACACATGATAAAAGAAAAGATCGTTAAGGCCGCCCTACGACGGTTTGAACGGGAAACTTCCTCTTACCGACCATATTCTCCAGATTCTACGGTTACTTCTGTTTCTTACTTACAACTCACTACTTTTTCTAATCATTGACGAATAAAGTTTGTCACAGAATATTTGACAGTCAAAACCGTCTTAAAAGCTGGCCGGAAAACTTTTTACAACAAACCTGATAATTTCTGACAGAAGAAAAATAAATAAAATGCTTAAATGATAAGAGAAAGTCGCACCATGCAAGGATGAGCAGATAGTAAATACATTAGTTGCCAAAATTCGAGCTTCCTCGCTAGATGGAAAAAACTGCTATGATGATGATGAAACATGCCATTGAACCAATACGCTGGACACAGGCCACATTTCGATGACCTGGTGGAAAAATAGGCGCGAAAGGAAAACAACGAATAGTTCTACTCGTATTGCCGCGCGTCTACAATGACGTTCAAACTGATCAAATGTGCAATTTTTATAGTTAACCCAGTGCGCAAAATACCGTGCCCTAGTTTATCCTTTAACTAAAAAACGGCAATCTCCTGCCTACAAAGAACAATAGTGATCTCATAACAACTTTTGGAAAAAAACAAGGCTTGTCTTTAATGAATTGATTTAAAGCTTGGAGGTGAACTTTTTCGATATTGTTCTCGTCTATGTTTTGAAAGTTGCTATGCAACAGAAATGCATGTTTGAGTGATCCTGGACAACGTTTCTCGCCGACAGATTGTGTGCATAACTCGCTAAACGGTCAAAATGCTGGCCTACCTAAAGACCTGTGCTTTCTCTTCCCGCCTAATTCCTTCGTTCTTCGTTTACTTTGAGATTGGTTTAAAAAAAGTAGAAGCATTCGAGTTCAATGTTCATTTCTGTCTGACTAAGTTTTATATACCGCTATAATTAATATTTTTTATAGTAGCACGGAACGCGTCGAATTTAGATGGCAGTTTGCTTAGTTCAGAGTCGCATCACATTGAGGCTACCGATTGTTAATGCTAACCTGGTGAGTATATCCCAGTTTTGTGCATCCAGCGTCAATGAGTTCTGCTAAAGTGGTAGCCATAACTGCTTTACGAATACGTCTGTCCGCACTCCACACCTTGAAGAGGCGCCGCGAACCCAGAGCCCCCTGAAATCCACAAACGTTTTGCTTAGCTGTATATTATAGCTGCGATGAAAAATCAACAAATTATTTTAGTCATAGATTTAGTTAACTTGAAAGATAGATTATTGAAGATGAGTAACAACTGAAAGGTTAAAAAGTGCTTCGAAGATTCCGGTTGTAAGCAGGTAATATAAAATTGTTCTGAAATCTGGCAGACTAATTGTCTACCATAAAATTATAATTAACACGAAAATTACCTATTTAAATGGGCGACATGCTATTACACTATTAGTAATAAGCTATTTTATAAAAATCGCTCGAAAAGACCTGTACAGTCTTGAAACTTTAGCAGTAACAGAGGACAGCATTGCGACCAAGATTTGTGGCAGATTTTGCCATTTTGAATACTCGATAGGTAGTATATAGTGGGAGGGTCTTGATGCTCCATCTATTACATTTGTACAAATATCACGGCTCGCGCTTCGTGCGCCGAAGTTCTGCTCAGAGAAATAAACTCTACGCTTTGAAGGTGAATCTGTTGTGGGAAAGGAAAAAAACGATCATCATAATGTAGACTCTGAATGAAGCTCTAATATACCTTATATATATAATTATAGTCACTAATGCGATAATATCCTTCAGATTTTCGATCATCACAGCGGTGTAGGATGCTTAGCATTCTGATTTCGTATATTGCACGATACAATCGTAAGTTTATACTAAAGAGAGCTTCTGCTGGCCAGAAAAGTCGTGAATATTTTTTGACCGGGCATCTGTTCTGGGTCGGATACAGCTTCCACAGTTTTATTAGTAATATCACACAGTGACTGCTCGAGGACCCCACAGTAATGATTTTAAGTGGGTTAAACTGTCGTTTTTACTCTCAGCCACTGAGTAGCAGTCAATTCTTATATATCTCTTTTTATTTAACTCTTCGAATGAATTTTTTGGATTGTGTGGTAGTAGAGCTATGATATTTCCATATACAGCCGATTAACGGCGATGATATACCCCTAAACAAGCCTTGAGCACTTCTCTCGGAAATATATCATATGTAAGTTTCGATCGGAAAACGTGATTAGATTTTTATATTCAGTATAAAATGAATGTTTAATTCTACTTCAACAATGTCACTCAAATGAAAGAATAGTTATGCATACATAGAGAATAATCTAATTATTTTAAGTAAAATAGAAAAAATCATGATCTCTTTGGCGTTATACTTAATTAAAGTGACCATCTTCCCTCTGTAAGTTGGAAATTTAATTTCGCCTTATAAGTTTAAGCATATACTCAGAAGGGAGTTTGGGTTTCAGTATCGCGTTTCTTTATTTGGGTTTCTTCTTCACCTAGTTAAACATACCTTACGGAATAAGTCCAGCGATCTATTCGAGTAGACATAGATTAAGCAAGCTTCTGATAAGGCCATGATGTTACATAGCCCTTTCTCTAAAAATGCGCTTAGATTGCTTCTATCCGGGAGAAGCGGAAAGTGTTTACCGTGTCATCTTTCCGATACTGGATATCCGTGAGCGCGAGAGAGAGAGAGAGATTATTGATCATTCTATAACAACCCACTACGATCATGTTTACGCATCTAAACAGTACATCGCCCCTGACCAAGGGCCAAATGCGTTCAAAATCAGCAAAGTACAGTATTCTAACGTGTAACTAACGCCTTCATAGTACTGAACAAAAAAATTATTTTTACCAGAAAGGCTTGGTTTCCTTTAGACGCAACGTAACTTTCTTCGAAGAATATTTGACATAAAATACCGAAAAACATAAGGATTTTAACTAAGAGAAAAAATCTGATAACTTGACTAAGGTAATTAGCTTCTAAACCTAGTTTTTGATAAAGTTCACAAGAAAGCTTTGAATTTTTAGCTTGGCCCGAAGAATTTGTCGTAACTCAAGCATAATTCGTGACTGATCTATGCATTATTTCTAAATAAGATCTAAGTACACCATATTTACCTATTCTTTATATGACTTGCAATCTTATCTATTAGTAGTGGATAAGATCGCGCTTTGGACTGTGCGAGATATTTGCTGGCAAATCAAAATCGCTTTTCATAAGCGCGGGCATGTTTGAATTCAACAACACGACTGAGTCGATATTTTTGACATTATTGTATATGATTCTCTTTATACAATCTCTGGGCGCATGTTATAAGTAAAAGATGTTACAAGAAGTTACGATTTCTTTTTATATTATCTATATGCCACGACTATATGTGCACGTATAGTGTCACCGATCCGTTGCCCTCGTATGACACAACGTCTATTTGTCGAGACCAAGAGATTGTGATTCTGTCATTGTTGTTATGTCAACATACATCTAACAAATAAATTATGATTGGTGACACAGGTGACATTAACCGCAGCGAATTAATTTTTTTAATATATTTTATCGCATTTTTTTTATATATTTTACATACAACAAATAAGTTATGTAGATGTAGGTGTATTGAACGAGGGCTGCTGAACACTATAGTTGGCATATTTTAAAAATACCACAAATACATTATAGAATTTGAGGATCAATGTGCGTGTGTATCGAAATTAGAAGGACGAATATAAATATTACTTATATAATATTTGTATTCGTATTTATAGAATAGAAACACGACGAATATCACTGTCAGTTCTGAATCGGGAAAGGGACATTCGCATTACATGTTTCCGGCCCAAACAAACATACAGCTACATATGACTACAGTTCGCCATCGTAAGGTCATGCATGGTGTCCTCACTTGTCCTGTTTGGCCCATCCTATCCTCAGATATCCGCTTGCCCTTTCTTCTATTCGTTCGTTTGTCATCCCCTTCCGTACTCACTGACACAAGTTTACTGTTGCTTGTCATCACATTATTGGATCGTCCTTCAGTACCTCATAAAAAAAGGTTTCCGTCATCAACGTGACTAAGCCAAACCATCTGCGATATCTTGGTAAGCTAACTTGTGGCGCTCCACCGCTACCACAACGTACAATACACATTACAACGACATGCTTGCCAGAGGTCGCCTTGGCCATGCTTCAATAACCCAGTGCCTACCAGACAAAGGCCAATGGGTACGACGCTACGCCAACTGTATTGCCACAGAACAACATAGAAGGAAGAGAACTGGACTATGATTCAGTTCAACGATACCCCTATTGACTGGTCTGATTAAAACACTGCTTTGCCCGCCCACGAGTTCGCCTCATCGTGATCCACCTGAATCATCTGAATCGAATATGATACCGAATCAGTTTTTCTATTTACCTTTCTTAGTCTCCTTTTTTTTTTGTTTCCCTGACCAACGTCAACGAACTCACCTCCGCCATGTGTGGGGTATCAGGATCGGCTGGTACCGTGCGAGTCTTCTGATCGGCTCTGAACTATCGCCACAGATTCCAACTTCTTCTATATTCTTGTTCTTGATGAGGATCCGGGTGATGTGCACACACAGGCAAACAGACACCCTAACTCACTCATACATTAACACACAGTAAGAGGCACAGACAAAGATCAGACATCAGACATCCATACGTACTATTCTATTCCACTCGATTCTCACGCAGACACCCATACAAACTCGATGGCGCGATGAAGTGAGATTAATGATTTAGAGGAGGCAGAATAGGCTGATGATGTCGATGAACTCAGAGAGGTGACACGGTGAAGACAGAGGACGGGAAAGGGGATTCGTGACGACTGCAACTCGAAGAACTACTCCTGTTCAGTGTCGTTAGGTTCCGTTAAGGTTGGTGCGTTGTCATCGTTAACGAAACTATGCATGGTCTAGGTGGTAGTGGGATGTTCGTCAAGGGCGCCACTGCCGCCGCCCCGTGGCCTACATTGGATATATTAACCAGCCAGCTGCTAGTACAGGGAATGATGACACACACTGTCAGACGAGACCTACACACTTAGCCCATCGGTCCGTTTGCACGAAGCTGCTATACGCGTTGCCGCTGTCTGTAGTGGTAACAGCTGAGGCAACTGGCTTAGCTTGCGTGCGACCACGTACTGTTCTATCGTTAGCTTTCGCAGTCGTCACAGTACCATGGTGTCGCTTTTGCCTCTGTCGACGCTAGCGAAATTGGACGTCGAGTTGGTTGGTGTTCAGCGTCGCGTCTATCTCTAATGGCGACGGCGGCGACGTCGATCGGCTACCTTTGCTTCGTAGAATTCGTTTTATTTATTCGTGGGCGTGGGCGTAGGTTGTTACTATTGGCGTGGGCGGCGGGCGGGCAAGCGCGTCCTTCGTCGTCCTGACCGCCGCCATCCCTCCTGTGTCTCACTGTCCTCCGCGCACCCTTGCCGTGTTCTCGTTCGTTTCCTCTCGTGTGTATCCCAGCCAGCGGCGATCCGCTCTGGTCTGCTCCGCTCCTATCCGTTCGGTTAGGTTCGGACCGCTCTTCTGGCTGCGCCTTCTGACTTCACTCTCGCTGCTCCGTTCCCCGCTCCTGATGCTCTCTCCGTGCCAGAGACTGCACTAGTGGCAGCAGCAGGAGGACGAAGGGGGTGGGGGGGGAGAGCTGGTGAAGGCAGGACAACGAGAAAAACAGCAGCAGGAGCACTACCACCACTACTACCAGCCACAGCCACCGTCTCCAGACGGCCTCGTTCGGCGCGGGAAATGCTGTATTCTCTCCTTCACCGTCACGCCTTACCCCTCTTTCTCTCAGATCTGTTTCCCTCCTCACCCTCTACTGAACAGGCGGACAGACGAATATACAGACAGATACACAAGCAAAGATGCCTCTTACATCGTTTTGTCCCTTGCCCCGTCTCGTGAGGGAAAGGGCTATGGAACACGACACTACGACGATTGCTACCAAGAAACACACGGAAATAACACTGCGGTTAAGCCTGTACAACACCACGGACTGCGGCTCCCCGGCTGCCGCTAGTCACAGGCAAACTAGCTAACGATCCACGCTTAGCATGACGCGCGGCGAACAGCTGCGCACGAACGCCACCAGCAGCCCGATGATCGACAGGAACGAGCCAAACCGAAGTAAACTAGAACCGAGAACGAAACCAGCACCAGGACAGCTGAACTGCAAAAAAATAAACAAGGGGAAGCAATAGGATAGTGGCACTTTTAAGTGGGCCTGGCTTGTTTTGTCCCCTGATTGGCTTATTCTCCTTGTATTGCAAGAGTCTTTTCGGGTATTACGGCCTCATATGGTTGACTGACCCCCACCACGAAACGAAGTGTGTTTACGCCCGGATTCGAACCTTGACCATAACGTGTCTCTAAGATCAGTAGGCAACTACGTTACTGACAAAACTATCACAGGGACTACGGTTACGAGCCTAGACGCCCTTAACAGCACTCCCTGTTAATTAGGCCTTTTTAGCTGTTGCTACTACTACCGTTCCTTTATCGCCGATATCCTTAGTATACTAGTTTTTATCCTTGAAGTCACATTTCTCCTAGGTTTTCTCTCTTCTGTTTCAACCCGCAACTTAGTGTAGTTCCTGAAACGCAACACATCCATAAATTAAAATACTGTAACTTTCTTTGTAAGATCGATTATGCAAAGTATTGTGTTATGTTTTATTTCGGGAGTACCGTGTGTAACAGATCGAAACGCAGAAACAAAATTACCTTTAAAAACGGTACTATCGACGATACACATAGAAGGCTCTTGGCAAAATCAATCCCTAATGAAAACTCCTAGTAGTTTTAATTCCGTTTAAGATAGAACTTCTGACTAGTACTTAGACTCAGAAAAGGTGAACTAAACTCTGTGTATAGCTGAGGTACTTGATTCCTAACTGCCATGGCGTAAATGGCTGGCTGCCAACCAGCGTTGCTTTTTAATTCGCTGCATTACGTTAGTAGGATTCTTATATATTATATAACTCACTATTTAGAATGCGTTTAGTTTATGTTTCATCTTCTCGGCTTATTGCCCCGCTGTTACACTTATAAACGATGAAATCAACCACTTTTGCTACATCGGGTGCATGAAGTTTCTTTTCACCCTCAAAAATATTCTCGTCAATTCGACTTTATAAGTAATAAAGTTTTTTTTAATTAAAAACTTTGCACCAGTTTTAAAAAGAAATAGAACACTTTGTAGCGTCCCATATATATATATATATATATATATATATATATATATATATATATATATGTTGAATATTGGACCCTTTCTAAAGTTCTCTAATTCCACTTCGCTACTTCCAGCTGACAGCTGATAGTAAAGATTTTACTACTTTCTGACTGATATTGGAAAATTCAGATTTGCGTAGTGAGTTTTTCTAACAAAAAAAAAAAGACTAATATCTTCTATGGCGGGCTTCTTACTCAAGAATAATTAATCGTTCCTTTAATACTACTGTCATAAACGTTTTTAACAGAAAATTAATAATAATGCGTAAAGTTTGAACTCTTGAAACTTATTTGAACAAACTGGCATATACGTTATACCTCTCTTTTTCGCACACGAAATCCATTTTACGACATTTAAAGACGACTCAAAGCTACATATGTTTAACATCATGCCAAAATTAAAGCGAAAAATCGAAATATCGACGCCACTATGTAACTTTTATTATTATTTTTAAAAAAGTTAAACTGTCAAGATTCATCCTCGTTGTTTGGTTCGTACTTTTGTTTACCAGTAAGCCCATCGTTTTACTCAGCCATTAAGTTCTGCACACCATACTAACCTAGTAGCCAGCCATTGATTTAGCTAGCGCTGGCAATTAAGAAGCAGTCTTTTGCCTTTCAGTAAGTTTCTTGATAAATATGTTCTTGTTTTGAAACTGATACACTTAGTAGACCCAATAGAGTCTTAGTTTAATTTTAAAATTTATGATATGATGGTAGTTTTCCGGCGGTATGTCTCCAACGAAGTTCATACATTTCCAGAAGTCACCATATCATATCACATAAACCGGATCAGATCCGTGTATTACCGATAAAAGAAAAGGCCTCATAAGGCAAACCAGCTATGCCTCATAGAAGGCAAGAAAAACGAATAGCAGAAAATCATTAATAGAACCTGGATTGATATTTAAAACAAACATTTAAATGTATCTAGGCGTGCCCTTAGAAGCACTGCATACTGGTTGGTCGATTATGGCAACCGACGTTAACGACACTACATCAGCACAGTGGTCCTGAACTCGCTGTCTAATGTTGCCACTCTTGCCTCTACTGTTTTGTTTCTCATAGCGACCCACAATTGTATGGCTAACGAAGTCATTTTGGCTTTACTACCGACCCAAGGGTTAAGAGTCGCTCCACAATTCTGACCCATTTGAAGAAATATATATTTAGCTACTTACGTGATCGCTATCAACTGCACCGTTGACGATTGTCGGCTACAGTACATTATAGGAAATAATGTAGGCCAATTAAGTAATGAAACCTGTTCATCTTAAGAATATTGAATGCGGGGACCTTGGCCTATTTTCGAATGATTTACATGCTGGATGAAATAGAACTCTTAAGTTATCACTTGCATTATGATACATCTGAAGCAGAAAAATGCCGACGTAATTCTAGAAAACTGTGCTTACTTTCTGCATGCGAAGCGCAGCCGCCTCTTATAATGCGCTATTGTTCCATACATTCACATTCAACATAAAAGGCATAATACTTATGCAACTTCTTTGATGGAATAACCCTTTTGAAGAAACGCGGACCTTTGAAAATTGCTGAAACGTTCCAAATCTAAGGATTGGAACATAATGCATTTATATCGTGCCATTGATATCTACATCCCACATTTGTATACGGCTTACACGAAGGCTTCACCTTATATATCTTGTGACTTATATTTCAACTAAACCTCTATGAAGTGGCCAAATGAAGAACATTCTCCTTGAAGACTTCGTTACATTGATTGATTCGATATGAATGTCCAACGATATTCGATATTATGTCCAACGCTCAGCGAACGGCTTGCAACTACTTCAAATATGCCACTTGTCTACATCAATTCTTGTCGTTGGATAAGATTTTCGTTCCGAAGAATGAAGTTTTGGAGGCATAACTAATGGATTGCGCCATGAGACTCTGTAGGGCATTTTAACCAGGCCACAGCATTACACTGCGTACGTCCTTTCCTACACCTTCAGGATTGGAATTCAAGTTTCCGACTTGCTTATTCCTATAATCTACGAGAAACTTTTTCCATCCGTGTAGTTTCAAGTAAACAAAATTGGTTTTGGTTTTTTTTAATGCGGTGCTCTGCACTCGACGTACCTTTCAGCAATAAGGGTAAATAATACTAAAAGCATTCAATAGTACATTAGCGGTAATTGCAGATTAGCCATTGCTTCTACAGCACTCCTCAATCTAGCTGCAAACAAAGCAATAATGAAAATGTGAATGGGTCATGGCTATTTCTGAGTTGCAAGCACTAATCTAGGCCCGCCATGGCCCCATAGGCCCACTTTCAGCCAAAATCGGCAGTCGTTGCTGTTGTTATTGGACCAATTGCCGGTTCCGGACAGGACTGCAAAATAAGCCAATAACAAAAGGAGCCTCGGAAATGCACGCTATCAAGCGGATGAAGCATTCCTTGACTTGAGAGGATGTTGAACCAATTCATATTTGAAAAGATGAGCAGCTCGGGAGGCTTCCCCCAATAGGATCCTCCACCTACCGCTTCTATCTCTGACACGAGCACGAATCGAAAATGAGGCGGCTAATACAGTCGTACTCTATACAGGCATCTCTCTCTCTCTCTCTCTCTCTCTCTCTCTCTCTCTCTCTCTCTCTCTCTTTCTTTAAATATATGACCGATGATCAGGACAGGGTATAAGAAGAAAATATTGGAATATACTAAATTGCTTAGAAAGGTAATTTTTATGCCTATATAGGACATGAAATTAGACACTACAGCACGTACTAACATCGTAAAAGAAAGTCCATTGAAACTTCAACTTTTCTCCTGGTTTATTTAGTATATAACGTACACACAGTGCTCTTTTGGGCCGAAATTATCCAGTATGACATGCACATCGATGGTTGGTAAGTTGACATCATTGGAGTTTTATGGACTGTTGGGTTTAATTTTACGTTCGCTTCCATTAGACACTTGTGTCGGATTTATTCGGACGTTATTCCTGATTTATTAGTACTATATTACTCTAATTGTTAGTTTTACCCTATCGTTATAGAGCTTTGCCGTATTAAGTATATTTTCGTTGCTGATACTGTGAAATGTTTGGGAAACATAGCACACATATTCTTGTATTTTGCTGACCCAGCTGAAACACCTACGTTTTACTACAGCCCAAACGCAATCAATAAATAAGCGAAAAATATTTCCCCTTAATATTAAACACCAAGCATCTATTTTCTCATACTCGCTATTTTCCAACTTACATTTCATTTCTTTCTATCCTGATGTCGTAGCCGAATGGAATGCTGAACCGCTAATAGATAAAACCATGGAGAATATTTTACTCCTATAGGGGATCAGGCCTGCTAATGTTGACCAAGAAGAACGTACCAAAAAGGGCCTTAAGATAATTATTACATTCGTGTCAAGTTAACATTGACGTTATAATATGCCATTTTGCTGGTGCGGCTGAGCTTCGAAAAAGGCCATTATTAGTTCAAAAGGTCCAAGCAGAATAAAATAGAGAACAATCCGTAAATTCGATGCTACTGCTCCAATGACTATCGATTAGCATAAATGGGAATAAATGGATCAGATAAATGAAATGAATAAATCATTTACGCGCATATGGCACTGCTTTAATGGTCACTCCGTTGAGAGCAGAAGCCAACACAGCACTTCACTGAACGTATTGGACGAAAACTTTTGTGCGACTGTGGCCAGCTTTTTCGTGCAGAGTAGATCATGATTTATTGACTAATGAATAGTTTTCGATGACATTATTCTGGCAGTGCAATGTAGTCAACCGTTGGCGTGTTTTAACTAAGTGTATGATGGCGAATAGTGCTGATTTGTACACATTTAAATTTAAGAAATGTTCGCGGGGTAGCGTTTAGCATATTTTCTAATCGGCTGACCATTTCGATTCGGCGACAATTTCCACTCGTTGAATACGGTGTAATTTTTATTTTATCTTTTCGTTGATAGATGAAGACTGAAATATAGAGGGCGTTCGAGTCAAATGACGTTCAAACGTGAACTAAACTTTTAAACCTAATGTGCCCCATTTATAGTGAAGGTGCACACTATTGGATTAACTGCTCACATTTATCGACCCACCAGCAATGGGTGTGCTCGATAGATTCGAACAGAGAATTTACGTCGTAATATTTATTTTATGTTACGTAATATTTATAAATTATTACGTTGATTTAATTTATTAAATAGGTTATTTCACATCAGATGCTGCGCACCTGCGGGAAAGAGAAAATTACGTTCTTGGCTTGCCATGGCCTTTCAGATACAAATCTTGGCGAAAACAGAAGGTATTAATTACTTCGTCAAGTCAGTGTCACACTTTCATTCACGTCCAATCGCTTGCCCTCAAAATTCTAGCGAATTCCAGCGTAGCGCATCGACTATAAGTGAGGTTCATAAGTTAAAATCGAACGATGTGAAGTTCAAGCCTTTTAATGAAGAAAGAAAAAGCAACTTTTATGGGTCCTGCCATTGCCATATAATGAGATCATTTCCTGTGGGCGTTGCCTATATTATGTTTTATTTCTACCAAGTTCTTTATTTAGCTTGATGAGTTCTATCGAATGATTTTCTACGTTTATTGTTCAAGCAATTCGTTTTGGTTTATCAATGGCTTTCCAAATCAGCGTATTCTTATCAGTCGGACACTGCAAAAGCGAAAGTACCGAAAATGTAAGAGATGCGGCTTTTGCGCAATAGTTCAAAAATTAAGCGGTCCAGGTAATAATTCTTTATATAATCAAAGTTATAATATAATAATAATAAGACCAAATTATAATTCGAATTATTAAATAAAATGCGCAGCTAACGTAACCTAACAAGTGCAGAAGTTTTTTATCAAATTAAAAATAGACCAATTTATTTGTACCCATCGGAACATGTTATTTTCATGATAGCTAGACAGAGGTATAGAGCACGATTATTGTTCTATGGATGGTTTTAAACACTTTTACTTTGACAGACCTATTAGATCTGTCTGCATTTTTCTTACGCGAGACCAATATACGGGAACTCGAGTTCGCATCCCATGAACAAAAACTGATATTTAAATATTCCAAATAAGAGTCTGAATCGAGGCTTTTGAATCGACGTGTACTCGTCGCGTGAAGCTATGCGACTAGTCTTACCCATATATGAATGTTTATCCTCCCCCAAAGTCGAGGGCTTTACCAAATTTTTGGGGTAGCTCGCGGAACAGCCCTAAACAGCAGTGGCTGAATAACACGTACACGAGGTAAAATATCAACAAAATATTTTTAGTATAGCTTATCTTGTTTTTTCATATAATGCACTAATTACCTTTATGAACTAGTTTGTTTTTTTTTATTAAAAAACCTGGTTTATACAGTTATTTAGGTATTTGATAGAGTTATTATAAATTGAACGAATTATTATACAATGCCTTCGATGTAACCTTAGACCATCCACCTACGTATTTCAGGTGATGCACAATTTATACAATCTATTTATATACACGCTATGCCGAAATGTTAATCATTATCCTTAAGGCTTGCTTGAGATCGGTAAGCACAACCATTGAAATCAGCTAAACCCGAATCTGCTTCTAACACACGACAGGAAGAAAGTATGCTTTCGTATTCAATGGTCTACGTTTCGCACATCCGTCCAAAGCCGTTCAGATCTTACCATCTGTCCAGAATCTTCCAGATAGATTTCCCGTCCAGCTTGCGCTCCTGTTTTTCCCGCCAAGATCATTGAACAGTGCACCACTCGAAAAGTTTTTCGTTACAGATTTAATACGCTTCTCGGGTGAACTACACGTATTTCGCTAAGCAGACAGTCAAACACGAATAATACATAACCGTCATCGCCAACTGGTTTTGAAGGTTGAATTATATAACTGTGAACACTACTCTATGTAATTGCTACTGTGGCCTGATTAGGCAAGTAGTTATTTATTCTGTAATAAGTATTGTCACGGAAATTCAATTTTGTTTTTCACCGATAATATTACAGTGGCTGTGTCCACTGGGAGCATCTGACAGGCCATATATAATTAGCGGGTATACGAATGACTCTATTGCACGATGACTGGGGACGCGTCTAATTGTATTGGCTACCGATTTTTTCCGCATTGGATGGGGCAAAGGGACAAGAATTTCACACTATGATATAGTAAATACTTTAAACTTCATCACAACTCACTATGTGTAAGTGGACATTCTGCCCTATATCTTGTATTGTTAGATTTGTAAATGTTACTTAGCGAATTCACGCGTAACACGTACAGAAAACTTCACGAAGGCATTTTGTTCCGCAAGCAGAAAACATATCACTGAAATATCAAGAGAATGATGGCACAAATCAATTCCAGCGTATCGTGAAAGGGACAAAAGGCAAAGTGACACTGGTTCTTCCAAATAGGAATTCCTAACCGTCACCGAAACTTTTCCCCAAACACATAGATATGTTTATTTATACTAATTAAGTATATATTCGTTAAGTAGAATTAGAATGTGCTTCAGAAGCAAACGGTATTGAAGTGCAGAGACATTCATTTATTAAGGTCTCAATTCATCACTTCTATCTGATAAACGCTGAGTTTGTATAGCACAAGTTAGCTTGTTTAACATAAGGTAAATTCGGTGTTCGTCGTTAGATATCGCGTTGAAAAAAGAAGATAAAAAGTATTTTTCTTACTGTGTGACGTTTTCGACACGGACGGAATGGTCCCATGAAATCAATTGTTACGTTTCGTAAAAAGCTACTCTTTGCTAATCTTTAGATAAACTTTTTTCATAACATAGATTTTTCGAATGATCTAGGTTTCACTTCGTGGTGCACTTCTAAGGTAGAAGCAAACAGCGCAACAGCGTTGTCACATATTGAAAAAATGAACGTATCAAGTATTTGTTTCAATTTACAGTACATCTCGTGTTCTGGGCCACGCTCAGGACATTAAAGCTAGATATTTTAGCGGGTTGAGATTAAGTCGTTTGAAAAATAGATACTTCATTAAAATTCAAAGTCACTGTCATCAAAAATAAAGTTAGCGATAATATTTATGTGAAGCCCAACGGCAGGTCGGTTTATGGACATGATTTCTTTCTCTCGAGATTCTTACATTATTATATATAAGCAGCGCAAATTATGTTTTCACGCGAATATTACAAAGTGTTCAACTATGATTGATGCATCCCCTTCAGGTAATGAGAGGTACTTCCCAGTTCGGTTCTATAGACAAATATCGAGAACTAAATTGATTAGCATCAACAAAAAGTAGAAATGAATGAATAACGAGACGCGGATCGACGTGCAACGGAATATTTTTTCGACCTAAAAAAAATCACTGTTATTAGAAACTATCAAAGCCGATCGATTTTCTAAACGCACAACCATTTTCTGTTCAGCTTTGGCAATTTTTTCTAAGCGTTACGTGTATTTCGAGTATTCCACATATAGAGACACATAATTCTTTTCAGTCCCATACGAATAAAGGCTGCAAACCAGAAATTACTGAGTACACTATTAATAACGATGCTCTGACAGCAATTAGATGACAAGGCTGTTTTCTCTAAAAGATTTGTACTATGCTGTGAAGATTAGTATACTCTCTAAGCATTTCTTGCAAGTCCGATATGGTTCAAAACCATAATTCGTTACTCAACTTTGCTGGCGGCTAATGGAGAGCGAACACCTCGTTCGATTATGATGACTATACGCGTCCATTTATGAAAAACGCTTTCATAGAGTCCACTTGCATTGCTTCGAATTCACTGCATAAGGTCAGATATTTTAAGAGCCCAACACTTTCTAGCATACAGATATACACTTGAGTAAAAGTAGAGAATTCGCGGTTGAGGCCATTTTGAACTTCCCCAGAACAACGTTAAAAGTACGCCTCCACTCTATATATAACCGCGTTCAGTTGATATGCTTAGAAATCGCTTGAGACATCTGTTAAATAACAACAGTGAAAATACGATACTCACCGATTGTCAAAATGAACATCTCAGTGAGGTGAAATATTATTTCATGAGATGCAAATGGAGAGAAGAACTAAAGGAACCTGTTAGTATAAAGTTAGGTACCATGATTGACCTTTTAATAAAATTTAGTGAAATATTAACCACTGAGCTGTAGCACGTATTTGCCACATCACCTTATAATACTAAAAGTTCCATGATTTCTTTTGCAGACACAAACAAATTCAGAAATGTACGTTCGAAATCCATCGTTCACGGCTATTCCACGTTCACACGTTTCAGTATTGGGGCAACACTATTTAGTTACGCGCCTGTATCAAAAGAGCTCATTGAAATCGCCGAAACCGTTTGCAGGTTTTAACTATGATTTGGTGTGGGAGAAAAAAGCGCGCCCAGAGCAGACGACAATCGCGTTACTCGATCGGGCCCCGCGCAACATCACGAATATCGAATAGATCGGCGAAAAACCGTATCCCGTTTGGTCGCAGACAACTTCCGCAGCTGAATCTCTAGCACAGCCGGTTCAATTTCCGCCATACGACACAAAGCTATAACGAAATCTAGATTGAATGATATGATATACTGAAGAATTAAAGCGTCAGCTGCTATTGTGAGCCGAGAGGTCTCGTCAAAGAAACTGTGAATGGCATTTCAATGTCAAAGTCAATGACTCCATTCCAAGTAGATACATCTGAATGTTTACCGTATATCAAAAACATCTATTGCAATATGTAATGTATATGACAAAGTTATGAGGTGGTATCCACTTCCTAGAATCCAACGAATCTTACTTACGATTATTTGGCAGTCAATGCAGCCTTAGATTAGTTCACAACGTTCTTAACACCTAAATGGAATATATGCATTTTAGGGTCAGATTCAAACAGGTCATCTACATTTATTATCTAGACCTGCGCATCAAACGATATACTTTTAATAACAACAGTACAAGGATAATTTGAGTAGTTTCGCTCATGTAGATGCTTAAATTTAAGCGAGAAGCAAACTACAGCTTGATTTTCGTTGAAATTATATATATATTCTAAAATACTATATTTTAAAGTACATTCATCTTAGTTTTTATTTCTGTGTGCCCCCAAGGACACTCTAGATATAATAGGTTAAACACGAGATTACAATATAACCGTTATAGAGTTTTTCTACGATCAGCAGAAAGTACAATTTTCTATAGATGGACAAAGTAACCCGTGATTCTATAACAAAATATTCTTTAGATAGAATTGACAACCATGTATACTCAGTATCCAGAAGGCTACGGATGTCTTTTTGTTAAGCGTCATGCGTTGTCTTCAATCATTTTGGAATAAATGAATGATTCACGACCACTCACGAGGAGTTGAGAAAAAAAGGACAGATTATCGTGCAGCGGTGGCGGAAGGTTGTACTTGAACAGCGCTAGTGTAGCGATCTCGCTTCACCCTAGAAAGGTCTTCCCTAAACTCCCTGCGGTACCCTCTCCCATGAGGTGTACGTAACGTCACAAACCATTCACTTCCAGTCTACAGCATTGAGCAGACGACAACGACTTATTTTTTGTCGAAAAGCCAACAGACAGCCAGCCAGCCAACCAGCGAGCTTCGTCAACACCCCACTACCATAAAAACAGCCTCACTAAAACATAGGTGCATGTACTGCTCTCACAGTTGAAAATAGTTGGTATAGCAATAAACAGCTTCTGCTGGTCCTCCTAAGTCGCATGTCCTCGGCTTCGCTTGCTGTTGTTGTTGACGACACTTACACCGTCTTATAATCGTCGTCTAAGGCCGTTAAGGAATCGGACAAATTTGAGCGGGACAAACTATCTCACAGAAACATCGTCGTCGTCTAACATTGGCCGATCAGCTGTGAATGACGTACTCATCGAAACTTGCCAGAAAGGCTGCCTGTCAGCCTGAGTTAGCTGCCGGAGCTGTGAACTTACTCTAGTTCGAAGTAAGTCAGAGAAATAGTATCTCCACCTGCTAGCATTTCGGCGTGGAAAATTGTCGACAACTTGTTTATAGCTTCTGTTGTGTTATAGTGAATGCGTTAGTCTTGCGCAACATAAACTATTGCACAGGGAGTGCATTGACATTGGTTTGACAAATACAAAAGATAAAAAAAAATCAGGTAAGCGCAGCATAGCAGAGTGATTCAATCCGTTGGGATCCAAAAACTACTAGAAAATGGAGACTTCAGGAGAAGACCAGCTTGAGGTAAGTGGCAAGATTTGTTATGGCGTTATACGACTCAAAAACAAAAGATCATGCTCAAATCTGTCGTTTACAGTACGCTTTGCTATTGCCAATGCGCACTAAGCTGTTGATGAAATAAATGACATTGTACCAAAATTGACTAGGCATATTACATTTTGAACTTTGGGATTTGACCAATTACGGGTACGGATACGACAAAGAAATAACTATACTGTCTTGTGCTTATCGTTGCAAAGAACATTTGCTAAAGGTAGGGTAGTATACATTTATGTATATAACGAAGCATAGATTAAACTTTTCGTTTGAAGCAGTGGTGCGTCATCTTCCAAGACTCTATCATCTAGGAAAAAGTTGACAGCCAGTACTCTTGCGGATAACACGTTACAGTCAGTAAATAATAACGAAATATAACCGGCATTTGCTGATTTATAATCCAGCCCTGAAGTAAAATAAGTTGTTATTAGCGATTGACGCGTGGGAGTGTCACCAGGAACCCAACATTTAGCTGGGTTATAAAGACCGTAATAAATAATGTTATGGAAGCAATTTGATTAAAAATATTCACCCTATCGTTTTAAGGCTTTCAGTCGAATCAGTGTAGTTACGTGGTATAATACTGGTCCACAATCTAATCAACTTAACACTTATATGTATTGTATGTAGTCCTGCGTATAGGACAATTTCAGAATTTAGCAACGAATATTCACCAGTATCGTATCTTACTCTCAGTTGCCCTAAAAAGTTTCGCTTGGTATTAGAGTTTTCTTAGTCGATTCAAGGTTATGATTAACTGCATTTGATACGACGTATGACCAGACGGCAGTGCAGTCCATTTGTGCGGACCCGTAATAGCGCTCGAACGCGAAACGAAGCCTCGTAGTCTCCAGGACCCGCTATTTCGGGTACTTTCTTTCCCATAGTTCCCATAGTTAATGGTTTAATCTATGCTGTTTGTTTGATTATGAAGTCTGCTCGACTTATTATCAGTAGATGCCCAAATATCTCTATCATGATGTCTAACATAATGACAAGCCTATACATTTAAATGTTGCTCAGCAAATATTGAGTCTCTACTTGCTTTGCTTTATTCCATTCGTGACAAGGCTTTACGTTCCGTTTACGATTATAGATTGCGCCGCATTTGGCCCGCATCTTACAGCAGAAGTTGAATCAAAATCAAATTAACACGTAATGTATGAATGTTAGAACTGTTAGTTATATTAGCCCATTTAATGTGGTAGTTATTATAAAGGAGTCAGTTGAAAAAAGGGCCACTATGGCCGAAGTTGCAGGATATTCTGCGAACACTTCGCTGAGGCATTTGCCCGATTATAAGTGTGCGTGCTCTGGGGTTAAATGGGGTTAAATTTTAGAGACAGATAGATACATAAAAGATGATGATAAGGGAAGTATACAATGCGTACATACATGGTATGTTAAGTCAACTTCGTTATTCAATTTTTTGCTATAAATACGATTTACCTTGCAAGTAACGTATGTATATCAATTTATGTTTTTAGGAACACGGACGGGACATCGCTATTGTCAATATGAGACGCCCCACTGGAGAACCTCGAGAAGATGTGGTTTGTAAAATATTTTGACCGTTTCCGAGCTTCACTTATTTCTTTGTGCTTCATCATTACGAAACCTCAGAAAATAAGCATGCTTTTAGAATATTCTGGAGTATTTCCAACTTCCTTCCGAAAACTTCCTTCTGTTTCAATCTAAATAGACACAGAGACGAAACGTGACTTGAACTTAGCTTACCTGAACTTATATAACTCGTGAAGCCCCTCCAATAGATAGCAATTTCGCTGAGATACTATTTTGTAGAATGTAGCCTAAGTTTCGCTGTTATACGGCCAACATATGCAGATACTAGTATCATAAACACTGTTGTCATTACGAAAACAATACAAATTATATAGTTATCCTTGATCAGAATACACAGTTAGCTTTTGAGAAATACGGCCCTATGCCTTAGCGCATTATCTACAAGTTCGGCATCCTACTGTAACAATTAATACGTTGAATCCATATATAGTATTAGATATATTTTGTACGGATAAAACATATTTAATATTTAATTGTAATAATAATTAATAATAACAAATATAAAAGATTTCATGTAAATACATTTAGCGTAAAGAATACATTTTAGCGGCTGGATCAGGAAGTTTTCGTTGGAATCTGCTACTGTTAGTTGCTTATAGGAACGGGAAGATCAGTTATTTCGCTTTACTCTAACCTTAATTACTTCTCTGTATTTTGCCTTTAGGTAAACACTGCTACTGCGTTTCTTATGAATCCGAGAGTTCAACAGAGCTCCGTTGAAAAAAAGCACGCATTCCTGGTAAAAAAAGGTAGCGTATACCTATTTAGCTGTCGATCAAATTAATTTCGATCTGCTTGTGTCGATGTGCTGTTTAAAAATCATTTTGCCCTGTTGAGTAAAACTAACGTTGAACGGTAGTGACAGTTGCCGATACAAACTAGTTAGTAGAGACGCGAGGAGAAATTCATAGTGTGAGAATAACATAGAAGCTATTTTTGATATCAAACATAAAATCTGGTAGTATTTCGGAGTAATGTCTGTACTTTAATCGAAGTAAAGATCATTGCATTATTTCCATTATACCATTTCAAGCTTGGCTTTTTTGCTTGCTTATCTAAACGTTCAGTAGTACTGCCAAAAACCCGAAGAGAGTTTGTGTTATTACTTTAAGCTTTGTAATTATTTTAACCGCATAAAGGTCTACCTGCGTTCTGCTTGACACTGGTAAGGTCTGACCCCAGTAGAAATTGAAATGGCAATAGCGCGCTCGTTGAGAGCGCAACAAATCCCGCTGGAATCTGCAGCTGTACCTCGATCCTGGCTTGACACAGTGGGTAGCACTGTCATGGGGGTAGCGGTTATAGGCTCGGCAGCCTATGGGCTCTACTGGGCTTTCAAGGTACGGTAATAACATTGGCAAATCTGACCAGATAAGCAAGTTTATTGACATCTTATGATACATAAACATGGTTCGATACATTTAGGAAATCACTACAACAGAATAGGTATTGGTACTTGGAGACGCAATAAATTGATGAGCTATAACCATGCATATGTGAATATTTTTAATATGACAGACGTACATTGAGCCACATCTGGCTGATTCCCATCCCAGCTCACTTGAGCGTTCAGTCTCTGAATTGGCCGACGCCGTTCGTAAACTAGGCGAGGAACGGCGCAATGCCGAATTTCATGCAGATAAAAAGAATGCGCGACTGTATCAGCTAATGATTGACCTCCGGCAAGATGTGACCTCGTTGAAGGGGGTGTTGGTGGCACGAAGTCAGTTTCCTGTACCGCCAGTAACAGCCTCTATTCCTTCGTGGCAGCGAACACATACAAGTTCGAATGGAACTGGCATCAGAATTGTTAAATCCCAAGTAGCTAATGGACCTTCGACTACAGCAATGGAACCTGCCATGCAGAAGGTAAATAGCTTGTGAATCTTGTATTGTCGTTCCTTCCATTTAATTGGCGCCATTTTGTTCAGTGTCAATTTTTAACTTATAAAGCACTGCCACTTTATCGACCTCATAATTAGACCTCGAAAGAAGAAGAAAGATCAAGAAGTACAGAAAGTTAGTATGTTGTATTGATAATTTATAACTAAAGTATGATCTGGTTCCACAATACAAAATATGACATGTTAGTGACACTATTGTGCAATTTTTTTTGTGTATTAATATAAAATATATTAGTCTATATGATTTCGTCCGAAAAGTATTGCAAACAAATTAATTTTCAATTATTTTATTGATTATTTTCACTTTTTTCTAAACGATTTAGCCTGTAAACGGGACAATCAATGGCGAAACGACCGAGGAAGATACGAACAATAAAACAAACACGATGTTACAAGAACCCTCAATGGGTTGTACCAACGTCGGGGAACATCAAGAGATAGTCGATCAAAATGATCATCATCAGCAGCAGGAGCAACTAAATCTGGACGAACCTGTGAAGTTCAAAGACCGGAAGGTTGACCTAGAAGCATAGGCTAAGGATTTACGTAATCTCATCCGTTGCATGCTCCTTTTTTACTATAAACTTGTTAATCATAACTTATATTATTAAGCTAATTAACAATAGTATCATCATACTATTGTTAATATTATGTGGCTAAAAAACATCTTGATTAATGGTCTACGAAGCTGGATAATAGTTATGTCGTATACATTTGCAATAGGTGGCGCCAGCTGTCTTTGTCTCTATATTGCGACTTTAGAAAGATTCTAAAAATTAGAATAGAGAGATTAATTGTAGTTCCAAAATAATTTGCACTAATTAATAGCTATTATATTATAGCTAAGCGGACGTAAAAACAACAGCAATAATTCTCATCCATAACCAAAACATCAGCAGCTCGTTGATCTACCCAAATCGGTGTATGTGTACCATAGGCATGTACGTGCTCTTGTGTATATGCAGGCATTGCACTGTTCCGCCTGTTTGTTCATTATGACTGTTAGAAAAAGTTATGGGGACCAATTCAGATGATAACCAGTCTCACTTGACAAACGTTCGAGAAAAGCCAACGGCGTTACTTAGAAATATAGACTATACGTTGCACTCGTCGGAGGGGCATGCTTCAATAGAGAATTTTTTACAGTTTAATTGTTATTCATTATTCAGCGAGCGAAAATAAGTTTATACTTACAGATAGAGGTATACAAGGACATAACAGTTTATAAGACACGAAAGATAATGTAAAATACTATATATATATATATATAGTATATCATTACAGTCTTCTTAGCCGCTATCTGTTGAGGACAAACATAAAAGCAGCTGTATTTTTTTTACTTTTTACATCTCCATTTACCGTTTTTGTTTGCTTCGAACTGAAGCCAAAATCGATTATTGAAAGAAGTATATTTCAATGGATTACATAGAGATTTATTACATTAAAACCTGTACATTCTTCATGTCATTCGAAGACACGTTAGGAATTCCTTTTTGGAAATCGAACGACGCTCAGCGTGTAACAGATGTAGGAGTTTTCATAGAGACACATATGGTCAACGTCCCTTGACGACTTGCACAACTAGAAAATATGCAACGCTGTATGTGAGCGGCATCACGGTCTGTGATTACAGAGAGTAAACTAGAGAAATACGAAACGAAAAAGAGGTTTTAAGCTGGCAAGGATTACATTGAAGTCTTATATAGACTTCAATCATCACACATAATGCGCTATCCAGGCAAGGCAGACAAGGCACATACTTTGTAGGCAGAACAACAGCAACGTAAGAAACGTCATTATCAGTATAGAAATGGTACCAAATGGCACTGTATGGCACTTAATGAATAAATCTACACCCTTTTATATACAGTTTCCATAGATATATTCTTTCCCATATAATATTATATCGCATAAAATTTAATAATGGTATTTTTTAAAAAACGAGGGCAAAAGTAATTTTATATATCTATACTAGTTCTCTAAAAGATAAGGCTTAAGTCATTATTTATCGATTATCGTTGTGGTGAACGTTTTCGTCACAGCATAAAATAACAATACGTTACTTTCGAAGTGAACATTTTATTATATTTCTATTGTACCATGAGTTGAAAATTACAAAAATGAGGTAGTGTTGGTATTAGACAAAAGCAGGTTGGGAGTAAAGTTTTACGAGTCTCAAAATCCCTACAGTTTATGGTTTAATAAAGTCACCCTTGACCTCAAACGCTATGTCAATGCAATGTTCCGATTTAGTTGTATATTTTCTAAAACGTTGATCCAAAGCTACTAGGTTTCAGAATCTGGCTGAGAAGTGTCTAATACACAGTTTTTTTCGTTACATGCACTCTGCCCATAACAATGGGTACTTCAACAGGACTGTTCTCTTAGAAGAATACTCTAACTACCAAACCTAATGCCATGGATGTATTGTAAGTACGAAAAGTCAGACAAGGCCAACCGAAGTTTTCGAATCTTTTCAAAAAAATTTTGTACCGGCTTTGCAACATTTTAGTCCATCCATGGTTCAGGGATCACCTTAATAATGCAACAGGGAACAAAAGTTGAGACGTTTTTGAATTTGAAAGTTATTACTAGTCAATTAGTGTTGCATATAGATATTTCTCCCCAAAATCGTCTACACTTATTGAGAAATAATGCAATTAATTATAATAGGTATAGATTTATTGGTGAAATATACCAGTAGCAGAGACCAATTAAAGTCACAATAATAGACACCCTTGCATAAAGGCAAAAATCTTATCTGGCAAGTGTTGTTTCTATCAGAATTGTGAGTAATATCGCATGTCACGTATTATTGGGAATTTGTTTTATACACGGATAGTGTGTAATTCCCACATATTTTTTTTGTTAAAAAAAGCACTAGAAAGAAAACAATAAAAAATATTATACGGAAGATTATCTTATGAAGCATCAGATTTTAATTTGTGTCTCATAGAGTAACGAAATTTGACCAAATCCTATTTTTTCAGCTTTTAAAACTTAACGTATAAAAATAAAGCAGACGTTCGCACCCTGTACGTATAATTAGCATGACTAAATAGCTTTATACAGCGCTAATCATTATCTTCGAGCATAAGAACAAACCCTATTAATATGTTGAAGCCGCTTTTTCACACAGTCTGCAAGGTTTGCCTACGCAGAATAGATCTAAGCATGATCTAGGGATCTCATACGTTGTGTCATGTTTCTTGAGAGACTCAAACGGAAAGAGCAGATCCGCTACAGATCCTTGGGGTGCATTTATGACATCGGCAATGATAGAAATAGTGCGTAGATGGTATTCGATACACCCGCAATAGACGGTCGTCTAATTGGCCAAAGTTAGCTGTCGGTACGTGCCGTAAGAGAAATACTGTGTCAGTTACAGATGTATGTAATTAGCATGTATGTGGTTCAAATGAGCTTTTGTTCAACAATTTAATATTACGAAGCAAAAACAAATCTCAAATAGAATAACGTGTACAATCTACTATCCGCAATATATTTCCCTGACTGTCCTATATATTAAGATATATAGGAGAGCTTAGATCTGTTGAACCATCCTAAACAGGTCCTTTTTACAATAGCAATTTTAATTTTTTCTAGCTAATGCTAGTTCCTACATTATCGCTTATTCTTGCGAAGATGTAACGTTGACACGGTCGGCGCCTCTTATATTGTTCGTATCGCTCTCTTCTCGTAGGGCTGCGTTCACAGTCGTACGGCTCGCCAGCATCGGCGAGCTGTTTCCGAACCGCGACGTCGTCAGCTCTTCCACAACTCACACATGCAAACATTTCTATACACACAGGTTTCCATGATGCCCCATCGCTACTCACCGGGCTGATTGTTCACTTGGCCGTGGCTGACTGCCAATTGGTATGTATGCGTTTTTTACATTGCTAGGTAGTGTTTCGCTGTACATGCCTCTTTTAACTATTTAGCTGGTTGGTTCGTTAATTCGTTTGTCAGCGTGTAGATCTGTGTGTTTGATGTGTGCGTTTGTGTGTGTGTGTGCAAGCCTTGTTTTCGAGTCGGTTGAAGCACCCATTTATTGCCTTTCCTGCGCCGCCGTCGCCGCCGCTACAGCTGATGTTTGCAGCATTATGGGCGCCAGAAGCAGGAGCACGAACAGGAGCAGCATCGTTGGCTCCTGCTGCTGCCAGTCGCAGTAGCAGTCGCAACAGCAATGCCGGCAGGCCTGACTAACCTTAAGCGGCTAAGAGACTAACCGGCCCATCACCAATTGTGCCAGTAACAATACTAGTGTTGGCGTGGTAACACCGTACGTTGGCGCTCTTAGTTACGGCGTGCATCTGATTCTTAACGCAGCAGATAAATCCGTATCATGGTGTGACGCCACCGGTGGGACCGGCCACTGCGTGTTGTCGTCTGCAGATGGTGTCGTGTGTTCGGCAACGGCGGAGTCGAGGCGCCGTTGTCGTTGGCTTGTCGTGCTGTCGTGACCACCGCTGCCAGTGGAGCACTTACGAATGTTTTTACGTTGTTGTTCCTACGTTTTGTTTCTAATAACTAGCAGCAGCAGCAGCAGCAGCGGCTCCCTCTATTGGCGCTGACCGTGTGCCGGGTACCTTTAACGCTGCTGGTGGCCTGCTGCTGTTGTTGTTAGCTTATGGTTAGCCCACTAAAACCTATTAACAGGCCGTAGCTGCAGGCTCTTCTTCCTCTCAGGCAACAGTCGATGCTAGTTGTGGTGCTACGGTGACGTGCAATGACCGCTTACGGGTGGGTGGTACACTGCCTGACAAATTTGTTCGCATCTAGCAACAACAACAACAACAACAGCAAAAATAACAACGATTGCTACTTGTAATCGGAAAGCAATAAACAACAACGTACGGAGAGATAATTCGTGCTCACCTGGTAACGAAACTGTACTTGCAGCTGTTACTACTGGTGTTGCTGCCAGTGGTGTGTTGTTTTATGTCGTGTGGTGCTACACTGCGTGCGCGCGTGTGGAGGTTAGTAAGCGAGAGTTATCTGAGAGCGGAATAGAGTGAATTGCTCAGTCGAAAAGAGGTCGAATCGAATCGATGATGCAAAGACATTCAATCGAATGTTTAGTATAGTAAGAATAGCAAATGTGATGGGAGCAACAACAGTTTGTGACAACATAACAAATACGGAAATAAACAGAAAACATATTTAAGAAATCAGCAAGCAGGCATAATGGTAGCCTGGGCGGACGTACCACTAATGTGCGGTATTCGGGACATTAAAAACGTCATGACAGTACGCCATTTCGGCATATGTAGACCTGGTTTCGTGCAGTTCGACGCGCGACGACCAGTACGAGCATGCGGGCTTTACCGAGCCAAAAAAAGGGGTCATGATTCATTAAGGGGTGATCATTACGGTCGAATCAGTCGAAGAACAGTTGCACCTAGTCTAGTAGCGGTTCTAGACCTAACTTGAGATAAGTGTGAGGGTAAAAGACGGGATTCTTGAAAATTCAGTACGATGAAGTATGATTATCGATGATTAGCAAGATGGTTAATGCTGAAAAAGCTCGGATTATCAATTGCTGCTGGGGCGGCCATGCGGAATCGTATTTGATTCGCCTCCGTAATCTTACTAAAATATCAGCAAAAATCAAACGGCTAGAAAATAACGGTAAAGGTATCTTGAGTACAAAGAAATAACCGGTGAAATCGTTGATGGCAATGATGATGACGATGATGAATCGCAATCTTCTTCACTGAATCAAACAAATCTGTATCGTTTTAGCATCCTCGAAAGATTCTGCCAGGTCGAAAAATTGATTCGCGCGTGTTACAGGAGGGGTACGTAATTACGTCAACGTGTTCGGTGCGGTTTTGTTCGGTTCGATGCGTGACTTCGGCTGGATCGTTACGAAGCTTTCGGCGAAATCGACTGAGGCTCGAAGTTCTACGGCTGTTTAACTTCAATCAAGCTAATATCACGCACCGTACGTGTTCTTCTGGACTTTGCACATGAACTTCCTGAGTTCGGCATTAAACAATTTAACTTTTTAAAGCTAAATAGGCAGAGCCGAATTAAGTATTATTAACGTTTTTATTTTAGAAAGAACAACCTACAGGCGAAACAATAGTCTATATCGTCACCGATTCTCGAGGCAGTAATGGGTACAACGAAGATCTTTGTTGGCTCACTCCCTGAGGGCACTAGCAGCAATGATATCCGGGCGCTATTTGAGGCGTACGGCGCGGTCGCCGAATGTGACGTCATCAAAGACTACGGCTTTGTGCATATGATGAACGATGCTGATGCTCAAGCCGCTATCGAAGCACTGAACGGCCACGAATTCAGGGGAGTGGCCATCCTCGTCGAGGAATCGCGATCACGTGTCCGACATCAGCCAGGCATGGGCGGTCGGATGACGTGCTTCCGTTGCGGTCGTCAGGGACACTGGAGTAAGGAGTGCCGAGCAGGTGGGGTAGGCTCAGATGGGAGCACTGCGTATCGTGAGTATCGGCCGGGCCCGTACAGCCGCCCACCAGGGTACGACCGCCGTGGGCCACCGCTTAGAGGAGGTCCGGCCTCATCGTCCTACGCAGGATCACCCTACGAACGCTATGAGCGCCACGAACGTGCAGGGAGCGGTACAAGTGGATACGATCGTGATCGCTACGAGCGGTTGTCAAGCAGCGCGTATGATAGTCGTGGCGGTGGCTACTCCGAATCGCGGTATGAAAGAGCGTCACCTTACGAGGATACATCCGAGTACAGACGCGCGCTACGCTCGATATATGAGCGAAGATCTGATGACTACGGCTATGAACCACGAGGAAGCAAAGAATATGGCTCATCGCGTCGGGCGGAGTATTTTGACAGACGCAGCCCCTCAAAAATTAAGTACTCCAGACGCGACTCGTGGACGAACGGGGGCGGCAATCGTGGCGGTAGCGGCAGCGACCGCGAAATTCGACGAGGCTATGAGAGCAGTCGGAAGTCTTCTTCTGCATACGAGAGTAGTCAATCGGTGCGGCAGTACACTCCCCGAGATAGGTATTACTAGATCAAAAGTGGCGGGAAACGCGGGCGGCGACGAGAAGACTGGATAAACTGAAATCTCATTCGCCGTCGATTAAAAAAATAAGGCAAGCTTGCCTGAGCTTCAAAAACGTGTGAGTCGTCATTATTTTAGTCCCGCCATGTGTCATGGGGAAGCATAAGCGAATATAAAGGAAGCATACGGAAGTGCTGGGTGTAACGAGCGAGATTACAACTAGTTATTGATCCTCTTTGCGAATAATGAGAGCTATATTATGCACACGTGAACGGCACTTTGCGAGCCTTTGTGACGAGACATGTAGAAAATAAAAGAAATCAATTAATTATCGTTGAGTATCAGAAGGAATTAATGTTAATGTTGCTCCGTTAGTCTGCGAAAAAAAAAGAGTTGTATGAGAGATATTTATCTCTAGCTTGACTTATCGCAACGTATCATATCGTTATAATAGTTATTATAATGACGATACTAGTAAATATTATCTGTTTTTACCCGATATCACAAGTGAAATTATGGCATGCAAAAACGTTGAAAAATAATAACATATACTTTGTTCATTACATAAACACAATCGCATCTAAATGTATATGACAATACCATGCGTGTGAACCATGTGACCCTGAAAGCTACTTAATAACGACATGTTTATTCAGTTAGTGATAGCGGTCGTTATATATATATATATAAATCCCGGTGACCGGTCTTCAACGACTTCAACTTCTACTACAAAGCAATTATCAATGAGCAGCTGAAGCGGACGACAAATTAGAAAAACCAGTGAATGACAATTGATATTTGACAAGTGCTTATTATTCCTTAATTTCTCATAAATTGTGTAACATATATGTATGTCGTGTGCCGGAGCTCAAAGCAGCAGGTAGTAAATGATATAAATATATGGCCGGGATTTTTGAGAGTGCATCATTCATAAGCAAATCCTGAATGGATCGGGGATAAATAAGTCGAGAAATGACCAAATTGTGAAGCCAGGGAAAAGTATGATTGGTGAAGACGGAAAAGCTGACTTATGAAGATTAAAAAAAATCTCCGCGAATTCTATGGAAACAATGTGTAAATTGTATATTGGCCGGGTTTTGCCCTACAACAAACATTAGAAAATGAACCTGCTCGCCTCAGCAATACTGATGTACATTTCGGAGAGGACATATACACAACCAAGGTCCATTCAACATAAATAAAATTATCCTAAAATCGTATACTTTTGTGCTCTCTGTTCTTTTGGCTCTTAGAAAAAAAAAGGAACACTATTTAATATTTCTGTATTTATTATCCCTTGTCACATCTGGAATAATCTTCTTAGTGTCATATATACGACAATAATTGCGAAAGAAATATGTTTATTTAAACGCGTGTCGATGTATTTGTGCGAGCGGTAACCTCAGATTCTGTAACTTGTTCCGTGCATTAGGTATTTTACTTAGGCGCAATACATACCAGCTAGATGTAACAACAATCACCAACAGATGAAAACACACAAAACTTACTTAAGATCAATTTTATAATACATTTGTTCACTTGATAAAAACCACTAACGTTTGGAATAGACTTAAACAGGATTACAACGCATGAAAGATGTACGTTGGGTTAGAAAAATAATGATATCAATTTCTGAATTACAATATCACATCATTTACTGAATTACATCATTGCAAATATTGAGTCAGGTTTAATGTATCTCTTTATAGTACATATCCGTAAAATGTATGGTAACTTTTTTTCGACGAGTCATTCACTGGTTAGCGGGATGTCATTTTCTTCGATATTTTTGCTGCTCAACATTAATTTAAGTCGTATGGCTAAATAACTGAAGATCTTTGTAATTATTATCATAAAACTAAACGGTTTGTAGGATAGTATGAGAAGGCGATATTCTTGGAGCTACTCCAAATCAGTACTTCATTTTATAGAGTCTCGAACACCGACATAACTTAGTGGTAATATAGTGTACTTAGAAACCCTAAAAGATGCTGTGTATGTTCTTATTACTCCACACATGTTCTGTAGCAGGACCTGACTCGAAGTTACGATCATCTTTAGACAAACTCATCCGTTGTAGTAACGGTTCGATTATTCCACGCAGAAGACTCTTTAGTTGTAAGTAACGGAATAATTAGTGCCTCGTAATTTGGTTCGTACTACTACTTTAACTATGAATCAGTGTACAGATTCGAATTTATCACATAGTAAAAAATAGCAAATATTGGAGTACCCAGATTCGGTACTGACAGAACTATATAACATATTTGGCCAGTACGTACTTATTACAGAAGATTAAAAATCTGAATTGTTTATAGAGCTATGCTCGTTATTTGCTGATCATTGTGACGTCGCTCAACATCGTTAAAATATCAATTAGACGCATAGTATATACCCAGTTATGGACAAATTATATCCACTGTAATAAGGTAAACTCAGGTAATAGGGTAGGTAAGGAACCTTAGTACCTCCAACGCGTTCTCTGTTTTTACGTACATATTTCCATTTACACAACTGAATGGATGGTGATTATCATATTAGAGATCGCTTACCTACTGTGCGAAAGTAAATATATTCTTTTATTTCAAAATTATCTCGCTTACTGTATGTGTGAGGGACGAATATTACTGTCATGTGCATGATACGATGCGGTCACGCTACTATAGGTGATAGAACAGACCTGTCTGAACTTGAAGGCATGTGTAAAGATTCAGTCAGCAGGCTGACCTTGTTCATATGTCATGATATTTTATTTAACGAAGTTAGATAATGTAACTCAAAAATACGATGTTATTTTATTACGACTGGGGATTTAACGTGGTTAAGTATAGCTATTGGCACTCGTTCAATGAAAACGTTAAGGATTGCACAAATATCAATCAAATACATAAGGCGCAATGAACTAATTGCTCAGAAATGTTTCACGTAAGGCTGACGAGTAATTATTTATATAATATACACACTCGAAGATAAATATATTTGAATTGCCGAAGTTCCAATGGTGAATTCTCCCGTTAGAAATATATGGTGACTAAGTGTATAGTGTATGTTGTTTACATGGTATGAACACACCAATTAATTATGTGATGAGTTACAGGACGTCTAATATTATTGATCAAAAAACCGCTTATCAAAAAAAAAAAACGCTTTGTTTACAGACAGAAAATTAAGAACAGACAGAACTTAGGTAGTGGTATTGTTGTCGTGCATAACCTGTCGTTAGTGGGTCAGACGTCAGCTAGAGACCCATTTCCAATGAAAGACTGGCTTCAATAACTCGTTTGGCCATTCAAGCTTCTTCCTGATTTATATCTTTACATTATCTTAAAATATGATTACACTGTTGCTAACGTCTAAAAAATCACGTGCTATACTGATAATCTTATCTATTTCTTCCTGGTGATCGATTCAACGGGCGGTGACACTTCGACACCATTTTCTTGCAGCAGTTTTCGTAGATAGCGATTATTTTCTTCGAGCACGTGGCGGTAGTCACGTTGGGTCAACAGTTCTTGAAGTATACTTTTTCTTCTTTTGTTTCAAGTTTATCTTCAGTTTGCACCTTTACCGTGAGTACAATGCCTAGTAAACGGAAGCAGACGAAGATTTATGAAACGTTTTATTGGTTTTCGGTAAACCACTTGATTGAGACTATTCGTGGCTACTTAATTTCGAAGAAACACGCTTAAGAAATACACTTGACCATCAAGTTCATCAAATCAAGTTAGACTAAAGACTTCCTATAACAAATTCACTTAACTGTCTAGTGCTGTTATAAAGTTATTTATGCAAATATAATTTATTTAAGGCATTTACAAATATTCGGTAAATCGTACACTTGCAACTCATAACAACAACTTGGAAACTAATGCATTTCACTCATGTTTCAGTTAAAAATAAGATCAGCAATTACACAGACATCTTTGTCTATTGCGAAGATTTTGAAATAGAGCCCCCAAAATCGTTACAAACAAAAACATAGTTTACATATATTACATATACGACTAGTTTACTTTATATTTTCTATGCTACCCTTTGTTAATTATATATGGGACTGCGGAAAGCTTTGCACATACCTTAGATATATAAAAGACTGAGTCAATCATGATCACTTTTTTGATCTCATTTCATCTAGAAAGATTCAAAGTAAGCTTTTAAAATAAAAATATTTTTCTTTATAAAAATGTGTATCGCTTAGGTTTCCCCGTCTAATTTCCATACATCTAGCTCGACAACTGCGTCCATAATCCTACGTTCCAACTATTTCACTTTTATGCAAACGACAGAACTCCACCCATCATTTCGGCTGCTATGTTTATATCTGCTCACAAAAATAAGGGCACTATAATTCACATAGAAACTGAATGCCGACCTATATGAACGAATTTGAACAAAATATTATTTACTTTTGTCATGCTAATTGCAGCTTTAGTGTCACAAGGTTATTAATCCATTTAGACTTATATCTAATACCAGTCACGTACAGTCAACGTCGTTATTATCGGATATCATTCGCATATTTATAGCGCAAATGAAAAAATCAATTCTATACAATGTTTGTCTACATCTAACACATACTGAAAGTATCGAATCGCTAGCTACCTGTCAACGGAAATGACTGTTGCATCTGCTGCTAAACAGGTCTATTCGTGCACTTAGATACATTGCTTGTATGCACGATTGTTCCATTGACTTTAATTACAAATTGTATTTAACTTATGCCATACTTGAAAAGTTGATCCTTTACCCACTAAAGAATCCACTGAAAATTTTGCTTGCCTATAAAGTTTCCTGCCAGCCGTCCGCGTGATGACTAAATGCCCTAACCCGAATATTGTGCTAGTTCTGGTGTACGTGTACATATAGCCCTTTGCTCCTTTCACTTCCCTTTCACTCATTGCTTCGCTTGTTCCGCCAATAGGCCGCTGATTTATTGGTCAGGTGGTGCATTTAGCCCGTGGCGCCGATGCATGATTACATTAAGTTTATTTACACACAACTGTCAGCTGTGTGCCTCATAGTGTTTCACGCAGCAGGTGATAAGCAAGCGCTTTTCTGGTAATTGCGATCAAAATTTCTTACGACTGCACGTCCAATGCTGTGTTAACAGGTAAGTTGTGACAGATGTTATAATACTAATCGTAAATGTTAATCTCGTCACTGCAGTTGTTGATAATACCGACGTATAAGACTGCTGACCCTTAGAACTCGGAAAATCTATTCGATTCATACAGACGGAGTTATTCCGTGAAACTTAGTGTCTAAGGTGACGATAATAGTTGCTACTATTACTGTCATCCCAAAAAGAGATATAATATGTGACCCTTTATACGTGATTCTGGGCAGGAAAATCATGCGCAGTTCGAATAGTTCTACGCATGATGCATGCATCAGTCATCATCATAATCACTTCTTAGCGAAATAACTCGACTATTAGGGCGAGTATGAATGATTAATAAAATTATTAGTTTTTTCAAAAAGCTAGCATATATTACTAGCAGGGTATAGAATAAAAAGCTATAGATGTGCTCGCATTTGTAAATGCAAATTCCAATATATTATAAGTTGCGCAATTTTTGCTAAGTCTGAGGAACGACTGCAACGAATGTTTGCAGGCAAACGAGTTACTGTTGCCGTTCTGTGACAGCTTGCATTGTGTACCGCTTTCGGGGGCAAAACAATGAAAGTTCTCGTTACAGGCGGATCCGGTTTAGTCGGCCAAGGACTACAGAAGGCATTGCAAGATCCATCGCAGGTGCGGCCTGACGAGGAATGGGTGTTCTTATCATCAAAAGACGGCGATCTCCGTAATCCAGCTGCGGTTGAAGCAGTCTTCACCAAGCATAAGCCAACACATGTTGTTCACCTTGCTGCATTTGTGGGCGGGTTGTATCGCAACATGCGGCTTAATTTAGATTTTCTGCGCTTCAATCTCGCTATTAACGATAATGTGTTACACGCCAGTCATATGCAAGATGTATCAAAGGTGGTGTCGTGTTTGTCAACCTGTATATTTCCAGACTGTACAACATACCCTATTGATGAGACCATGATTCACAATGGTCCTCCACATCCCAGCAACTTTGGGTACTCGCATGCCAAGCGACTGATTGATGTACAAAATCGAGCGTATTTTGCCCAGCATGGTTGTCGGTTCACATCTGTGATTCCGACGAACGTCTTCGGACCACATGATAATTTCAACATTGAGGATGGACACGTCCTTCCTGGCCTCATTCATAAAGCTTACATGGCAAAACGAGAGGGGAAGCCGTTTACTGTTTGGGGTTCGGGTAAACCTCTCCGTCAATTCGTGTATAACTTAGATCTGGCACGCCTGATCATCTGGGTGCTCCGCGATTACCCGGAGGTTGATCCGATCATTTTGTCCGTTGACGAATCTCAAGAGGTGAGCATCGCAGAGGCGGCTATGATGATAGCTAAAGCTATGGACATTTCACAGGACAAAATTGTTTTCGACACATCAAAATCTGACGGACAGTTCAAAAAAACCGTTAGCAACGCCAAATTGAGGCGTTATTTGCCTGAGTTCGAATTCACACCGATGGACGTAGCCATCAAAGAAACAGTAGACTGGTTTCAAACACACTACGAAACCGCAAGAAAGTAAATACCAAAGTGTGTAATACTTTAAATAAAATTCTAGATATTTTTCTATTATTGTATAATAAAGTTATCCGTTTCATATACTCATTTCATTCGGCTTTTATATTACATCTAACTCAGCGATACTACGACGTTCATTCAATGAACGGCTGAACTTTGTTTCATCGTCATCATACGATTCGAGTTGATAATCACCAGAACGCATAGATTCCGTAAACTAGATACCGTTGAAGAGAGAAGCTGAATTTCTAATGTTGCAGTCAGTTAATACCCTAAGTTAGCTCCTGATGGCACTGATAACGTTGAGGAAGCGCTGTGGAATTGTTTTACGTGAGACGTGTCATATATGCAAGTAATACTTACGTCTCCTATTTGTTCATAGAATAGTGAAAAAATTACATGAATATATAGAAAATAAATGCTGTTTGCAGGAATTTTTAAACCTTATTATTTGAAAAAAAAGGGTTGTTTTTATCGTTAGCTCTAAGAAAACTGTTTCTATCATGCTATGGTGATGCATTATTTCGGTAAGCATAGCTACTTCCAAATTAGTAAGATAATTTTTAAGACACATTGCACCAGTTTTTGGAAAAAGCTATTTTGTATTTATTTTTAAATGCTAATAGTTGTCGAGACAATCATCGGCTGCCAAAGGGGTTGATATACACATATAACTGTGACGATGCAGAGTTGAAAAAAATCTAGGATATAAAATCACAGCAAAGCCTTGTGTGACATAGAAAAAGCGTAATTTATCCGCCGCTTCATGTTTAGTCAAAATCATACGCAATTTAAAAATAGAAGTGATTAAGGGCTTTTGTAGTTGGACTTTCTAAGAAAAGTGATAATAAAATTACTATAAAATAAAGTAATAAAAGGGCTCTATTTTTGGCTAGTAGGCTGATTTAAGTTACTGCAGAACTCACTTGAATGCGCTACATATAAATTGAATAATAAAGAATTGGGGGTAAATATTGAGAACGGATTAATAATAGCGTTAATCCATTTTCTATGATGAAAAATTGTTTCTGCTTTGGTCAGCGGGTTGAACCTTTATGTGGATGCGCGATAGTAAGCGGGGTATATTTGCGCACGAAATAGATCTAAGAATATTGCTCGGCTCTTTTATTTGTGGTTACAGATAGTTAGCTTGACATCTGTAAACCAAAAAAATATATATCTCCGAAGCGTAGAGATTGTAATAGAAATAACAACTGGCCTCATACCATTGAGGATTCGGACGACTCGCCAAAGACGCACCACAATTACCAGGCTAGATCCGACAGAAACCACTGAATCAGGATTGTAGAAACCGATATCCAGAATCAATGATATGATAACTATAAAAGCATCAAAAACCTGCGAAACATGCAATTAAATTACCAATAGATACTCCTGTTACGTAACTTCCACTACTCATCATATTATATAAATACTTACTTAATATTCATATCGTATTTTTATCAAATATTGCATTGATAACGAATGCAATCCTGCACAAGAAAGTTCGGTTTATAAACCTTAATATATATATATGTGCAGTGCCTTATAACCATTAACTGTTTTTATACCTACTGTTTTAATTCTCTGTATAGGTCATTACTGATAATTTATTTATTACTATTTCCTATAGCACACGTACGTATATATATATATATATATATATATATATATATATATATATATATATATAAAATGAATAACCCTATCTATTATTATCTTTTTAAACATTTATTTTATGTAAAACCTTTAATAAAATCTGCGAAAGCCACGCTTCAGGAAAAAACGTCGGACTACAGTTATCCAAGTACATTGTTTAGTTAATAAATACTCCCCTAACGCGGTTTTTGCCGCTCTTGGGTCGTTTTCTAAAAAACACAATATATATATACAGTTTCAAATGTACATTTTATTTATTTTGTTTCGAATAGAAAGCAAATAATACTACCTCAAGTTTATGGTTTAGGAACCCAATAACGCTAAACGCGTACACTTTAGCTATAATTTCGACGACGAAGATCGAAAGAATCGCTATCGAAAGATGGTGTAATACCTGCAATATTCAATCACAATCATTATTCTGCACCTTCTATAAGATAATCCTAACAGCTGATGGTCGTGGTTATAATGACGATAAGGAGATAGTAAAAGCGATGACTACGCTTTCAACTTCAACACCATATATTTAGTAGACCAATATAATATGATATATTAGCTTTCATTGAGACGCAAACAAGGACTCATGACATAGGCAAATACTATGCTATTATTTGTATCTAATGATGGAACTGGTTAAAAATTTATCATCTAATAGTACTGTGGGAAAATGAGATGTACGGACTAAGTGCTGATTAATTTCAATAAGGAATATTTTTAAATCCGTGAAGCGGTCGATTTTATAATAGAACTCATAATGGTTTCTACTTTTATATTTAACGACTAAACTTGAATACGCTAAACAAAAGGACAATGGAAGCACTCAGCGCTGGGATTTTCGTTCTTTCAACGGGACTGTTTATTTGCAAACAGCATACGTGCTCCTGGGTGGGTATAACTTCTATGAATTTCTGTAAAAAGAAAACTATAAAAAGTTGTAAACTTTTTTTAATTTCCTTGAGAACTTATAATTAACCCTGTATGCTGCAATGACGCCTGTGAATACCTTTTAGCTTGCTATTTATATTCTAATTATTTTAATGGGTTATACGTACATGAACGTAGTGGTTGTAGTACCGTTCCTGTGGATGTCCTCCGACAACTTCAAGGACCCGCCTCTCTGCCAGCAGTTCCACGACGATCAGAAGACAGTCAATGGTGACTAGCATTACAATAATGACCTAGTTATTAATTAGTAGAGGACAGTTTGAGGTGAAATATTAGTAAATTATCTCTATTAAACAAAAAAGAACATACGTTCTTTTTGCAAATCGTTCACAGGATAACTAAGTACGTACTCAAAGATAAATACTAAGCAAACAAACCAATAAAAATTTAGTTATGAATTAAAAATACAAAGATGAGTACACAGGCACACTTGCAGGAAAATATAGCAGAGCAGAGGCCAAAAAAGATGGAATAGGATATTTCATTGGATGAAACTGTGCAATGTCTTTTGTCTGGCATTTTTACAAAGCATCACATTTATTTTTAGTAATATGTGAAGACTACCAAATTCGAGAAAACTCAGTTGGTTGCTTTCTTGCTTTTAGATAGCTCATTATGTCAGGCTATCAGCTTCTACATGAAGTGTGTGTAAAGATCATGACATCGTAGATAGTAGATGCAATTTTCCATCTTTGTACAGGGTAAATGCAACTTCCTTAAGTTAAGGTTATCATCTTAAGGAATTAAGTCAGTTTATGGAGCTTTTACTCATTGTTATAACTATTATTATACTAAAATTTAACAGAGCAAATCTTTAAATATTATTAAGATTATTTGTTCAAAATAATCTTGTACTGTTAGAATTAAATTAGCTGTAATATACTCTCTTATTGAAAAGAATTTATAACGTACAGATGCTGTGAAACTGTATGACAGTACATGACATATTTTCAAGAATAGATCAATGGTGACCTTTTCATTAAATTGATGTGAAGGTGAGCGTATCAATATGGTTCCTTTACGTTCAAATACTGCTGGTATTATATACTAATTATAATAGAATGGTATAAACCTGCGCATTGCCCGTTTGTCTCGGATGACGATATTACGAAATGGCGCATTCTTTGACGGTGTTACATTTCCTAAGCTAACTAACTACCTAAGCTGAAACATCTGCTGCTCGTTCTCGATCCTGAGGTGCCCCGGAATTCCGAAAACTTACTCATATGCTCTCTGTTTTAAAATGACAATTTTTAAATATTTATTTGCTTTACATGTCTGACCAGTACTGCTTAGGGATCTTTTATACAAACAAAAACAGACCGATATAAAACGATTGCAAGTATGAACGCCCCTTGGGTGTTTCCAGCACGTCGAACACGTCGCAGTTAATAAATGATTCAATATGGTCTGTCATTTTACTAAGTCAAAATCGGACGCATGGTTGTAATGAAATTAATTAAGTCTATTGTCAGTCACCGTCCACGTTTGATCTCTCAGCTAACTTTGACCACAATAATGTCCTTATATGACTTTCTTACAACCTCGGCCTTTACTCCACTTAGCAGGGCTTATTATAACTAGATGCATACATAACGAACAAATCGGCATGACATTAATTCTACAAAAGCTCTACGTTGAAATCTAAAACGTTACTAGACTTCGGTTATAATTAAAGTGCGACCTGGTAAACGCCCGGTCGGAATGGAGACTTACGCTGTTGCAAGTCTGATAGTAAACCATTATGGTTTTGGCTTTTCTTCATTGGATTAACCTGGGTTAGAGTTGATGGATCAACACGTAATTGAGCTAAGAGCTCTCAAAGCTTATACCCTCGCAGCGGAGAAAATGCCTATAACGATGAAAATGAATTTCGAATATATTGCGAGAGTAGAAAGTGTTTTGGTATACACGCTGACAGGACGTAATTATAAGGTAAGGGCTGAAATTAAGAACTTGAATAATTTGAAAAAAATCAGCTAACAATTGAACTCAAAGTCTTATGTTTATGAATTTTGCGATCTCTAAGGCAGGCAGCCGATAAGACAGTTCCCTCCGTAGGGAGTGCTATAAAGGGAAAAGGATGGTTAAGCGATGTACAACGTTGTTTGCCTATTGTCATTAATGATACTTACGTAGAACCTGTGCGAATGTAGGAAATGACTGAGTCTATGCCGCAACGTTTTATGGGCGTGCAAATCGTGTTCGGCGTTTACCTGTGATGATGCCGTTTCACCGATGTCCGAGTTGTTAGAGGCGCTCCCACCACTTATCGTGTCGCACCCGCCACTCTCCTTAATGCTCCCGTAAGCTGAAGCACTCATCTGTACAGCATTCATTTCACTGGTTTCCGAGCTGGTCTCCCCTTCTTTATTACTCACTAACAAAATCGCTGATGCGCTAACGCTAACCGAAGCGTCAGTTGACGCGCACTGCGTTGGCCGCTACGATGGTATAGGGCTTCCTATTCTGACCCCATTGTCTACTCTTGCTGCTACAGTTGTTGTCAGAGTGACGAAGATTAGCTTCGGTCGTTTAAGGGGAAGGAGTTTAACGGGTATAGCTGTCCTATTCAGTCAGTATGTGCGTACACGACGCTTCTAGGAGATTAAATATGCATTAGAGACAAATGAGGCTCAGCGCGCTATCTACTGCATGACAATGCTCTAGAACCTGAGTGCAAGACTGGAATGTATACGCGCATTAGTCGACTAACTGCCCGTTCAGTCATTCTGCTAGTCTTTATGGCAACAAGATGATACAGGTGATAACGGGAACAACAGCATCAGTTATGACGTTCGTTGACGGTATACGAACATGTAGAACTCGTAAAAGCCAGAACAACCGCCTTCTTTGCGGTAGCAAAAGTTTAGACATAACTCTGTATCTGTCTTTTAGAGATTCCCCACCGTTTTCTTATTCAGCGAGATTCGTCGAATGGGGGCGAGGGCTTAAGAGAAGCTATTTGGGTTCATCTCAAGCAGCGGGAGAAAGGAGGCCACAACAATAACAACATCAGCAACGTTTACAACAGCAACATCAGCAACAACTTTCTCTTCACAACAACAACGGCACTTTCGGTTGGTCGACGACGCTCCATCACCCATAAATAGCAGCAGCAGCAACCGCGGTTACCAATCATCATCAGGACGAAAAGAAACGACGAGATGAGCTAAAGCGAGTTTACCTTAATCAGCAGTAGTGCCTGTGAGCACCAGCGGCAGCGGCCGCACCAGTAGGGGCGTCAGCAGCTATGAGCAGACTATCTTCTATATGAGGCACTTTCTTTAGTAAAAGTCGCAGGCTGGCAGCAAACGGCGCTAAATACGGAAACAGTAGTTTGCACCACCCTCGCCGCCTCACAAGCAGACAGAATTGATCAACAGATGGATAAGCAGAAAGGCAAGCAGTCATAATCGAAAGTGCACAGTAAAAATAAGTGACGGAGGACTGCTGAGGGAGGAATCACTTGAAGAAAAAATCAAAACAAGTCAATAATGAAGAAGCACTGCGACAAACTGAGAAACCTTCAAACAGCCTCTAACTCCACCGAGATAATTTTCGTCTTCCGATGGCATATATTACTTAGTACAACGCCCCATTGAATTAAACTCGAATGGTTGACAATGAAATGTCGCCGACTCTCTATATATTATTTGAATTTTATTAGCTATCATGCCTGTTTCGGCATCTTGCGAAGTCATACGTCCGTAACTCACAGCCGCAGTCTTAAAGCGTTCATGATTCAATACGATGGAGATCGGTGGACGCCTGTTTCACATATAAAGAGTCACATTCTAGAGATTTGACTGCAAACAATGGTACAAGCAAGTAAAAGTCAATATGGATTTGTTGCGATAAAGTCTGCATGCATTAAACATCGATTTACAGAGAGCTTCGGTGGCTAGATCAGACAGGAGGAAAACTAAGTATTTTATGAAAGCTTCGAATAAGAATCGTAATATTGTAAATTGCCGAAGATCTCCGAAGATTTCCGTCGGGACATGCGCTTCGAAAGTTAACGGGCTTTTATTCGTACCTGTTCTGCAATGTACAGATTAAGACTTAACAAAGACTAATAGGGTATATAAAGTTGACATGCCGAGTTAAGATGAAAATATATACTTTGCACTTTCTACCCGCTATTGCCGTCGGAGATTGCTCTAGACCGCTAATCGTCCCTCCTTGGCACCAAACGATGTGCGTCTACGCTCGGTTTCGAATCCGGACTATCTTACGTGTACCGAAGGTTAGTAGGTAAACGTGTTCCTAACGGGTTCACGATGCTAATTTATCCAAAACATTACATCAATGATCATGAGGTATTCTATGCATGTCGCTCATGTGCTATCTTCGTTGTCTTAAGTGGCGTAGTTTACTGCAAAATAAAATTACCTATACACCCAGGGATTGACAACTGTCTACTGTATCGCATCAGTTTCCAAATACATACAATCACGTACTTCTATTTACAATATCATGTGATGAGACTAATATACTTTGTGCACCGAAACCTGTCGATGCGAAGCTTCTTAAGCAGACCTTCAGCATGGGGCTTTCATTATGAATATAATTTATATTATAGATACTTATTCTTTAATTCTTCAACAACATTTATAACGGTTTGACAGTTGTGTCTGGCCCAGCGATACATGAATATTTAATCGTGAACCGTCGCTACCCATGAGACGTTCGAATACTGCCGCGTTTTGTCGATATCCGTCAACGGATAGATGCATGGCGGGCACTTCGCGCGCTGTTCAAGATGGCGGCTCCCTGGGTTGGAGTTTGTTTGTTTCTGTGTTGTGCTGAGCTTGGTTAGCTGAAGTTTGGATTCTCAAAAGAAAAGTTTTCAGTTTTTTCTTGTACTTTGTAACTTGTGTGTTCGTATTTCGTGAATTTCGTTTTTGATTGCCTCTTACGATTTGAGTCGGTGGAACGACACGAAAGTGCCACTAAGTGACGTCCTTGAGACTAACAAGAGATAGCAGCGATTCAGCGTATATATATATATATATATATATATATAGCGAGAGCTGGAAGTGGAGTGGAGGTGTACACCGAAAACGAAGACACCTAACTCTACCGAGAAACCTTTAACAAAGTTGATTTAAACGTTTGCGAGTAATTTCTCTTGTGTTGATCGTCAACAGGAAGTTAAGGGAACTTCGCTGCTTGGCGGCAGCCGGCGCGAAACCGATATTCTAATCTGGTTGCTGGGCTTTCTTGTCGCTTTCAGTGTGTGGGTGTGTATTGCTTGGTGCGTTGTGTTGTTAAGTTGAGCGGGTACTGCGAACGGGATAATGGTGCCAATTCGATAAGTCGTTAGCGGGGCGCTCCCAGGGGATGCAGCTGAACCGATGCTAGCAACAGGAGCGACCAGCCAACGGTAGCAGCGGTAAGATGGTTGGTGCGCTACCTGGCGGAGGGACGCAGCGCGTGAAGTCCGAACATCCCCAACAACAGCAGCAACAGCAAGCCCAACAGCTGCAGGCGTTGCAGGTTGGCGGCGATCCACAGCAGCTGCAACAACAACCCGGTCATGTTACCGCTAGGCTGTGCTTTGTTTGCGGTGGTGCACCTGCCCGACTACCGCTTCCTAGCCGGCAGCTATTTGACGCATCTGGAAAATGTCTACCGTTCTTCCCATTTCTTGAAAAGCACCCTGCACCACCAGGTGCCGAAGTTACGTCCCCCGAAGGTTGTGTGCTTGCGTGTAATGTGTGCTACGCACTTCTGCTGCAACAGTGGGAAAGCTACGAAATACAGCGAGTGCCACTGTCCAAGCGGACGTATTGGCTGAAACGACTCGATAATGGACCGTTTAGTGGGCTTGACATTCGCGCAGAAGAATATCAACAACAACAACAGCAGCAACAGCCGCAACAACAACCACACATGAAACAGCAGGCGCAGCAAACACCGTTGCATCATCAGCAACAACAAATAGCTCACCAACTGCACCAGCACACGCATCAACAGGGACCGCACTCACAGGGACCGGGTTATCCTCCGCCAGGCTATCGGTTGACACCTACGCCTACTCGCGAGTCTAAGGTTGACGAAGTTGGGGGCCGAAGCTCACAAGGATGCCCTCCAAACGGTCAAAACATTCTCGACTTGTCGCGGCCAGCAGGTCGGGCTACGCCGGAAAAGCCGAATAAAGCCAATATTGTCAATAACAACACAATCGCTTATGACTATTCAAAACATGCAAAACGTCCTGTAGAATCTTCGTCTCCCTTGAGACGAGAGACGCGCACTCCTGAAATCCCACCGCCTAGGGACATGACAGCTGAGACGTCTGATGTATGTTTTGTTTGCGGGGGACAGGTACCCCGGGGGACATTACTTAATATTTTTGCCAAGCCCATTGCGAATTGTCCCTTCTTTCCGAGTTTATTGCAACATGAAAAACCATTACGAAGCTTCCCAATCGATCAGAAGATGGGTCGAGTAAAGGCGTGTACATCATGTCATGCGTACCTTCTACAACAATGGGACACTTATCAGAAGCTCAATATTGCACCAAGCGATCGACACTATCAACTCCCGCCTCCAAGAGCCTTCGGATGTCCTGCCTTACCACCTGGAGCCCTTCCTCCACCCAATATCGTGCAAAAAGCAGCGGCCGCGCCTTCAGCCACTTTCGTGTGTTTCACTTGCGGGGCAGAGTTACCAGCTACTGGACAACGTACAGTGCCCACGGCTCCTGCAGGGGGAGAAGCATATTTTGGCTTCCTGCGTTTGCTTAGGCCACCACCAGGTGCGCAGCCTTTAAATGCGCAAGGCCTCGCTACAATTTGTTCGCCCTGCCAGAAGAACCTGCAACGGCAGTATCGTGTATTCGAGATCTCCAATGTACCTGAACACAAAAGAAATTACAAGATTATGATTAATGAAGCCGAAGCTAGTTCAGGACCTTCGCCGATACCAACTGCAGCGCCCCACAAGCCAGTATTACCGGCACAAAACACAAGCCAACAAGTTACTGTTCCACCTCCATCGCACAAACCCGCATCGACGAACCCACTGTCGAGGTCAACAACGGGGCCACGTTACGTTGGATGTTACATTTGCGAGAAAATTGGACCCATAGAACAGTTGATTCCCATAGATACAAAGGCACAGCGTGAAAGGAGTGCATTTTTCCCTGTTATTGAGGATCTGCCCCGTCCGATCGCCGCTATGCCAATGGATGGAGTAGGCCGAGTTTTGCTCTGTGGAGATTGTCGTGGTAATCTTATGCTTCAGTGGAACACGTTTGAAGCTTCTGGTATACCGTATCAACATAGAGTTTATCAGGTAAATTCGGCTCCTTCACCAACAACGTCAACCTCGCAGCAACAATCGAGACCACCGGTAATCACCGCCCAACAGTCGACTGCACCTACTCCCGAACCTGGCGCTAAAGCAGCTGGATCACTATCAGGTTTGCGCGTTCAGGTGGCGTCTCCGCATACAACAACCGAAGCCGGCGTTGCCACAACTTGTTCGTCCCACGTCCACCCGACGCCCGGTCCGCCTGCCCAAATGCAAACGTTGCTTACTACCGTTCAAACGGCTCCAACGTCGACGGGACCCGTCGTTATGCAGACGCCTCTGAAGAAAACATACTATGGCCTAGATCTCAAGGTGAAGCCACGAGAAGTGCTGGCACCTGTAACGACGTCAAGCTCATCACTTGTCACACATCTCCCGTTGCCTCCAGAAATTGCTGCCGAACATGATTGTTTCCTTTGTTTAGAACGTACTCCGGACATGTACATGATCTGTGCTCGACAGGTGACCGAGAACGCGCCTTTCTTCCCTCTTATTGAACGACTGGCCATAGCACGGGGCTCGCCGAGCCCTTGTCTGGTAGATCCTGCCGGAACCGTATTTGCTTGTAGCTTCTGCTATCATTCGTTGATGGAGCAATGGAAAGCGTACGAATTGTCTCCGCATGTAGAGGATCGCGATCGTTCTGCACGAGTATACAACGCACATGATTTTGTTTGCTATATTTGCGGTATCATTACGTACCGGAAGCGTGTACGGTCAATAACAGTAACCGACTTCCCATTCCTTATGACACATCCTCGACCAGGCGGCGCTCTGCAGTTACATCAAGCCGAAAGTGTTGTAACCTGTTTGACATGTTTTGAAGGACTTACCAGTCAGTGGAAGGAGTTTGAACGACTTCGCGCACCTCTAGAAATGCGGAAGTATAATTGGATCACGATGCCACCTCCACCAGAACAGGTATCAATCTGACAGGTTTTATTGATCATGGAAAACGGTAATTGCTTGCAATAGTTTCTTAAAACCGTGTTTGCTGATCGAAGTTTGGTAGTGTGATTGCTATTATATTTTTACGTGAAAGCTTGTAACGGCTACCTTTTCATTTTTGCCCCAAAATTTGAGGACTAAATTACTTTAAAAAATATATTTAAATAAAGAAATGATTAAATAATAATAAGAATAATAAGCCGATAATTTTAAAAAGTATCGTATTTAATGGTGGTAGTGTAGTTTGTACCTTTATTTCTTTATTGATCAAATTTATCTTTCCATTTCAATCAAAATGATGTTGATATGGAGAAGGATTAAGAGTTTGCATTTACGTTAAATCTCACTCGTTTTAAGGCCACCTTCGTTTCATCTTCTAAATAAATGTGAACCGTAAGATCTAGAATAAACCCCATCATTTCTGTTTGTCAACAGAGATATGGCAGCCGTGGTAGTTGGGTGATTTACTGGTTACTTAAGGAAGACAAATGTTCTAAAAGAGAAGCATAAAACTGATTTTTTTGTCTTTGCCTAGAGGTAGTATTAATTTCAAGATCATTCATTGAGTCGAACACTTATTTCTGGAATGTTATCTTAATCATGAATTTCATCTTGATACACATCAACACACTGACCAGCATGATTCAGAATGTATCTGTTTTTTGAGATAAGCTAAACAGGAACCTACTTAGGAACAACATTTGTTTCCTTAAGAAGTAGAACATTACGCCCTTATGCGAATGCAACCTTGAGAGAATTATGCACAGTAGGTAGTATGGGAGTTCTCCTGTACGGGTTTCCGCAGTTCGAAGCATAACTGGGAGTTAAATTAAATACAACAGAGGAACGAATTCTTATAACAGCTGATCATAAAAAAAAAATCCGTTTCAACGATTAAATGTCTTCAGCTGAGCAGAAAACGGTGAATAACACAGTTAAATCATAAAAGGACACTAAACTGATTATACTTACATTGGAAACAATATTTTTGTCGATGATGATATCTAGATAAAAGCTCATCTGCCTTTTTTTTGTATTTCATGAAACTTTATAATTAGAGTGCTGCACAGTCGTGGGATACTTCTTGCCGTCCAATCAATAATGGGTTATTGTCACCTTTCATGCAATAATAATGTTAATAATACAATACAAGTGTTTGTTTGAAATGGCGCTTTTAGTATTTCGTAAACATGTTTTTCTGAGATTGTTCTGGCAAGTTCAGGAACGAAAAGTTGAGGCCTTAAATATCATTCGACCGACTCCTTTAGCGATCTTTGGGCAAAAGCCATTGCTTTTTATATGGCCTGATCTCTCTCACTAACTGGAAATACCAGTGCCAGTTCGCTCGTTAACTTTATTTTTGAACAAAAAATAATGCCTTCAATAGACTCAGTGTGATAATTTACGATTTTTTGCAAAGTTTAGTTTTTACATGATAACACGTATCAAGGGATTCTTGTAAAAAAACATTATTTAACCACATTTTAAATTTTAAAAGCTGATCACCGACACCTGTAAGCCACGGAAATGAATTTTAACTTTATTGAATGCTGTTTTTATCAAATCTTTCACGTAGTTAACAAAAAAAATTATTACGATAATGCGGAAACAAGCGAAAAGAGGCGTAGCGTAGTGCAAATAGTTAAGGTTGAGCAGCTCAGACATATCACAAAATATCAAATCTTATCTAATCAGTTACTTGGTTGACAAACTGCTGGCAATTACAACCTTGTGAGTTCCGTAGACTGTCTAGCTGTCAACGCTGCTTTTAGAATCTTTAAGCCATTGGCAAGAAACTCTCTTCTAGACTTCTTGTTAAGAAGATTAAATGTATTGTGACTAAAAAGCGAGACCAGACCCTCCTTGTCTACCTGCTTAAGAGTTTTTGTAGTAGGATTATCGATGTTCAATGAGATTCAGGGTAGTCACATCTAGGCATTTTCTAATTTAGGTGCGGGAGCAAAACCTTCGATGTAAGTCGAATAACCATAACTCAGAACTAAAAGCATTTTATTACGTTGGGCACAGACATTTGCGAGGAATACAACTATTCGATAGCTAATTGTCCATGGCTGGGCATTAAAATTTATTGAATCAAATGATAATTCATTGTCCAAAAGGCTCACTATGTAGCACTTCGTAGGCAGGCAAAATGGTCAAGGTGCTATTTGTTAGATCGAAGTTGGCGCAACTAATAGCTAAGCTAATCAATGCCTCTAAGCTCTTCTCTAATACAAATTAACATAAATTAAACGGTTCGATACATGATCAGAGTATTAAATCTGTATTTAGCGATTAATACATCACGCATGTTTTGTGTGATTTACTTTCAACGTTCGCTCATCAAATACTTTCAGCAATTATAAGGTGAATAAATTATGTGGTGTGTAGTCATACCACGGTGATCCCTGTTGGTCCCACTAAGCTTTTGGGCGCCTGGATAAGGAGTCTCATTTGCTTAAAACATGTTCAGGTTTCACAAAAGATAAACATTAGCCGTTAAGTGAGTTTTAGTGACCACTAGTATATGTTGACTAATGCTGATTCTAGTATATAATTGACGGCTGGCGCTTTGCTCAAATGCAGACTAGAATATGCAATTTATCGTGACGGTGGTCATGGCGATCATACGCAAAGCGGCATGTAGTACTAAAATGGCCCTTGCTTAAATGGAATAGGTGTTCTATTTGTTTTTTAATATTCAGCTACGAAAAATAGATGTTGTTCTTGATCTACCATATTGGTGTTTTCCCTAATCGTGGAATATGATGATTACATAAATCACTGCTTAGTTTTTTTAAGCCTAAGAAGTGCCTAAGAAGTCTGTGTGTGACATTTTCCCAGTTTAACGGTGCACAAAACGATGGTCGCTTGCATAAAGCTTATGTGCCGAACACTTAACTGCTATATTAATTTATGGTAAGCCGTTAGTTAGTAATCCGATTTCATATCTATGCGTATTTTGAAACAGCTTCATTATGGAATCCCTCATAATAGATCTCGTGAGACCAAATCGATGAAAACACGATGAAAAGTTTGTAGTTACTCTTATCAAAGGTAACCACTATTACCGGCGAACCTAGACAAAAATGGTTTGTCATTCGGACGGTAACTCCATATGAACAAGACTAGGTGTGATGTGAGTCTCGAAAGTACAAAAGTGAGGCAAACATCCCGTCTCGTTGTGTTAATAAAAAGGATAAAGGAAAATTTACTTTAGATGTAGATAGCACATTGAAAACATGTTTGTGTCGTTTTCTTACGACGTTAATACAAGGAGTTCTATCCAGATAGTCGTTTCAATAGTTTGTAGGCACTAACCACTTAGTACGAGCTATTGTGAATGAACCTGGGCTTGCGCCTTTCTCGGTCCATTCGGTGGATTTTTGCTACCACAGATCTTGGTGTTCGATAAAGCTAGTTGATGTGCATTCAAGTTCGTCTGTAATAACTAAAAATGCCCCTAGTAAAGGTGAGAAATGTGCGTTCTACATTGTATGGAAAATTTGTTAGTTCGGTTTCGTTAGAGTATCGATACATAGTTTGCTCAAATGTTTCCGCCATCAATTGTTCATACTCTAGCGCGATTTAGCTTCACGTACACTCACGTTAACATGTATACAAAATATACGAAAAATTGTGTAAAATATCACTTCGGCGATGCTTTCTTACGACATAGATACGTCTAAAGCTAAGAGATCTTGCTGTTCACACTTTCCGCCTTGAAGCATTAGGCCAAATAGGATCTTTTGTTAAAAACTCGCTTTTGGACGAATGTAGAATTGGCGTTGGAAGAGACGATCACATTGCACACAATGAACGTTTCTTCAAAAAAATATTATGGTAACTCACAGAATTTTTATTAAGTTAATAATTCTTTTAGTAAATATATTTCCATTCTAAGCCTACAGTTTCCACGGAGTCCGACTTGTTCCACGTCTTAATTTGATATGATTTTTGATAACAGTTTAGAATTCAACCAAAAAAATCCTAACAAATTAAAATAATATTGCTAACTAAAAAAACACTTTTCTTTTATTTGTAGAGCAGTCGATTTAGTTTTTATATTTAAATCTTTATTGTTAAGGACTCACTTTATTTGGTACATTGATCAAGGCGATCCCTGTGTTGTAAACTGTATCCAAATATCTAAATTATTAGATCTGAGAGCTTCACTTCCATTATTTTTAGAATACCTCTAATTAGAGTTCAACTGGTGCGACCGAATTACCATCATTTCGAACTCACTAAAATTGATTTTCTTCATCTTAGTTGACGGGACACCTCAGTAGTGTCACTCTTGGCCTCTGGACAATAGTAGGTACAAAAAGTCTCCCAGAACAAACGTTTCACCTCGGCGAAGATGATCCTCTTCAACTGAATGTAAAATGTTGGCGCTTGATTTTAGTCGGCACCATTTTTGACACTGTGCTTTTAATCAGATTGCACGTTGCGATTATTATATTAGCATAGTTATTATAATATGCTTGGTGCTCGTGTCCCCAGCTATCTTTATATCCTTTAGATTAACTATCGTAAATGAAAGGCTAAAACCTGGCACCCTAATTGAACTAACGAAACCATTATATATTCACTTTTTTTCGTTATAGGACGAGGACAGTAATGGAGCATCATCGTCGACAAGCGGTGAGTTATGCTTAAATAAAGTTTACTGAAAACCGGATGCCAGCTGACATAGTCGACACATCTGGATGGAATGGCCGTACTAAGAACTAAAAAGATGCCAATTAAACTGGTTCAAGTTTGTTAAAATTACAGGCATATTAATTGTAAAATTGTTTTATATATAATATCTCTTATATCCTATTTGCCTACAAAATTCATTGAACTCATCTATGGAGAAGGATTTTTTCATAAGTAACAAGACTTTAAATAGTTGAACTATTTGTGGAAATACCGTTATCGATTTGGCCAGTTAACTACGTTACAATATACAAGGACTAAAACCACACTACGGCGCTCATTTTAGGGACATATGTTGTTTATGATCATAGGCATTGTATAAAACTAGTGCATAACAAATGCATCCGTTCTTTTCAACTAATAAGTAACCGCACATTTTCCGAGTTCTAACGATCAATTACATTATTAAGCATTAGCCGTTGTTCTCTATAATATTAAGCGTCTCTTGTATAGTTTTTTTACACCATTTTCACATGTAACATAAAAAAATGTTCAGGATTAATATCACAGAATTTGCCAGCGGTTCGGACTTTTCTTTTTTTATTAAATGCCCGATTATAAAGTTCCATTGGCAGAGGTGGGAAAGGTAGTAGACTGTCGCAATGAGATCAACAGAATATAATGAACGCGAACGTACCTATTATTAATGTTCTTTGCAGTGTGTAGTCTAGGAATGGCCGTTTCTGTTAAGTGGCCTTATATACTCGATGCAGATGGGCCTTCGATAATCATCCTGTTTTTACCGAGAATTTTATGTGTATAAGGTTCTTATAGTCTCGCCGCAAAAACTGTTCTCAGATCTGCTTAGAAGTTGGATCTCTAAGTTCCAACAATTTTCTTGTATATGAGAATTTTGCCCTGAATCTGTTCTTGGTCTTTTTTGGACGAGAATTGAATTTAACTCTAGCTTAGGCGAATCTCGCGGAGCCACCCATTCTTTTATTTGCTTCGTATGAACCTAGAGAGGCTACCCTTCATCACTCAGAACAAGGATCTACCATCGACATGTTTAGAGGCTATATAGAGCTACGCTGCATAGGGTTTTCGCTTAGGTTGTGGGGCATACGGGCTCCTATTTTTTGATAATGTTTCATATAGTCAGAGTCGTTAACCATAACAGTTGTTCGCCATCTACTTAGGCAGTTCACGATTTTCTTGCCGATTACCCTTGCTCAAACGTACCTTAAGGCAGCCCTTATCGACCCCGAATGGCCGTAGGGGCTCAATACATTTACCAAATTTTCCGAATCCTTTAAGTTTAGAGAGTTAACTTCGAGTAGTTCCTTCCGTTACAGAGTTATCGCCGGATGAGGTTTAAATATTTAAGCCTACTTCAGTAAGTCTTTGACTTGAAAAGAAACGAAATAGGATAGGTTTCGAAAATACACTTTTTTCCTAAAGCATTAACGTTTGTAGTCTAAAGTCCAGACTAAAGTTCGCTCATAATAATACAACACGAGTGTATTGGAAGCCAACTCCTCTGTTTATACGTTGTCAGTTAAAGTCTTGTTGATTCTCATTCTTGAGTAGAGCTATTCAATGTCAGGATCTTGGAATAGTGTCAGCAAGCTTTGCGGGACAGTTCCGCTATAAACTGTCAAGTTCAAGGAGTTGCTCTCGCATATGCTTTAAGGATCCCAGATTATCATGGCTACGATTTTAATAGACGTGCATTGGAATTCATACAGTACAACAGTAGTATAATGCTAAAATTAGATAAATAATCCCCATGTCATAGATATATCTTTCAAAGTTGGTGTAAAGTACCTATATCTGACTAAACATTTCCCTGACCAAGCATGTTACAGTGTAGATGTTACCCTATAGCTATCTTTTGGAGAAATTTATTACGGATCATAATAGCTTAGTGTAAATTATTTTGTAGACGCTTGCGCGTGAGAGTAGGTAAAGCGAGATATTGGTATGTTAATCGATTGACACGGATGTGATGCGCATATATTGCATACCCGGCTAAGTAACATAACAAAGAACAGTTGTATGAAAGAAATTATGCTTAGCATATTACACACGACCCTCGTTATATTTCTGAATGAAGGAGCCCCTAGCCATTACTAACGTTCGCTCAAAAAAATGAGATTGCAAAGGTGTCATGTGACTTATCGCTCACCATGATGAGCCACTTTAAAGTGAAGGTTCTAAACATTAAAAGAAAATACATTCATTACTATTTTAAAACCAAACCGTTCCGCTAGGACTGAAAGAGACTTTTAAAATTTTCAAAATTGACTGGCGCTGTTGTGCACAGGTTTACTTGGATGAAACTGAATTTTGTACAAGACTGCCTTAAATAAATCAACTGTTGCCAGAATAATTCCTGAACAATGGTTTGTCTTGAGAAAATTTACTTTTAATAATACGGCTGTACGGATTTCATTGACTATACTAGTTGACACACAGGCTGCTTCAGCAAACCATCAGTTTGGGTTTAGTACCGTGAACACTGGAGTTTGTTTTGACACATCTACAATTAGCGTAGCTTTAAAGATAACAGATGCTTGATTTCGCTTTTTGGTCATCGCTGTTTCAAATTTCAGTGTTGACAAATGTTTACTATGGCATATGATTAATCATGTCGTCTTATAGGTCTGTTGGAGAAACTCCAGGTAAGTGTACCAAGACTCAGTCCGGCAGACCTTTTCGCGGCATATCCTTGACACTGCATCGAACAGGGGTTTCCAAAGGACTGTTCGCACATTAAAAGTTATTAAAGGCGTAAAAAGGTTTCAGAACTAATACAACTGCATACACGCATACACCTGTACATTAATTGAAGAATAAGCAGATTCATGAAATGCTCTGTAGATGTCTCCATTGGACTTTATAATATATAAACGCTCGTGCCTCAAGTGTCTGATAACCACAATTAAGTTTCCTTTACCTAATTAGTAACCTAATAACTTAAGCAGTTACTTTAAGCTTTACCATAAGTGTTATATTTCTCGTCGAAGTCTTTAGACAGAGGACACTTAGGTAGCAAAATTTCTTTGTAAATATTGCGAGACCTAACTTACTGTGAGAACTCAGTGTTCATTACATGCAAAGCAAATAGTTCGTATCTCAGTGTCGTTAACCTGATCCGGGTGTCAGCTTTAACTCTCTTCATTTGGACTGATAATCGCAAAACCCAACACTGGTCGCTTGGTCGGCTACCTATGAGTCCTCTGAAAGTTGAAGGCAGTCTACCAGCTGTTTTCAACGATCCTTGCTGCTCCTCAGCAATCTCATCACCTCGGAAGGTTGCGCTCTGTTAGCTCTCCTCTCTTGCTTACCTGCTCGTTTGTTCCTTCTCCTGGAACTCTTCTGCTTATGCTGAAGGTCGCCATAAAGCGCGAGAAGCTGGCCGGGCGAGTGGGTCAGAACAGACTGACTGAGGTGACCGTGCGCCGGCTGGATCTGGAGCTCGTGTATTAGTGGGGTTTGGGGTAACCTTAGTGATGGTGGCGGTAGTTGTATTAGCGATAGCGGTTTCAGGACGGTACTGTGGAGAAAACTGGGACGACCTGGGGGAACTGACAAGACAAACAGGGAGAAAAAGAAAGAGGTGGAAGGAGAGGGAGGGGTCAATGTTGGTGACGAGGGTGAGGGGCTTGGAGGAGAGGTAAGCGGATGCCCTCCCCCAGCAATCGCCAACGATGATGACGACGACGACGATTTTTCCAGGGGAGAGAACAGAGTCTGGCTAGCTAGAAACTGGCAGAGGCAGGCTGCTAGCGAAGGAAAACAGTGACAACGGCGACGCGGCTACTAGGAAATTCTAGCCTGGTCTTGTCTGCCTTACAAAACATACACAGCTACTACTTCGTAGCGACCGCCGACAACCCCCAGCCACTGTTAAACAGGCCACCGTGCATTGCGTCCGACGAGCAAACGCTGCCTGCCATTACTACCACCAAATCCACGCACTATCATTTGTACGCTGGGAACAGGAGCTTAAGCAAGCAGACCGAGGCAGCCGCCTGCCAGCCTGCCAGCTATACAGTAAGCAGGCATAGCCAAGCTGAACCAAGTGAGTTAGCTCTGAGCTCCATTGCGCTCGAAGCCGTCCGCTACCCTGCGTTGAATGGAGCTCCTACCACTAATATCGGTCAGCACTAGCGGCAGCGGCGGCAGCCCAGCAAACTCTACATAAAGACTGCAGGGTGCCAGATACGTTGAGATCATGGTCACGAACTGGAGCACAGCAAAACCCAGATATTTTTATAGGGCAAGATTGTCGTAGTTGTGACGATGGATGTGTGATCACGTTGCAATGATGAGAAAGTTTCGCTAATCTCTGCCACAACTACTAATCGGAGTGAAGTACACTTCTACGCGTCATGTGGACCTGCTGTTCATAGTTTCAGTTATATCTCCGATCAAGAGGAAAAGAGTCGAGCTTGATAGACAGCTTGTTGGTGGTGTGAAAGTTTAGTTATAAGAGTATTCAGTTGGCTTTATCCGTTGCCTCTGTTTCTTCTATATGTGTCCTACCTCCATAGATGTGTTTAAGCAGTTATCTATCTGCTTGTTGATGTTCCTGAAGTTCATGAGCGGTAGTCGGTCGGATAATGAAGATCTTTGGAGATAATCGTGCGACACGGTGCTTTAAAAAGGGTGGCTCTTTTATTCTGTGCTTTCATCCGGCAAAACTTGCCAGCTCAGCTCTGGGCAGAAATACAAAGAGAGATAACTATTAAGAAAAAGTACCATCAGAACAAGCGCACTGAAAGGCATATATATATTATGCATGTTTTAGGCGATTAAGCATTGAGAATACGCTGTATGGGCAGTGTCCATTTATTGACGTTTGGGAACTACCTCACTTGTACCATTGTTATTTTGGCTTTCTTCATGTTAATACACTGATGATCAGGTTGGGAACGATTTTTGCTGATCGTCGTGCTTGACAAATTAAACCAGCGTTAGTCACTCGACCAAAGTACTTGACCTGACTACGGAAACAACCTCGAATTAGCTGTTGTTCGGCACATACTGTAAATTGTTCAATCGGATATAACTTGTAATCAGCAGTCTGGCATTGAGACGAAGCTGAGCTTGACCCAGTACTTTTAGTGTCTTAGCTTTTGAGGTGATAGGCAGAATACCGTTGCCAGCCCGTACCCATTTGTGTAGATTTCTTCGTTCGGGAACTCGTCCTACTGTGTACTTCCCCATGAGTTTGAGGTTGCACGTAAATGACCGCCAGAGTTGGATGCAGTTGAGGGGCTTAGACTTCTCTAGTGGCAGCCCCCGGGGCAAACACAGGACGAAGCAGCAAATGGTTAAGAAGAGTGACTAGCAGTTAGTAATCATGCATCTCTCGACCTGGGTCACAGACGAGTAATAGCTAAAGATAAATCGTGTTAGACCTTTGCCGGAAGCTAGAGCACAAGCAGCTGATATTCTTCGCGGGAAGACAAACGCTCATCCTTGCGCCTGTTCCTATCTGTTATTGTGGTCACGATGAGGAGGATGCCGCAATGAGTTCGAATAACATCTTCGGCCTACCACTCAGTGGGCTGAATGGACTTAGTGGCCTCACGAACCGACCAGACGGCCTACCTTCTGGCCCTGGTGCTTTGCCCCCGGTGCCGGTGAGTTCGTCTGGACCTGGGGCCGGAATGGCAGGGGTATTGCCGCCTCTCGTCCCGTCGCTGTTGCTGGGACCGCCGTGTGCGCCTCTGCAGGCAACTGGCTCGCCGCACCCTGCAACACCACCGGGGCAAATGCCTTTTGGCTTCCTTCGTCCATTCGGCTTTTCTGACTATCCTCAATTACCTCCACTCAGTGGTAAGTATAAGCTAATAATAACGAGCTGGGTTATTATTGTGGGGTTTGCTATTGTCGTTGTTGCTGCTGCTACTTTTTTGACACAATCATTTATGTTGGGTTATGTTAAGCCACAGGCATCGAGCTCAATTAAATTACACGCGTTCTCTGTCTCGCTGAAGTGCATCATTTGGAGAAAACACCAGGTTATGATCTGATTAGCTATTTATTCGGGCTGCGCAAACTCATTGTTAAATCGAACTCGGTAAACCAGTAGCAATCTTTGTTTTTTATTTTAGTTCCCTTATAACGCCGTAAATCATTATATCGAAAATGACTGGTAGATATAAACGTTTAGAGTCAACTCGTGCCATAGAAAGGTTAATGTCTAAGTGTTCTGCATCAAACACGTTTATTGTTTGTACAGTCCGTATGAATTTTTTTTTTACCACGCTGTTATGCAGGCTAATAGGGTTCGTATATGTTGTACACTGAGAGAGAAAGAGAAAATTCCCATACGAGTAGCATCAAGTTCTAATACCGCGAATGAAACCAGTTTCAGAGTTCCACTTCGTTTGCACTTCGTTCAAGTTGAAAGGTGAATCCGTTATCAACTTGTGGAGCGATGCTATCGAACTGAATCTCTTCGATGCGCAAATTATCACTTGAGGAAGAGCCCAGTAATATTGCAAGCTCTGGCTGAATGACGCAAAATTGGGTTTACTTACTGGTCACGCAATACCTTTAAGGACCCATAGCCTACTTAGCTTTTAACTGTGCTATACGCTAATTAGTGAATAAAAAAACCATACCAAAAGTTTTTCGAATAATTGATAATATCGGTTTAGCCATTTTATTAACGTCCTCTTGGTTTTTCGACTAATGAAGAAATCTCAGCGGATCTCCCTCGCCAAATCTAGCACAGCACCTCGGTCAATTTAGTCCTTTACCGTCTTGGAATCATGTAAGATGTGGTTAAATGTTTAAGTCCCCAGCCAGCTCTCATTAAAGACTAATCCCAAACGAGGGGCAAGCTGATTCAGTGTCCCCGCTCTTCTCTGCTTGGGGAGCGCTCGCGGTAATGCTAGACGTGCTTACACTTAGGGTTACCGACATTATTCAACCGCATTAAGGAGGCACAATGGAGCACACGCTGGCTGTCTTCGGGTCAGAATCACGGATGACTTTAAATATGAATTACAAGTAATTAATACATGCTTGTCAGTTTCTAAAATATTAATTATCTGAAGAAAAAAAGTAATAAATAAATCTTATATTTTATATTGTCGTCTATTTGGGTATATTGTATGCGGTATCCTCGTAATCATTTTTATGTAGAACAGAGGGAATTGATCATCAAATCGTCACAAAGCGAATATTTTGGCAAACACTAACGAAGCTTCCTTGTTCATATTAGCCAAAACGTACGATGACCCGTTGCGTAAGTAAGCTAGCAGGATCCATCCAACATTACTACCCACTCAATGTGCTCTGAAATTCGGAACAAATTTTACGAGAAGTTCTTTACCTCGGGCATTATGCAATAGCTAGCGTGGCGCTAGCGCCCATATTTGCACTTCTTTACCGCCTACGGTCGTGGTAACATTAACTATCGATTAATTAGTTAACAGCAGTGATCTAATGACGCTTTTAATTTTCTAAATATTTTGGGTGACTGTACTACATGCTCTTCTAACATGGACGTCCTGACATTGCCCCCTCGTCCATTACTGAGAGCTATATTACCCTGTATGACCCTTTTTTTGGCAGGAACTATCTTAGTCGACAGGCGTTATTTAGTAAGGCCCTAGACGCGTCAAGACGAAGAAGACGACGAAGAGCGGCTCAAGCAGTAAAGAAGTGGAATCTCGTTCTTGGTGTGGGCCAAGTGGGCCGGCGGGCGGGCAGCCGACGAGAACGAGTCGCTCTCGAGCGGACGTTCGCTTAGGGTATTAGGAAGACTATGGGGAAAAGGGCGAAAGGGGATTTGGGTCGAGCAAGTGAGCTGGCTGTCGGCTGCATTCGAGAACCAACGCTGTGACAACGAGATGAAGTGAAGGGAGGAGGCAAAAGACCCGTGGGGTTGGGGAGCTTTCCTTTCTCTCCTTGACTGTCGATAAACGGAGTTGGCCGACTAGTTGCCCAGGCGAGTTGCAGCGCAACGACCAGCATAGATCGAGTGAGGCCGACCTTACCTTTGAGTAAATTGGAGCAGCAACGACAGTTTTGGTAGCTGTGTTAAAAGCCCCAAGAGGGTGGGTATCCAACAAGGTTTCGCCTATTTATTTAGAGCATAGTCAAGCTCGAAACAGCCAATTAACAAAGGATGGACGCAGCTACGTTTGCTAGCATACGTTTGCTTGTCGTACCAGTAGCAATTGCAGTGGGCGCCGCGTCCCCACTGGATTTCGGCAAGAAGACAAATGAATGAGAAGAAACAACCCAGTAGATGGTAGGAACTAGGCTTCGCGCTATTCGCTACTCGAAACAGAAACGCCAGAAGCCATTCATTGCTGTCCTCTACTGTTACCCTTGCTACCAGTAAACGAGATGGCTCTATCTCCCGGAACGATATCTGCTGCCTCCTTAGCCACGTCCTGGTCCGGCAGGGGGATGCCTCGTAGGAGTAGCGGGCCGTGTTAGGCAGCGGTGTTCCACGACGAGCTCAAAAGGGGACAAATGTAAAGCTGTGGTGCGAGCGAAGGTGGCTTAGGGGCCGAGACTACTGCTGCTGCTGCCGGGATGTTGGAATGCGGGAGGCAAGCTATTCTCGAGACGTTTGTTGTGGTAGTTGTTTACACGGCGGTAGCGGCGTCCGCGAGGACACTGGGCGCTGTAGCGGCAATGGCTGCTTGTTGGTGCCGCCTGTTTGTCATGTGCCGCCCAGCAGCCAAGTTGCCCTTCGCTGCCGCCCGTCGTCGCCGTCGCGACCGCCGCCGCCGCCGCCGCTGTCGTCGTTACCGATGCCACTATCTACCTAAGCTACCCAATCTATCTGACTAGCTGCTTGGATATGTCTGCTTACACTACTGCTCCTGCTGCCCATGATGATGTTGATCATGATAATGCCGTCCGAGGGTAAGGGCAGAGGCTCAAGGTGGAGCGAGTTGGAGTAGCGTGGCGCGTGGAAGATCAAGCGGCAAACCCTCGGTTGCGACGCGAGCAGGAGACAGCAGCATGAACAGCAAAACAGGGGCAGCTGACAATCTCTGAGCGAGAAGAAGCGCTACTAAGAGAAGCATGCGGCAGGCTAGAATGATCACGTCCATGATTCAGCGGCTTTTAGGACGAAGAGGAAGTGTGATGGCACGGAGTCAGTTGTGGATTTTCTATAGGTAGAGGGGTAACACACTCTTCGTGGAAGCCTCATGATCTGAGCAGGGATGGAGACAGCGGATGAAGTATACAGAGATACGGCAAAATGTACTGAATACCGACGCTGTGTTGTTGCTTCGTTGTTGTCGAAAGAAATAGCAGCGGTATCAGTAGCATGAACACAATTACCAACAAACAAATGACACCAAGTGAGTCCGTTAAAAATCCAGCTAGCAAATCAAGTAGATTTGCTGCTTGTAACTGCCATAAAAGCAAGAAACAAGCAGAAAGGGTCACTTCGAAGAACCACAGACCCATTAAAGGGAATTATAACCGTTTTATTTCGCTACTTTGTTTTTTATTAGCATTATAATTTAAAAAATTGTTAGATTGTAAATTGACATATATGATTTGTTGTTGCTACCGTGAATTTCATGCTTTCGGATATTTCAGGATACCCCGGTCATTCTAATGGGCTACCCCCAGTACCTGGATCTAAAGCGGGTTCGGGGCGAACCCCAGCGGCTATTACTCCGCCCTGTCAAGGAGCGCAGGGACCATTTGGAGGAATGAACGGGGCCTTCCTGCCGCAGCCTCCCAACGCAGCTCAGACATCGGCACAGCTCAGTAATGGACAAGTGAATACAGTTCGCACATCCAGCTTTGCGGCGGCACTTCGCAAGCTCGCTAAACAAGCTATCGATCCCACGGGTAAGTAAAGCTGGCCCTTATTATTGATTGGTAATATAATACTATAGCTCAATCCACCTATAAGTTGGACTAATTAACCAAAGTTCCAAAACAAACGCACTTTTGTGTGATTTGCTTCTTCAAGTTACGTACGATGTCTATGATATAACTAATCTAAGTCATTGAGACACAGCTTTAACTAATATAAATTATCAATGCGAAGGTAACGAAAGCTAGTAAAATGAATGGAAGTTTTGGAGGAATGGAGTTTTGGAAAATGTAGTAATCCATTTCCTCTGCCTTCTGTCTATATATTAAATTATATTTAGGAACACTTCGAACACATTTGTGAATGACAAAAATTGTGATACTTGAGTATATAACTTCAGACTAAGACGAACGTTAAGGTTTTAAAATCTCTGGTACAAAATATTATTTAACGGTTTATAGGATTGATTCAAGAAGCTGTCTAGGAATTGCAGAAAACATAACTTTACAGTACATCGAGTAATATATACAAGTTCGATAGAAGCGAACATTTTCGAACCAGTAAAAATGGCAATTATGTGTTGGAAAATCAGGTCATGCCCGATGTACACCAATTTAATAAATGATTTCTTAGTTTTTGCTTTGTTGAACTATTCACTGACGATCATATAATTATTATATTGCTGTGTTAGAAGCCGCAAGCAAAGAACCTCGTTCCCCGGGAAGTCGAGCGCCGCCGATATCATCATCTCCCATTTCCAATGGCGCGCCTGTGGCTCCAACCAGCTGTTCCCCGACTGCCGTTTCTTATTCATCATCGTTTATCTCATCTTCGTCAGCGGCAAAACGGCCTACGGGTTCCTTGGGCCAGGGACTGTGTGCGTCGCCAGGGGCCGGATCAGACGCACGCAAACCCATTGACCTGACAAGTACAACGCCCGAACCACCTACGCAGACATCCGCACACCCCCGAGCTTCTCCTCATAAAAAGCAATCACAGCAACAGCAGCAGCCTTCGCCCAGCAGAGGATTTCAACCGTACAGGTCACTTTTCACATGCAACTTTTATGATAAGTCGTCATTTTAGAATGCACCAAATAATGTAAGCCCTGCACGTATTTCCTCTTCCGTATAATTTTATAAAATTATTTTCGTAAGTTGTTTGCCTCAATGAGCAAAACTCTTGGATCTTTGTGAAATTTTGAGGATTCTTCTTCTTCTTTTTCTGTCTCGCTCTCTCTCCGTTTCTGAGGGCTCATTTGATACGCATGTGACATTTGCCGCGTATGTTTCGATAAGATGAGATAAAATAATTCTGCATAAATGAGTATGCGTACTTTGGATGATTTCAAGTAACACAGTGCACTCACGGGCCGTTAACCGTTTCCCGAGACGGTTCCTTTCGAACGAACGCTCTATGATAACCTAAATTTCATTTCTGTATGGGGCCTTAACGTATAACCCTAGGGCGGGTAGTGGCTCATCGATTATCTCTAACGGGTCGTCATCATCGTCGTCAAGCGTTGTCGTTCCATCAACAGTCCATCCGGGAGTCGCAAGTACCGGCAGTGCAACAACTTGTTCAGCCGGTTCAAGCAGCACTAGCGCTGGGGGTGCTGGCGGAATTTCCACTGATGGTCCAACCGCCTCACCAGGTCTGATTCCGCATCCATCACCGCTTCCACCCCCATACGATTACAACCAGTATTTGTTGCATCATCATCCAGCGTTCCGTCTCGATGACCCCGCGATGTTTCTAGACCCGCGGTATGCGGCCGCGGCGGCCGCAGCTGCCGCCGCTGCTGCAGCCACTCACGGTCATCCCCATTCACAGCTGCAACAGCAACAGGTTGTTGCAGCGGCAGCTGCTGCAGCTGCCGCCGCTGCCCAACAACAAACTGCGCATCACCAACAACAATCACAACAACAACAGCAGCCAACGCAATTGCAACAGCCTTTCAATAATCCCTTTAGCCATCACTCACTTCAGCCCGCAGTATCCCCGAACGCTAGTGGGGGTGGCTCGGTTACTAGCCGCAAGGATGCGACGGAATCCACAGCAAGCAAACAGCAACAACAGTCGTTGGTACCATCGACGTCGCGAGGTTCGATTATACAGGGTAAGGCCAGAGGAAATAAGCTGGTGGTCGAAAGTTAAGGGATAAAAGGCTTTGATTCCTATCAAAAAGGTAGCTATCCATAGTCAGAATACTGGAATAGTTATATTTCGCAAGAAGGACAAATGAAGGATGCATGTAATAAATAGGAAACGATCAACGCCCTTACTCGTTCCGGAATTAACTGTTCTCGTTTTTAATAGGTACGCCGCGCTCAGAACCGACCTCTGCGATCGGGGGAGCTCCTGGTCAGCCTGGAAGCACGTTTGCTGCTGGACAGCAAGATTCAACAGCAATGGAGAGCACAAATGGAAATCAATTCGGGCCACCCAGTTCTACACATCCTGACCCGGCCTGGTTCACAGCTGCCCGTCTCGAAATGGAAAAACGTAAGGACTACGAACTGTTTCTTCGAGAGCAAGCCGTTGCCGCTGCAAGTGCTGCGACAGCACGTGATTGCTCCACACAAGAACCGCAACAGGCACAGCGTAACCAATCGCAGAAGTAAGTTAATATTTGGCTAATTACGACTCTCTTTTAGCTTTATTTACTTGTGGTGCACTTGATGGTAATCGTAGACAAGATGCATATTAAATAATAAGTCCCTTAACAATACAATATTCGTGTCAGTTTTATCTGCATCGCAAAGCTAAACTATGTAAAAAAAAAACAGATCGTTTTGACTTGTAACCATCAAGTGCTACAATCAAAGGTACGAGATCCTTGCACTCAATCACTAACACTTAGATTTGTTTGATATCATGTTTTATCTTTAATTATATAGTCAAAGTTCGCGCAGTTCAGCATCTCGTGCCTCTATAGGAGGTCCGGAGAGCAGTAGTGGTCGCAAGTCTAATAGCTCGTCCGGTTCTCTTAGTATGAGCGGTGGCGTTCAGGGGGGCTGTCCTGCAATCGCACAACCCATCGGAGGCCTTCAACACCACCTTAGTTCCAAGTTCCAGCAGGTATTCTCACAAAGCAAGATATATAGCAGCTGAGTTTTTTTTTTATTTGTGATCTACTGCCTGCATGCGAGTGCAAAATACGAACATCTCAGGTCACTATCGCTGGAAGCTCTGCAAGTCAATACACATATTGGGGTATCGTTCCTGGCTCGTATTGCAGGTGACACCGCACTCGAATAGCGGAAATAGCACGAATGGAAATGGTGGCAAAATGCCAGGTCTACCTGCTGTTACAGGACCCTTGACGCCGGGTCTTCCCCTAAATGCTGGAACAGCTGGCGCGTTTTCACACGTACTGCCAAATACGTTCAACGAAAACAACAACATAATTCATTTTGGAGAAGAGGGTAAGACTACACTGCATTGGAAGGTTTGCATCTTTTCGCAGTTCTTGTCACAAATACAAAACTACTGTTAACAATGTTATAGTAACTAATTTGCCCTTTAAGGAGGAATTAATTATGGCTCTATTCGTTTAGGTATGCACGCGCGTCTGTTAGAGAGCCAAAGCCAGCAACACCAACAGCAGCAGCATAAATTAGTAAAGCCAACTGTGATCCAGCAAAATGGGATGATGCCACCGTTTTATTCGCTTTTTTCTGCCGATGCTCTACTGGGTCAATCGGGCTTGCCATTTAACCTCACGCAACCGACACCCCGCGTGTCAACTGGTTCTAGCGCACCTCCGGGGTATCCTGTAGCCTCTATTAGTTCACAGGCTCTCGTGGGACAAGGTAACATCGATGCCCAAGCAACTATTGAAGCGCCCCTATTTGGGTTAGAGTCTCGAATCGAGGAACCTGACGAACAAGGTGTAATATCAGCTCTCGACCTTCAAATGAAAAATAAGGACTGCATCGGCGGATACGTTGAAAGAGACCTCGAAGTTTTTATTGTATCATGGGCTGGGCCTAAAATCAAGATGGAATGCAGTGAAGAGGTAAGTATTTTCCCATTTGTGTTTTATGATAATTCTCAATGCGGAAGACATACTATAGTTAAGGCCTGTTTTTCAAATGAAATACGTGGAGTAGAAAAGAATGACTATGTTTTGTAGCACAACTGATACGTGATTCTTAGAATAAATGGTACAAGGGTTCCTTCGACAACACTTCTAGTATCATTCCATTGTAGTATATTCCTCTCATGCAAACTACTTCAGGGTTATATGGCAAAGATCGTAAACTGTAAGATTTTTCTCGATCCTTCCAGAAACTCGCCTTCCTTAGTGGTTTAGGTTTGACAATGCATTCAAACTCGCGGCGCATTGCCTTTGAGCAATTTATAGAGCGAAGGAAGCGTTTGCCTCCAGACGACCTAATAATGGAAGAAACCTGCGAGCTCCCTCCAACATTCTGGAGCAGGCTGCTCTTACTCGACAAGGAACAGGTATACAGTTACATCTACATCTGTCTAAACAGGACCGAACTCCAGAAAAACCTGATGGTTCTTCCACAGATTAGTCAACTTAGTCAGGAAAAACTTGAAGCTGGATTTTTTCAAATTAGCCTTACTAAAGTGTTTTTCTCATTTAGCTCTTTTACTTTAGTGGATATGGCTCGTCTACATATATAGACGAGCCATGTATATATATACATATCACGTTTATTTTTTTTTTTTCCATTTAATATTATTAGATGTTACTTTCGCCTATTCTCTAAAATATAGGCTTCTTCAAACATATTGTTTGAGCATAGCTCACTGTCTTCTAATGTTTGATCTATCACTTTCAACAAGCACTTAATTAGTTTGACACTGTGTTCTAGAAGTGTAAGAGGAACCGCGTACAAAGTTGTTGAGCGAGATGCCTTGCCCAAGTCAAATTATTAGTAAACTCATAGCTGACTTTTTTGTCGCAATACCTTTCTATAGCAAAATGAGAATAAACCCAAAGTGGAAGCGCAAAAAGGACCCGATGAACCTGAAAGTCTTAAAGCGAAATTACCCCCACCAGCGCCAAAGTCCCCCCCTGCGACACACTTCCTGCAAGCTCTTGATTTGGCTCCAACGGTGGAAGTCGACCGAATAGGTAAGAAAAAATTTGGTTAAACAAATTGTACTATTGTATTTACTATTTTGCGCAATAAACACATAACAGGGCTTGCTCGTCAAGCAAAGTTAGGTACCAGGTACATAACTAGGTCAAGAGTAGCTTAAAAAAAGATGAAAAAAGTTGTGGAATATACGAAAAACTGTTGAGCAAAAGTGATAAGGGAAGCCGATATTTGCCTAGATAGTCGAAGACACTGAATGGCGCTTACGTTTGAATATAAAAAGTATCAATCGATAGGAAATTCACTTCTTAACATATCTACAAACACTCTCCGTTATCATATTCCAAATACAAACAAATTCAAGTAAACTGAATAGACTGTTTTCCTTGACACAAACTATTTACAAAAGTCACCACTCGTCTAACAGAAGTATTCGGATTTGCCAAAACCAACTAATAACATATTTGCATACTGGCGAACGTCGTATGATATAGTTTCGAGATTCGGTGCGCTCACAGCTTCAAATACACATAATGTTTACTGCAGAGACGGAGGTAAAATGGCGAACCGTACTTAAAGATCGAGCACGACGCTATAATTTGAAAGTGCCTGATCGACGACGAAGATGCAGATCGCGCGACAGGAGCAGCGAGGAGTTCGATGAGACTCTCCTGAAAAAGGCTCGATTTGACCCGAAAAGCTTTGCCCAGGAGTTTCACGAGTCGGTGCTGAAAGACACTAGGGAAAAACTTCGTACGTTCATTACTGAAATGATTGATACCTTACATGATGGAATTTACAATAAACAGTTGGATTAGAGCTTGGTCGCTACGGTATTTGGTAAGCACGTGCTTACCACGCTTGAAACGAACGATTCAGGATTTAACTGAGATGTTTCATTCACTGTAGGTTTTTTAGAGCCTGGAGGTTCCCCAGAAGTCTTATTCAGTAACTATTCGCTGAGTCCGTCCGAGCGATACACCGATACGATAGCTACCGCAATGGCACGAAGCGATGACGTACGGAATACGGAGCTCCGGGGTCGGAGACCTCATCCTGCCTTCAGTATCCATTTTCTCGACCTCGGCGCGAGTCCGCCACGTGCTGATAGCCCTCTTAGCGGTGATGGCCGTCGTAGTCCGTTTACGCCACAGACACCGTTCCTCGGAGGGCCTCATGAATGGCCAGGCGTCGAAGCCATCCTTATGTTATATCATCGCCATCATGAGCTACGCAACAAGGAGCGGATGTATCTCAAAGAGAAAATGCAGACTTTAGCTGAGCGGAAAGAACAGTTGGAGAACGAACTTGAACGAGTTAAAGCTCACATGCAGGTATGTATCATATTATGGTTGATGATCAAGACAGTTAGTTTTTGTTACAAACTAGCCACATTTCTATAGACCGCAGATCTATTTGACACGTTTCGACACTGGAGCGTGTGTTTTGTATATGTAAATAGATACACATATAGCATAGCCAGGTATTAATGCAAGCACAAAAAGATCATAATTGGCTTATTTTTGCTCTGGGCCATTTGATCATTTTACAGCAACTGGAAGAGGAGAGTCGTACCGAAGCAGAAGCCTCGGAAAAGAAACAATTAGAGGCGCATAAGTTGCTAGAGGCACTCGGCGGATTGCGCCAGGGAGCGAGTGGCACCGCTGATGACAGTAATTGTAACACTAATTATAACAACAACAGCAGCAGCAGCAGCAGCCCTAGTAACAAGAACAACAGCGACAGCAACAGTGATAACAACAACAGCGCAAACACACATATCGCGCCACCGCTGCCACCGCCTCCACCACAAGCAACTGAAGAAGCATCGCTTCCCAATGGACACTTATAGAATTCGGCTTCGCACCCCCAATGTCCTTGTTTCAAACAGGCGCCGCCAAGATCGACGATAATAATCACCTGACGAAGAAAATGGTGCTGATGCTGATTGCAATGGTAATGGCGGTAACGGCGACTATGATGACGACAATGGAAGGGAGGATGATCTCTGTTGTTTTCAGCGCTATGCGTATGCGCCGCAAATACAAAAGAACAAAATAATACAAAAAAAAAAGATAGGCACACCTTACGATCGGTGCCTGCCATCTGTACAGTGTTGAAGACTTTCACACGCGTTTGCCATGGACCGTCCGCGCTGTCAGAGGAATTGACCCCTATAGGGTGCTGATAAAGGCCGACCAACATTGAGCGAATACGTAGTAATACTACATAAAGATGAACCGATACACGTTAGTGTAAACTTACAGGACGGATAAGATAAAACTGAGAAGCATGATATGATTATATTCCACACAATATTATTGTAAGGTAACATGCGCTCTGTATTTATACCTTTGGGGACTAGATCGAGCGGGTTTTTATGAATGGATGAAATGCGGTCGTAAGCCGACCCGCTGCGTAGGTGAATCTGCTTGTTTACACACAGACGATACAGTGACGAAATGAGCTTTGCCATTGACAGAAACGGAAAAAAAATGGATAGATCCAGATAATGTCGTCTTCATTCTATTTCATTAGTTCTTATGAGGATGATCTTGTCGTATGTATCTTATAGTCAGTGTTTTGTTTCAATTTGGTATAAGATCATTTATATTCATATATCACGTTCTATTTTGTATTTACTATTGCTATTGCTACGTTATGAGGACAACAATGTGACCAATTATCGCTTCGCCCTTTGTAAGCGCATTGGACTTTAGTCTCGGCAAAGCATGATCTTTAGCATGCCAACTTTTGCGAAATCCTCTGCGAATCTGGGTGCCTATCAAGCACTGCTAAAGAAGTTATTGGTATGGCAGTTACGCGATGAATTAATTTAAAAATCGAATTCAAAGCCCATAGCTTGCCTGGAGGGGACAAAAAATAATCGCCTATAACAACTATACGCTACAAATACACATATACAAATATTGTCTAAAAAGCTAGATTACTTAGCCATTACCAAGACCCCGATTGTTACTATCAATATAACGATTATTGTTTGTTCTAGTGTCAGCGAAGGACAGCCATCAATTACGCAGATCTTGATCATTTTGTTGTACATACATACATAGCAGAAAAATGTGAAGTTTTTTTTGCTTCTATTCTTCTTTCTTTTTTATTCTTTATGTTGTTGTTGAAAATATCACAGATATTATATCCGGGAATATATATACATTTGTGTACATATCTATATACCCCCTATATTCCGTTATCTCACTTATATACAGATAATATTATACATATTTCCCCTGTATTCGTTGACGTCTGTTTCTTTTTGCAGCGTAGCATTAATCGAGAGGTGGCGCCCGAGCTCTGAGACGCATTGCGCGCCGAACTTCTCTAGAAAGCCAGGGTCATCACGTGTATCCGCATAGCGATAACATTGTATACATCCTTCATTGACAAAGTTACGGACGCTGTATATCTTGTGAAGTTTTACCACAAATTTTGATAGCGGACTGGGCCTGCATGTCGATCGAAGATATCGCTTTCGCGATATCGATACCTTAATACTATGGATGTAAAGCCTAGTTAGAAACAAAATTGCGTTCGGAAACGGGTTTACGTGCTTGTTGAATTCTGCCGGAACCTCTAAGTTGGCAATTGGCATTACTACGTTGAAAGCTACCCCACATGTAATCTCGACTAACCTAAGCGCTTTATGTGCCATCTGCTATTTTGGATCACTGTAATAGAAGTGAGAGATATTGTTAAGCAAAAAGATTTGTTTTGACAAGTGCTATCCCTGGTGAACAGTATATGTACTCTAATACTGAAATTTCTTGTTACGCTTCTAAATTGGAGCCATAGTCAAGTATTTTGTTACCCATACATCACTTCTTACAGATTTCAATACGCCTTCATCGTAATGTGACACTAGTTCCTTCCAGAAAATTGTCAAAAACTCTTCTATTTAATGGACCTTGTTATTTGGCCTATACTTTACGCCCTACGTTCACGGTAGCTTACATTATCCAAGGATACCTCACCACTATTATAGTTATTCGGATGAGTATCAAATTGTTCTGCAAGCGATGTGACTTTGGTATAAACGTTTGATAATATTGACTAAATGTCAAACTGAGCAATGGATGTCAAATGCGTAAATGTGATTGACGACTGCATGAGTGGAGTAAATAAATGTAAGTTTTTTTTCTTTATCGTCTTTCTACTAAAAGACCTCAGCTTATGTGACAGATTATCATTATTATTCGATAAGGCTGCCGATTTGGTCGACTACATAAATACACAGATTTATTAATATTAAAGCATTTCAGTTAAAATGCTTTGTCAATCGTCGGCTCTCATCGATACTTAAAAAGAGGCTAAAACGCGACACTACTGCTGCTGCTGCTGCTGTGACGGTTATTTTTTCAGACGAATGAATGTGTGAAGTCTCAAAACGACCATTTAAATAGCGCAGCAGTATATCAACGTTAGCTTATTTGTGCTATGATCTATAATGGCTATACTTGACTCTTGTCAAACAGGTTTTATTTCTCCTAATCGGTACATTTGTGCCATGTGCGTTGAGTTCCCTTGGTATGCCAAAAACGAGAAGCTATTAGCCAGTGCTACCACGTTTGATTTGTTCCGACCAGTAAGAATCATAGCGACAAGATTCTCATGGTGCTTCAATTTTGATATATCGGAGTGTAAATGAAATATTTACTTACTAAACGCACTGATTGGAACAATGATAATGAATGAATGAAAGATCGCCATTAAAGAGGACAGAAAAGCTCCGTTCTAAGTTTTACCAGCAACAAGCGGATCCTATTCATTGCTTTTGTATTGGGGGGTCGCAGTCATCAAAACGAGAGTGCTAATTATAATATTATTGTCAGCATCTTAATGATTGATAACAGCAACGTATGTACAGATGTTTGTATATATCTACTATATATATATATATATATATATATATATATATATATATATATATATAGGGAGAGAGAGAGAGAAGAGAAGGGGACGGAGGGAGGGAGAAGTGAGTGCGTGAGTGAGTGAGTGAGTGAGTGAGGAGAGAGTGGGGGAGAGAGGGGAGATGGGGGGGAGGGAGAGATAAGTGAGAGAGAGAGGAGGAGGAAGAGATGACTACTGATGATATTGAAAAATGTGGTGAGAAATGTGGTTGATAGATACCGATGATGATTATTACTACATGTGAATTGCACTAAGAGCGAAGTCGATTGTTCGGATGTAGGTATGAAATGTATGAACAATGATTGCCGTCGATCCTTATGATATTGTTACACGTTTGTGCCTGTTGTATGCAAGCCATTGAGAGACAAAAAGTGGTCGACCAATTTTCTAGCCAGGACACTGGAATATATTCGACTAGTGTATCCCTGTATTTTATTTCATAGCGGTGCGCTGTGCCCTTCTTTCTGCGTGTGGATGTCTCTTCTCTGCCCGTTTCACGAATCCATGCGCGCCCAGCATAGGCCGACACACACGTACACACGCCGCCACCCAGACGGTCATTACCACACTCAACAGGCGCAGCATCATTATTATTGATCAATACCTCGTTTCCAAGTATTGGTAGGTGCAGCAGGACGGCCATTGAAGATGAATTGTCAAAGGGTTGCAAGTGTATGTGTCCGCATGTGTAGACGTAATAGTAGGTGACAGCGCATCTTTTGGCCTTTGGCATTCGACTAAAACGAGACTGCAAATCCGCTATTACAAATTAGCAAACTACCAAGCAGGCCTATTATTGAAATATAACAAATCCTATAATGATGTACTTTAAAGGTGGTGCCAATGGCTAAACGAGGTGACCCCTATGGCGTACAGCGTTTACTGCGAGCGGGGATAAACAAACCGAGAAAGAACATAGAACATAACGAAAAGTAGGCAAACACAAAAATAAACAAAATAATATTATTAATAAAATGAAAGAGAAATGAAGAATTGTAAAATGGACAAGTAAAATACTAGATAGGATGTTGCTGATGTCAAAAATAATGAATAATTAATAATAGAATACTAGGAATGTGTATTTACGAATATGGGAATATGAGCGAGTGGGGTGTATTCGCCGTGGTTTTACGGTGCTATGGGGTGATCAAACGATGTGCAAAAAACAACTCATGAAGAAGCTTACATGGTAAGAACAAAGACGTGAACGTCGTCACACTACAAATGACGTACTACACACACAGACAAATACAGCCATTAGAACCACTATGTCAAATGGCAAAAAGGGAAACAAAGGGCGAGTAACGCGTTTCCCATTATCTGCTTCTTCATTTGTAATTGTAAATAAAATGAGATCAAATAATAATGATCATGCACACTGAAAGTGGGCCTGACGGGTGTAATTTTTGTGCGGAAATTGAGTTCGTTGAAGTGGCGTAACAGGCCAACTATAAATAGTTTTAGATCTATAACGGTTACGTGCCAGGGTTTCAGTAAAACTATAGTGAAGGGTTCCTCGGACGAAAAATGTATTCGTGTCATCGGCTTATAATACGATGTATTAAGATAGAAATGTGTTTCTTAAAGTACTTCGTAAAAAAGTCGCCGGAGTATATTTGAGAGCAGCGTGGCGTGGGCTTTGAAAAGCCGATACAACTCTTTATTAGATACAACGTTTTAATTAGAGCAAACATAATGTGCTTGTGTTCTCTTGAATATGAGCATAGTTGCTTTACAGGTCTTTCGTATGAGCAACTTACTTATCTTAGGAACACTTGCTGATGACTAGCATTACCCTTACCTAGAGTGTTTCCACATTAGTTTCCCTAAACGCCGAGATGGAAAAGGAGCGTTTGGCAAAAACTAGCAGACTAAAAGATAAGGCTGCCGTAGTACGGTGTTTTACCATCATGAGCAACGTAGCTATAAAAAAATCCGAACGTTAAGCCTTTTGCATTTTTATTTATTCGAAGTTAGTGCTCATAAAAGAGGATAGAGTACTGTTTACATACTCTTTTCATAGAGGGTAGTTTTAACAATCTGGGTTTGTTTTAATATTTTGCAATAAAATCATCTAGGTTGAGAAAACTGTGGGCTGCCACATTTTTTCGTCTAAGCCAATTTATCTTTCTGGTAAAATCCTCCTACAATCCCATCAAGATGGTTGATTAAAGGTCATTCTCCCGAAATAGCAGTGATCCGGAGATAATAACAGCACTATCACATAGCTAAGCCGTGATTAAATGCGTAAGAGGTGACTTCGCAAAAAAACGTTGCTTGCTTCCATATATCTATTATTATGAACTCTATGCCTTTCATATATAAATATATAATTTCCGTGAATACCATATTTAATGTTTTAATAAAAATCGAATGGCAGTACGTCATCTGCTTCTTTTAGCAGCGAGCAGAAAAGTCCCTTTATATTTGTTTGAAACGAGCTTGTATTACTTTCAGGCTTTCCCGTTTTTATATTTCTGTAAGTCCACTTCAATTGAGCCTTGACCTATTAATACTCATACAGCTTCAAACGGCCTGAAAGCCACTTGATAGCTAAATGAAGAAGATGTTTGCGGAGCTGTGCCATATTTTCTCTAGGGCTGAATCCAATTTCCATCCATCCATCTGCAATATTAAATTGTCTATTTTGTTTTCACTATACTTAAAACTACGAATCTTTTTTCATAAGATATTAACATTTAAAATATACTTAAATAATTCAAAACTAAACTTAGATACAGCATTTTACACCAGCAACTTAATGGCAATCACCTTAGGTTATAGTGCAACTATGCTCCAGCAGAAATAAATATTGAACATAGAAAGCTAAACTTGATAATTGTAGAATGAAAAAATAGAATAAAAGTGAAAATGAAGTGAAAACAGTGGAAGTGGAAATATTTTCAGCCAAAACAATTTACATATTTACTTAGCTATATCGAAATCCACGTGTAGGTATTAGAATAAAAAGACCGATATTTTCTACGCGCAGTGTTTCGCTTCGTATACACACTATATATATTAATTTATTGATCTTTATTTTTTACGCCAGCTTGTGCGTTCTTCAACGCCGACTATGATTCGCTCTCGCTATTTTCTTTCATTTCGCCAGTATTGTTGCGTCTTTCGTCCTACAAGCGACTGCTTAGTTTTGACGGTTCTCGCGCATAATATCTGCATTTGCTTGCCACACGTTTATGTTTTGTCATGTATGAAACTATAGTGAACCTCGTTCGTGTTTCAGCGGCGTAGGCGGGATTAAGAAAACCGTCAAATAAACTGCAACATTTGCATCGTTATTATTTCGCAAATGGACGACCGGATCAAATTCGAAATTCACCGCCTGTGCGCACGGATACGTACGTTGCATATATTTGCGTTTTGCGAAGTGAGTGATAAAAAAAATTGCCAGTTAATCCTGGATTTAGGCAAAAGAAAGGAAAGCAAAAATAGCCACCAACTGTCAAAACTACCAACGATCAAAAGAGAAGGCTAGTGAATAAACAAGTCAATCATGGTATACAATGTATTTTCAGAAGCAAAGAAAAGTCACAAAAAGAGAAACAGAAAAAATACTATTGTAATACGATTGACGCGGTAGGTATTTGTATTATACTAGTATAGTGCCATACAGTAATAGATAAATGACAAGATGACCCTGTTTTGTTTACTTGGCTACTCGCCCGCTTTTTTTCTTCTCGTTGCCGTTGTCATTTTCCAGGTTCTTTGTTACGCGCATATGATATTATCCTATACCCATTGGCCATTTCATATTTGCCGTCCGCCTTCGCTACAGATGCCGTGCGCCAATCGTCCATTCATAATCTCGTTTCCATCGTTCTTTGTATATACATGCGCTTGCACGACGAAAGTACTTTAATATTTTTTTGCTTCTTCACTCTACCGATACGCCTTCCCCCATCCTTTCCACAGTGCCTTCTTCTGCCTTTTTCCCCCCGCCCTCTAGTCGTGTATCAACTGACTGCTGCTTCAGTGTTCTTATTATGGTCATCGATTTGTTGAAATAAGCGCTTTCCTTTTATCGGCGACGAATTTCAGTGTGTCTTGCATGCTTCTGCCTCTACATACACGAATTCCGCTTCGTCGTACTCATTAGGACTTCTTATCATTAAATCACACTCATGTAACCGTTTAAGATGATAGATACTCCACTATTCGGAGGCGGCGTATCAAGCCCGTCTATTCAGAGAAACTGTTTATGACATATTTTTCTATAGTCTGCTTTTTTTGTTGCCACTTGTTTACGATAATGATATGCTTTCTTCCCTTCATTATTATAGATATAAGAGGGGGGAGGGGAGGGGGAGGGGGATGCTATGGGAATTAGGAGGAACAAAGCCTTTAGGCCATCGAGGACCTCAAGACTAGAGAGCAGATACACATAGTTGAACATTATGGGTAAGCTTCATACCAGGTTTTTTAGGTTTTACAGAATATGACTATTGCGTTCATTGTTTAATACAGAACTCTACAGCGATATACTGCTTATATCAAACCGCGTAATTATTATCGGCACAAAATCCAATGTATATGATAAGTATACACGCTAGATGTTACCCCATTTCCATATCAGCTAACGCGTGACTCGTCTTAACATCTGGACGGTAGTTCGGGGGAGAGGGAGATCTAATTCTTCTTTCCGGGGCGCTCCTGCCACCGCTGCTACTGGAATAAACAAAATAATCGCTATCTGGAATTGGTGTCGATATGTATTTCGCTTGAAATTACATAGAGCAGGTACAAATACTCCGAGACGGCGGAATCGCGCTATACGAGAGGCACGGCTGGTGGTGAGCAATCTTCCGCCATTTGGATATTTTCGGTTTTCTACAATCGTTTAATCGAACGGAAACGCGTATGTTAATCAACCCACATGTGTGTGGGGCGTTGTAAGACATCACGTGTGTACAGTGGTCTACTTTGGGATTTGGCTTGTACGGCCTATCTCAGACTACGCAAGTGTTGTACCGAGTGTATTGCACATCAATAGTCACTTAAATCGTCCTTATAAGTGTGACAAATACCTAATTCTCGTTTTATATCCATTCACTTTGTCTTTATACCGCACTTTAGTGTGATGGGCAGCATCTTGATGAAGTGTATTGAGTGTATTAGTTTTACGAGTTACTGTTACTATCTTACATGTCGTCGATATTTTGTTTGCTTAAATTTGACTATCGCATCGATCTAGTATACCATAGCAGCATTTCTATACAGTACTGATGATTTCACTGATTGTTATATCGTTTATATACACTAAGTTTTTTGCTGCTCTGTATTTGGCCTCTAGATAATTTCTTCAACTAACGGTAATGCTCACAGCAATTCGAGCTGTCGCGGGAGATCCCGGACTTTCACGGTTGAGGTCGACGGCCCCTGAATACGAGTGGCGATTTCGTGGTTGTTGACCATGAAAACGGTTACTGCCAGACACGGACTCACTAGCGTAGAGCACTTCTAGTCCAGGTAGACTTCGTGCGCGAGGCAGGGCTATCTGCTTACCGTGTTCGGCGCTCATTCGCACCCGGTTGGCAATGTGTGCGAACTTCGCGTCCGTCTTCGTATGAAATTGTCTCGTGGCTTCAAATTCGGCAATAATCTGCTCATATATATCCGCGTTCCTTTCACACTCTTCCGACATTTTGGTCGCTCGTTGCTCAGTTTCGCTGCCAACATTAGCTGTTCCTTCTCGCGAGCAAAACACTGCCCTTAGGCGTCTGTACGTTGATGAGCCTGGCAGACTCATGATGGAAGACGAGCGCATACTTGGTGTCGACGATGTCATCGAAGCCACAATGCCCGAATCGTGCGATGATTCCAGCTCGGCGTGTGAACTCGAAGATTGGCTTCGCCATGAATCGGTGATACCTGCGGTGGCTCGACGACCGCATGCTGATAATGTTGACGAGCTCACAACGGACGAGCGTATACTTGAAGCAAGGCTACTGCTCGTCGAGCTAATCGACGTAATATAGCCCGAGTCATGTGAGGATTCTAGCTCAGTGTGCGCACTCGAGCATTGGCTCGACCACAGCAGTGGGACTCGTGTTTCCGCCTCACGACGGCATCCATGTGCTATCAACGGGTCGACTCGAAACGGATGGTCAGCCTCAAATAGCGTCTCAATTTCAAAGTCACTGACGAGGTGCTGCTCCGAAGGACTTAGGGGGCTGCCAAGTGGTTTGTATTTTTGCTGCTCCTTGTCTCTGCTTTCCCTAGATCCCAGAGCGAGGCTCTCTTCGAATGTCATCGAGCGGTAAGCGCTGTCGTGGCGCGACACCTTGATATGACCATGGTGTTCGCTTTGAATATGCGATGCGCGCAACACGACCGACGATTCGTCAGAGTCCGAAAGGATGTCATCCTCAAGCGTATCTAGGTGATCCGAGATCTGAGAGCCGTATCCGCTAGTGCCACTTGTCGACACCGAATCGGATCGTCGGAAATGCCGTCGAAGCGACGCACCACTTAACGTTTTCGACAACGCTTTGCTAAACGAGTGATCTTTGCGTTTACCCATCGAGCTGTCCGCCGGCTGCGCGGCAGGGTGGGATTGCTGAAGTTGCTGTAGATGAAAGCCAGGCAGTAGCTCTACCGGCCGTTCCAAACCCGGAGACAGAGATACGTTTCGTTCGATTTTTTGCGGTGGCAAGTTTTCGTCCTCATGCGCGCTCAGCCACTCAAGGTTGCAGCTCAACGAACGTGCGACCTCGAATGGCCGCGTAGGCTCCGGAACCGAGAGATTTTCCTGGCTACCGCCAAAATTCAGACGGGCGATCCCTGTCGTCGGTGACACGGCTGCAACATCGAAAACAAGCGTATGCCAATATTATCGCGCTTTTTCAAAACAATCATATCTAGCATTTCTAACGGCTCTTAATAAAGTTTTAGATAGGATAAACATGGCGGATGATATACACTGGTAAAACTTACTGACTACATTTGGCCCAATGACAAATATCTGTACTCACAAATACAGATTTATCACGCAAATAAATATCATCGGCATTTCGAAATACTACCGCTATTACAGTAATTTCTGTTGTATGCAACATACAATCAATCAGCTTCAATCGACTAATCACGGGAACGTTACATAAATAAATAAAAAACTGCAATAATAGTATTGTAATAATTTCGACAGTTATACGCACCTCCACTGGCTGGGCTATTACCTTCAGGCGGTGAGGCCTGAACTGTTTCCATTGGCCGCTGCTTAAGAGTCAACGTTAACTGACGGGGTAGCATTGCCATACGAGGCGAAAGTCGCTGTTTCTTCTGACTGATGGTAACAGGCAAATCCCATTCACGTGTGGGTGACAATAATGCACTGGCAGGACTGAGCGGCCGTGACGGCGAAAGTACCGGCGCCGATGAGCATATATCCGCAGATGCCTCCAAAATTTTTTCACGTCTCAGCTCCTTCTCATATTCGAGAAGTTGTCCCAAAAAGTTGAAGTTTGGAGATATTGTAGGACGTTTAGATTTGACATATCTGAAATATATTAACTTTTTTCTAATTTATTTAAATTTTATAATTTAATTTCACTTGAGAAATCGACATAGATATCTAAGTCGGTTTAGAGATATATAATACGTTGTTATAATGTGTTGTTACGATAGCAAGTCCAGTAGGTAAGCAGTATTTCATACCTGTACGCATCGTCAGAAGATAAGCGAAGATGTTTCATAACATAAGCGATGGCCATTGTGGGTGAACGGGAGACACCAGCCAAACAGTGCACGAGAACACAGCCGCCGGACTCACGAGCTCGCTCTACAAAGTGCGACGCCTTGCTGAAATGCGGTAGTAGCTTTTCGCTGTAGTTGTCATTTACGGCAATACGAAGGAACTGTGGTTCAGGAATAAAGTCGGCTTTCGGACATGTTGCCGAGACGTTGAGCACGTATGTAATGTTGTGGTCCCAAAGTAATTGACGATTGTGGGCATCCTGCTGTGAACCCAAGTAAAGGAAAGGCAAGATTCGGGTCAGGCCTGCATTCGTTGTTGGCATACATGGCTGGGAGAGCGCTGACGCTAGTGGGGCGCAAGGTCGTTGCTTATCCTCAACCAAACTAGGATAACAACTCTGAAATTCGGCGAAACCGCCTGAAAGAACCATAAAAAACGATATTAGTGAAAGTCGCCAACCGGTCAAATCGGTCAAGTATTATTTGAAACAAGCACGCCTGTGATAGGATATCACGCACCAGCAGGCTATTTAAATGGCGAATTAGACCATCCAGCATGTCGCGTTAATATCTTTACCTGTAAGAAATAAGGATGTGGACGGATTTCCCATCTAGCCAATAGTACCTACCAACATACTGCCAGAGTGTTTGGATTCTTGCTGCGCGAACTACCCAAATAGACTCATACGCACATACATACGCGACTTGCGCACACACATTCACACTGCAGACTAAAATTAGCAGTGCAGAGTTGATCCCTTTTATCCGTGCATATGCATGTGAAAGCAATTATTCGTATGACAGAAAACAGAACAATGCACAAAAAACACAGTACCCAACGGCCGCTAGAACTACTGTTATACTCAGTGCTGAGTCATCCATGAACAGAGGCCAAACGTCGGGCCGTCGTAGCGATGCCGGCAGTTACAGCGGCTGTAGGTCGACTGGATCCACACACATACAGACCTACGCAGTCTCAAGGCAAAATCATATGTTCACGAACACACACACACACATAGTGTGTCAGACAGGCAAACAGGCCCACGCTTCTAACAAAAACGGGAAACGCCATATTTATCAGTGACCCAAACACCCACCACTTTACAGGCCATTGATTGCTACAGCCTCGGCTGTAGTAACCGCCACCATAGGTCTTTTCTTACAGCAGTTCCAATTTCAAATAGGACGAGCTCTTCTATCTAGTTCAATGGCTGTTACTGCTTGTACTATCTGTTCCTCTCATGTTGCTCCTACTTGCGCAACCTAAACTACGAACTTGATCTCCTATGGATTTAGTTGCAGTAAGTAGTCAGTTGCATTAACAAATTGATTCAATCCAAATTTCATTCTACACCAACGTTCAGCCATGACCACTGTGTAGCCAACTCCTAACTTTAAGACAATGACGTCTTTATGACTCATCGCAAAGCCTCGCATGATATTTCTGCGAGCCCTATTTTTACCGCTTTTGTTGTGCTGCTATTGGTACTTACGGAACCCTTACAAAATACAGATTTGAGCCTTTTTATAATATGAGCTCAATGCCTTTGCGTGGTTGGCACAGTAGGACGTTTCGACGGTCGCATATTTCAAACGTTTTTAGGCGGAGCATTGGGGAAATGCGTGCTAACTAGCACAAAAAGCTAGTCATAGGTGGGAACAGAGGCTAAAAATCGTTACGTGGAAAACTGTAGGGGATAGATTAACCATAGTCAGTCATGTAAGCAATACACATTTGATGCAAAGGCAATGAAACTGATGATGACTAATTAACTCAGTGATGTCCAGGGGATTCAAAATACAAAGGCCTGCACAACACATATAACGAATCCTAGATTATTATTACTGCAGTTCCAATAGAATTATAGATACATAGAGAATGCTAAATCTATTAGTGTATGCACCGTTTAATAGAGAGACCCTGGGAAAGACTGCTGCCAACTTCTCGAGAAGAATCGCCTGGAAGGAATCAGCTGGCAGTTGGGCCGCTGTTCGACTGTTGACATCGTACAGAACTGCCCAATGGTACGAATCAGCATCACAGTTGTTGACTAGAAGATCTCGGACCGATACACGCTCTTGTTGAAGTCGCCGTTTGCCGATCTTTGAATTGGCCACATTGACCGCTCGTCGAATGTGGTGCGTGTTATAGTCCATGAACGACCTGATTAACGCAGACATACACGAAATATACCAAGAAAGAGGAGACACAATTTTTCGTTAGTTACAACACGTGTCCGCATGTCGAACGCTGAAAAGTAATTATTTGACCTTTACCTTTTCTCTTATTATTTTTTCCCTGCCTTTTTCACTTATTATTTAAATGCGACCAAACACAATATCAAGCTAATATCGAGCGCTATATCAAGAATTCAATAAATACAGCATGATAGTATAGCAAATTTTTAAAAGTTTGTTGCAGACGACAGCGGGTTTATGCTATATACCAAGTGTACGGGTCTAGCATTCATGCCAGTGTTCTGGAATTGACATGATAAGTTAAACCACTCGGGCTAAATAAGTGCTTCTGCCTTTGTCAATTCGTTAAGAATTGCTAGCTATTTAAAAATAAATTACATCCAAGTCAAGCTTCCGGAATCTCCCGAATGTGCCCTTAGCTACTGACATCGTTAGTGTATTGCTGTCTGATGCTCGACAGAACTTGACATTTCGTGTTTTACACTACGATGATTATGTTTACACGTCCATGTGGAGCATTGCTATGCAGACGACATCATCTCACGTAATCAATGCTGGCGCCACCTAAATGCATTTTGCTCATATCTTCAACAATCATCGCTATCAGCATTATCATAATGATAACTCTAAGCTAGCAACGAGCAGGATTACGGCTCGATGAATTCCTCTCATTAAATTAGCGAACAATAATGACCACAGCTGGCGTCATCTTAACCAAACACCCGTTGCCCCACTTAAGTCTTATCTTTTGCTCACAAAAAAGTCGCTACGCACGTGAATGAGAAGGCCGGAAATGAGTAATAGAAAATGTGCTTTTCTCCGTTTCCGTTTGCCCAATAGCTCCGCGTATAGAAGCAGTAAGGGACAAACATAGAATACGCTTGTTTGCTGTATGTTTTTTTATTATACTTTGTCTGTTTGCCGTTTTAGTATTTTTTTTATATATTATGTAATTTCATACCTAGCCATCTAAGCACTTTTTGGGTAGTTTCATTTCTAATTTCTGTACAGAACAATACTAATGACAATATTGTGTATGGACTGATATTACAGGTATGTACAGCCGATACGGCCAGTTACCGACTACGAACCAGCTGCTAGATGACTTGAGAGTTGTCTACCCACTCCTGGTAAACGTTGTCACCATTCTGGCCACCGTCAGCGTCGTGCGTTCGTGCATCAGTCGTCGCCGATCAATATCAGCTACAGTCGAAATGCTTACTTCTTGATACTTGTTACTTGAGAGGGCGGCAGTGAGAAAAACATGATGACGGCTGCTGGGCCAGCGCCGATATCAAAAGCTTGAGATGACACGAATGATTGTAACGCATCTCAATTAAGCTGACTACGATCGCACGCGGCTTCACGATAGATCAGCAAATGGCAAAACGACAGGGTCAGGGGAAGGGGGGAAAACAATGATGCCACCAGACAAACTGGAATCCGCCAGCTAGAAATCGAGCCGTGCAAATTCTACTTCACTCACTGCACGAAACTCTATTGGACTGCATCGCACAGCTAGAACTGTATTGCTACTGCTGCTGCAATTTGGCTGGATCGATCAAAGGAAAAGATTGAAAACCATAGGCGGTCATAAGGAGATGGTTGGTGTATACCAAGTCGCAAACGTCTTTTACCGGCTACTGCGACCAAAGCCATCATCGCGCTGGTATATGCGACTGTTGGAGATGTTACCAATGGTGATAATGACCAGGAAGGCCTATGTTGTTGTATGTATTGACTTATTAAAGCTGCTCCTGCGATCACAGGAAGAATAGTGGCGCCTGCTTGGAGTTACACTAGAGGAGTCTCCGGCGTAGATGAGGTCAGGTGGCGTCATGGCGCGCAAACGCACACACGCAAAAAGTACTGACGAGGGCGAAATGTTTTGTAGCAAAAGACGGCCACTCCGGAAAAGGCATAAAGAAACGAACAGACTTAGGCAATGTAGCCAGACGATAGGAGAAGGCCGATGTTCTTGTGCGAAATGCTTGGCAGAGGCAAAACGCGCTATCACAGCCAAACAGGACTTTCTCTCTAGCCATCTTCTCGTGGCAGAAGCGATAGGTGAACAGTTGACGCGATGAGCGAATTCTTGTTCCAGAGCAGTTTCTCTTTTTTGAGGGTCCCCGTCAGGTAGCGCGTATGAAAAACGAACACGCTGATGGGTGACAAAAACTTTGCGAGTTGGAGACAGGCTGTTACAGATCCGATTAATGGCAAATGGATATTGGCGGACGTTCTTGTATTACTTACTGAGAGCAGCAAATAAAATGATATAGACTCAGCATAAGTAAAGTTCGTGTTGGTTAATTACTATCTACTTACTAGAATACGGTTAGTTGCTGACGACACAACGTTTTATACGTACGTAAATAATAGGAGCAATCAAGGTGCGTCCTATTTGCTACACATATCAACATATAAAAATTAGTCAGGTCATTTGACCGGCACGCGCTGTAATGGCAGGTATAAAACATCGGTCAGAAGCTAAAGGAAGAACCGGTACGGCATGAAATTTCAATTAGTTGGAAGCAAATGGACAATAGTGAAAAATCCCAATGATCTTAAATTCGGCATATCAGAACCCTTGCTGTATCTAATGACAAACCATTTCATCTGTTTTGAAAATTCTAATATAACGATCTGTAGTCCAATTATAGAAACTGGTGTTGTCGCTTGCTAAAAACTTTGGCTTTAACATGAAATTCAGTGCTTACCTTGAATCGATGATCAGAAGATCGTCCCTTTTTCCCAGTAGGGCCGCAAGTTCGTGGCAATCAACAGCGTCGATAGTACTCTTGCTGATGGCGCCGGCCTTCTCGTCGTCGATAAGCGTGGCCCGGCCGCCAATACCAGGACCACCGCAGGCCGACGATGTCATGACGAAGGTAGCAGCCCTTTGAATTGACACTGTTAGACCTCTATGCCTAGCCACCACTTGGCCTGCAGGCAAATTTTGCTGGCGTTTCAATTGGCGTTCAAGGCTCAGCGATAGAGTTGGTGTATGCAGCGGTGATGATTTACGCGGCCGGGGGTGACTGTCGCAGCCGGGGCACTCGATAGGCGAACTAGCTCCGCGCGGCACCACGACCATTGAGACATCTTCATCTGAGACGATTTCACCAACTGTTTGACTAAGGTGAACGTGCTGAGATTTGAGCTGAAAAGTCAAAAGAGTGGACGCGTTACAGACAGAGTTCATTTGAAAAACATTGAAGATCAGGTAATATTAGAACGGAATAGCAACTGTGAAGTGCAATAAATAGTAGAAATAATGTCTAGATAGATGATAGAACCTATCATAAAAACGTAATTACTTATGTGGGTTGCAGGAAATACAAATTGTTTTCATTGAGTTGGTCTATGATACAACGTCCAAAGAGTCAATGAACAAAATCTAATTTATGCGCGAGTGCCGAGCGCCATTCGACTATGGATCGCCACGGCTGGTGATAAATAACGGCACTTTCTGTACGTGTCACTTCAGACAACGGTGCCGATTTTAACAGTGACTCAATATTCGTTTTCGATAAAATGCATTAAGATTAATAGTGTACCTGTTCAAAGAGAGTATTCGTTTTTAATTACATTGACGGTATTAATAATTATATGCCTGAATAAAATCCGTCTCGATCTGTTGTTCAGCTACCACAAATGAAAATAAGATGAAATTTACCCAACGTATAAGTGGTCATCGGCGTTTGGTCGCTGCATGACTCACGTATAATGAAAGCCACAGCAGAAACAACAGATTCTCTGCGACGGCGGCCTGCTTGGCCAATCGCTAATTTTGAAAATGTCTATTTTATTTAAAGTTTTATAAATTTACAATTTTTCTAAGTTCTGCCGCTACCGGCTAATTGAGTAGTATGATTCGGTAACGTTAGCCTTTTAAGTGTTTGGTTTTTATCAAATATGTATAATTTGTCAAACATAATGACAGACGATATAAGGGAATGCATCCAGTAAATTTGAAGTTCCCAAAAGACGAGCTCTAAACGTGTACTCTTTACAAAGCATGTTCTTTCTGTATACGACTAGCTAGATAGTCGAAGAAAAGGAAAATATAGTGACACTTTAGTGTAGTAACGCTCTTCTAGTTCTTTCACTTTATTTGCTACCTCAGTTAGCTGCTTATGTGTAAAACTCATGCTGACTCGAAAACGCTATTTCGGTAAGGCTTTTCTGCTCAAATGAATCATATGATTATACTTAGGACATGAGCGCGTCCACACCGAAAACAAATAATAATCATGTTGCTATCTTATCATGAGCTCAACTAAATTGCTATAGTAGTACATGTAAAAGACAGTTCTCCTTTTATAGATCAACTTTCGCCGATCAGCAACTTCAACACTGACTAGAATATTGAATGCAACACAGAGTGAAACTTCGTGACTAACTTTGACTTTTTCATTTAACTTCTTTAAAAAAAATTCACTTGATTGTACGTTCTTTAATAAGACTTTCCCTACGGGGTGGTCAGAGTTTTTGGCACTGCATGAAAATTAAAGCATCGTACGAACACAACCGTAACGGCAGATGGCCGACTGGGTCGGCGGCCCCAGCACTGTTTATCAGTAATGCTAATGGAGCCGGCGCACAATTTGTTGCTACGCATCTACGTGCGTTGGAAAAGTTCGCACGTTTGTTCGTTTGTTTTCGCTGGCTATAAGTATGAACGTTGGCCGGCTTGACATGACCGCTCAACTGAGATGGTGTTTCGCGCCGCTTCGCACCACTACGGTGACCGTAGCAGCAGCAGCAGCCGCCGCCGCCGCAGTCACAGCATTAGTAGCGTCAACGGCGTGAATCAGACGTTACGGAGCTGACGTCACGCTAAGCCCTCCCAAATGGCACTTGCCAGTACACATTTTCAGTTGTGCATAAATCAGCTTGTTTACAGTAGACTATTTTCAATGAACTGAAATCAGAGTCGTTCATACGCGGCGCTATCATTTTCGAAGAAAGCAAATACGACAGATGTGACCTGTATGAGGATGAAGGGAAAAGGGGGACCGCGTAGTCGATGGCCGTCAATGTGTTTCACGATTCTAGGTGACGTACGCCTGTGGCAGTGAACTAGTTGCTTGCGCAGCTGCCACTGAAGAATTGTGCGCAGAACGCATTCAACAAGCATGTGTGGGGAATGGTATAACTGTACCTATAATACTATAATGTTACTCCTTTACTAATTACAGACATAACTCACATCGATAAGGAAATACGCTTGCCTGTAAATAGCAGAGCGGCAATTGGTGTCTAATGATGATGATAACCTGCTTCAGTGTTGGACATGACCGCACATTGACACATATGTTTAATCACCGCATACGTACACAGGTATGCCTAGAAACGCCGCTAAAGAAAGGAAATAATACTTAACATCGTATGTACGTTTCACGGGAAGGGAAACGCGCTAATAGAGGCGTAAAACGATCCAGCGGCCGGACCGGCTAGAGAATGAAGAGAAGCTGTTTCGCGGAATACCTGTACGATACACCCCCATGGACAAACAAAGACAGAGCAGTCTGGACAATAACGATGGTGACGACAGAGGAACGATATTCTCGTATGCGGCTGAGTGTCTGTCTATGTATTGTAGTCTATGACAACTGTTAATGGCTTCTGCAAGCATGACGTTACGATGAGTCCAATGCTGCACGTTCAGCGCAGGACTCTTTTCTGTCCTGTGATGCTACTACGTTGCCTACTGTTAAGTCCGCCATAGCAGCTGAAACTTATTTCTGCAGAAGCAGCAATAGAGCAGCTGTGAATATTGCCGTTGGTGCAGGATTGACACGGAGGACATAGCGGGGCGACAAAGAGATAGACACATCTGGTAATAATCGCGCGGATGACTCACCCATTACTTACAGAATCAAAGTCGAATTTATCCTCGTAGACAACATTCGTGACGGCGACGAACACAACGACAGCGGTAACATCATCATTAGTACTATTATTACCACCACCCAACTGTCGCCGAACAGCGTCGTAATATTTAATTCGACGGAGTGGATTTCAAGTATGTATATGCGTGTCTGTGACCAACTAAATGGCATGCCGTTAAAATAATCAACGATAATTCCATACTGTGCTTACTATTGGTAGATCGCCGTTTAACTGACAATAGCTTTTTGACTCTCGCGTTAATATATGTTCGTATAAGAAAACCAACCCAATTGAACTACCGCTCTATCCCGGACGCTCTATCGGACACTCCCCAACGACGATTGTCAACTTACACCGTTGCTGCCAATTCCTTTATTCCGTACTTGTATCTAGCCCAGAGAAAAAAAAAAAGACGTAGAAAAAATAATCACACTACGTCCGCTGTTGACTCAATAATCAACCCCTGCCAGATTCGTGCTACAGTATCATATCGGATCTCATTCAACGACAATTTTGCCTTTTTTGTTCGGCCCTTTATCAGTCCACCATTCATTTGCTTACTCAGGGATCTTAAAGTTTACCTAAATCTTTTATTTACCTGAACATTTCTCGACCTCTTCAAGGGAACGGGACACGCAGGGCAAGAGTCGCACGTCATCATGGCACATGAAATGGCCACGTGCCGGAAGCAGGATACCCGCACTCACACAGATCTACAGAGCGGCTGTTGACGCAGGAAGGACCTGTGATTACCGCTTGCCTACTCAACAACTACACGTACGTAGTAGTTACAAACACGGACAGAAGGATTCCGACAGCGGAGTAAAGTAGACAGGCAACCCTTACGGGTTGGAGCGCGGGAAACCCGTAAAGTTCACTTAGTCACTGGCCTATCCGCGCACTGGCTCAAATCGATGAAATACTGCGCTAACCCAAAAACTTGTTCCTCCACTCATTCACATTCGGTGCATACGTTCACACTCATATATGATGGCACCAATAAGGTACACGGGGCCGTCTCTCTAATAAATGCTCTAAGGGGGCTTCACGTAGAAACCCTGATGCTTTGAATTTCAGCCTCACGCAATCACAAAGCTAATAAGATGCAACTGATGAGAACGCATAATCCAACGTAGCAATCAATAAATAGTAACACCTATCAATATAATATGAAATCGAACACGATGCCCTGAAATCGCGTACTAAGCAGGCGTGCTCTAACTACTCCATCGTTTCGAATACCCGCTTCTTGTTTTCGTTAGCTCCGAACTATCGTCTGCGCTTCCTGTAGTGAACGAACAACTTTCACGGATGTTACACTTCGTAGTTGCAGCAATAATAACGGTAGTAGTCGTTAATTACGACGTACGGAGAGACGATACACACACGAGGACAGAGAGTCGGAGGAATGCCCGCCAACTGTACACAAGTCGGGTACACACTTTGTCCTGCCGGCGGCTGTTCAAATGAGCGCGCCTCCACGCGGCCAAACAGACGATCACTCAGTTACACAGTGGCCACACTAGTCTCGAGTGACCGCTCTGTGCGACCTGCTCAGATGTTCTGGTGTTCGATTCAAGGAGCCGCGCTCGCTTTGGGACAGATAGAGACTTTCCTCACTCGGCCGATCGTTGTCTCACCACCACCACCACCGCTGCCGCCGCCGCCGCCGCCGCTGCTGCTGCTGCTGCTGCTGCTGCTCCTGCTCATGTCGTATCTCACTGCTGCCACCAAATGCCTGCTGTTGTTATTGCTCCTCTCCGGCGTTGCTTCGCCTTTCGCTTGGTCGTCGGCCAGCCCACCGTGCTGCTCTCAGTTTGACGGTGGCCACGACGACAAGAACAACAACAACTACGGCAACGATGACGAGTCTCATGACAGAGCGGGTTAACTGACGGTGGCGCCACTGCTGAGCAAGGAGGAAAGCGCGCAGAAAACGGTATGTACTGGCGTGTGTATGTGTCTGTGTGGGTGTGTGTGGGCCTCTCTGTCGGCTGTGGTGCCTCTTCTCCACAGAATCGCTATGATGTGATGTTGCCTGTGTCCCTACTCAGCATACCATGCAGCATTACAATGATGACGACAACAACAGTGGCGTTGATGATTGCTGCTACATATAGATGCCAACCGTCGGGTATGCTGTGGCCGTCTGCTCTGGCTGGCGGCAGGCGGCCCTACGCTGGATGGCCACTAGAAAAGCCATCACCACCAGCGTTCCGTTGCGTGAGTCACACTCGGCGCATGGGAAAGGGCGGCAGGATGAGTCGCAGCAGGATTCGTAGTTGCCGCTAGCATTTGTCTGGTGCTGCTGCCACGGCGTGTTCTTTGGTTCAGTCGTCAGCGGTGATGCTAGTGTTATCGCAGGTCGGGCGAGTCGCTCTCGAAATGCTGCTGACGACAGTGAAGGCCTACGACCATGGCTGCCACCATCGGTAGCAGCAGCATGCGCACCATAGAGATGATATAGCCGCTGCTGTTGCTGCTGCCGCCGCGAGTGATGATTCTCATAGAAACATATAGTTAGTTCTATGTGTGTAGAAACAAAGAGAGATCGAAGCGCTGCTTCTGCTGCTGAAGGAAGCAAACTAGCTGGCAGCTCTCGTTGTTTCTCTAGCCGACAGCAGCAGCAAACGAGTAGCGACCAGGAGACCAAGGAGAACGGCCCGCCCGGTTCAGCCTGGCTAGCGAGTAGCAACCGTTTATGAGAAGAATAAGTACGCTCGTCGTAGTCATCGTGTGTGACTAAGGATGATTCACTCGAGCTGCCGCCGGCAGGAGGAGCATAGCTCGGCTACCCTTCACAGAAACAGCAAAAGGGAAATCAAAGGAAATAGGATTGGTAAAATATAGTCGCTCACATGTTTTGTAGCGGACACGCTCTGCTCGATGGTGCCGTGTGCTTATGCTACGTCTGCTTGTGAGAATGGGAAGCAGGGACCGATCACCGGATCAACGAAATGACGGAGATGATGCTGAAAATACGACTGACCGTTCTCACAAGCAACTCTCTCACGAGGCGACACCGGGCGGGCATACATCGAACAAACACAGATGGACGAATGAAGGGATAACTGAAGCGACGCAGGAAATTAGCCACGACGCATAGAGACGCACAGACGCTCTCATCCAGAAGTTAAATGGCCCGCGTGCGTCAGGAGTGTCCTCGATTCTGTTCAATGTACAAAGTCCTTTGCTCTGCCTTGCTAAACATACCCATTGCGCTACACACGGATATAGGAACAGTAACCCGTCAATATATTAATAAAGAGAGCGAGAAAAAAGAAGAAAGGGTCAACGCAGAAGCGTTTGGGAAGAAGCTACAGTTATCAGCAGCATTAGTGGTATCAGTGACGGCGTGAAGCAATAGAAATGGCGCAATAGCTCACTGAATGACGGGTCGTAGTCGCCACAGGAGCTGCAGCTGAAGTGAATCTGCCGATTTTATCTTAGCATCAAATGTTAAAGCATAATAACTACATGCTTTTTCCGCCTGCGTTTCCGCGCGAAAGCCCCGATGACATCAGCATCGTAATCATTATTATCATTACTTACAACTATAACAATAACAACAGTAGCAGATTTAATTTGCGTGCTACGAGACGGACGACCAGAAAAGTAAAAATGTGGGTCACATGAGACGAAACATTAATATTTACGTTGTATGATAAGCGTAACTATCTGTATTCGTTAAGTTATATTTATTCATATACGACGAGGAGCTAAATGCAGGTAGTTCTAAAAAAATACGTTTACGGGTCTGTCGCACCCTTAAATGCGCCATTGTGAAACCCGTGTTTCATCTATACATACACATTATATGCCCATATACATAACGAACAATACGAGGCTAGTCTAAATACCTTATGATTCGAATAACCGCAGAACAATGATGAATGCACGTAGATGGTCAATGTTGAAAGCCCTTTTATATTTAGCAAGTGAGTACGCGTGCCTTTGTGATTTGCTAACGAGCTAAAGCCGTATAGCGACAAAAAAGGTGCCAACCGAGGGGTAATAATAATGCCATTAATCAACCAATTGACGACCAGACACGGAGACAGTAAGCCGTACAAGCAAACGGATGGACGAGGGCGTTCTAGGTTGAAAAGAGACCTGCGCAACGAATTTCCATCAACCTAGAATAGGTTGATAATGCTGAGGATGGCAACGAAGAGAACCAAGAATGGCGACAAACGAGCGACTCTGCTCTCATCCAAGGTGCATAGGCGTGCGATAGAAACGATACACGCACAACAAACATTCACAGGCAGAAATAGTCAGGAAGTCGCCTATATAGATGTTAGCGGTGGTATTCAGTCCGGTCCGAGGTTATGAGTCGTACCTGACCGGATAGGTTATGGCGTGCGCGAACCAGTCTCGCGTTTTAGTGCGTTGAGCTATTCCTGAACGGTTCTATCTAAAACTCGACTGACTAAAATGCGATGAATGCTATGCATGCAGAACGCAGAGAGTAATACAGGTTGCGCTGCATTTACTCACGCACATATTCAATATATGTGTATGTATATGTATAGATACAGCCACACATAGCCATATACGGTGAGTTATAGAAAGGCGCTCAGTTTCGACGCTAAGGTGCGCAGGCCTCGCGAGCCAGACTCGAACGCGACAAACTTATGTCACAACTATGTATCGCTAACAATATGTTTTGTCTAGGGTCGACGTGAGTCATAGGGGGCGCAGCAGCCGGTAGCAGTCAGTAGCCAGTAGCCTAGCGTGCAATAATGATCGCCCAGATGGTTTGTTCTCCGAGGACGGATAACGGAGAATATTACAGTGAGAGTTAAGCGGAATTAAGGAGAGAAGAGAAATAGAAATGGGTGGAGAACGATAAGGAGACGCTTTACGGCGGCAATCATTCTGGCAGAATCGCCCACAGCTGACGTTGCGTCAGTGCGCCGCGCCGTGATACGGCCCCTATAAGAGTGTAGGTTTTGCGTCTCGAAGAGGCATCGTCCAGCCTCGACTGAGCGCTCGACCGATTACTGTCCGTAGAAGCCGAATGAAATTGATCACCTTTCGCGAATGGACCGATATGCCATGTGTATGGTCGAAAGCTCAGGGCGACAGTGAACTACCACCGTTAAGCCCTGACAGGTTATTGATATAATGTTATTACCCACAAAAGCTAAACTTCACTGATCGGCGCTCGAAACGCTCGTCGTTAGCGAAACAAATTCATCCCTACATGCAGCAATTGAGTTTTTATGGTGAAATCTTTAGTGCTGGCTAATAAGTGTAATTAGTCATTAAATCACGATGGCTGCCACGCATTACTTCATGAAGTCGGATGTGGTGCTCATACTTAAATGTTATCAACTTTAAGCACTTAGAGACACATTATTACTATGAAAGAGTAAAATAAGACACCGCGATTTTTCTGTTTTCCACGCCAAATTCGCTCTTGCACTCGGAGCAAGGAATAGCTACTGAAAAACGATGCCATAACAGTGAAACCGTTATCTACTTCACTTCACGTAATAACAACAATAATTATCGCCCAAATCAACTTCTACAGTAACTCATTATGCAAACTTCCAATTTATATATATATAGAAATTTAGTCGTCATTAGTAATCGGAGTTCCTCGAGAAAAATCGCTAGACCGGTCCGCTAACCGGAATAAACGCCTCAGAGATGCATACTAAATACCAACCGGTGGCCTCATTTTTTAAAACTACACATTGAAACATATATCACGATGCGCTCAAAGCAACGGATTTTCGATCCTCGGGCCATGGATCGGTTGATCAATGATTAATCCAATCATCTTTTTTCTTCCAAACCGTTTTCCACCCTTTAATGTTAAGTTTTCCACCTAATCCAGGTACGAAAAATTGTTGCCTAATGCGCAAGGGTAATTATTGTATGGTAAGAACTGGTAAAGAGATCATTCAGGTTTTTCTATCAAACAATCAGAAAAGTAGAGAGGACGTTTCTCCAGATTTTTTCCTTAGCAACACTACCTTAATATTACAAGATATTAAGGTATACATCGACTGCAGATATTTATATCGCAAAAACTGAATTTTAGCTAGTTTACTTGAAACATTATATAGAAATCCGACAGAATAGTGAATATAGAACGGCACTACGGGGCGCACACAGGGTTTACGATGAGTGAAGAGCAATGAAAACGCACAAAGGGGCACTGCTTAATCGAAAATTGCTTCAGCGACTCTACAAAACAATGAACGTGTTTGAATCCGTCTGTTTTTCATTGCGCGAATACTTCGGACATTTTCTTGGCAGCCTAACTTACATTGATGATGTTCATGAGTTACATTATAATCACCGCTAAGATAATTGATCCATATATGCATACCTGCAAAAACAATACGTACCATACAATGTAACTGGATCACGCGGCACGAAGCCTATCGGCTCTCCCGAGCGATGTGCCATGCTCAAAGCACGAATTATACCCTCTTTCGAGCACACTTCCGGCAGTGATCCTAACAAGATCCGCGGCTCACGTCAACCGGCGTTCAATTAGCATAACGAGGTCGGCGCTATTCAACGTGCCGACACATGGGAAATGCAATTGTTTATACAAACGTATATGAACGTACAACAAGAAATGAACGGAGACAGAAACGAGAAGCATTACGATGATTCATCGTAATTTGCGGC